AGGAGAGGACAAATTAGGCCGGGATAGTGAGATGGGGAAACAGAGACAGAGAGAAAGAGAGGGAGGGGAAGAAGGAGAAAGATGGAGGGACAGTAGCGGAGAGAGAGAGATGCCATATGTTGCAGCTCTAGGATTTGGGGGTGCATGCCGAGTGGGATGATTAAATGAGAACTAAGTAACCATAAAAACAATGGCATGCTGACAGCAATATGCAGAAAGACTGAGACTAATGAAGTAAAGGAAGGTGAGAGAAAGAAGGTCAGAGGAAGCATAGATGGCTGTGGTACATGAAGAGAGGAATATGTCTAGAAGAAAAGTAAACATAATAGAAATAATGATTATGATGGGGAGAGAAGCAGAAGCAGTACTGGGTGGAAATGACATTTAAATGGGAGACCCAGAGAGAAGAAGGAGGAGGCAGAGAAAACAGAAGATAAAAGGATATTAAAAGCTCTTCAGCCTTGCCAACAAGGAGACGAACAGGCCAACAATGCGGTTTGAGAAGTGAGAGCTGCACTGCAGATAGTGCAGAACAAGTTGCTCATCCACACTCGCCTCCTACATATTACCTCTATTTAACTAACTTTTAATTGGTGTGATAAAATGCCACAGTATAATTTGTGTGCAATATATAAATGGGAGGACAAAAAAAAGAACGCTGGACAGAAACAAATGACTGATCATCAGAAAGTAGCAACATAGGCGATAGCAATATGCAGTTTATTTCAGCTGCATCATTACGAATAAAAAAGGTCAAAGTATTCATATTGTCTCATTTACAAAATCTGCAAAAAAGAACAACCATGCTCGCTAAAGTGTGAGAGCGAAATGCTATCATCATGCTAAGAAAGTTTGAGAAGTTGACCATGAGGATTGGTTGCGTTATATTTCAATGTAAGATCCACGTTTTTTTTAGAGCTTGAACCATTAAAAGGTATCCAAGTCTCATATACCCCTTGAATGTTGACCACCCTGTGTCTTGTGAGTCCCCTAAATGCACCACTAAATCTGGGCAAACAACCCAATACTATGTGAACATATATATATATACATACACACCACATTGGCAAGTTGCAGTTGGATGAAATCAAAGTGTTTTTTTCTGTGAGCCTTGTATTTTTTTTAGCCCATCAATATGGGAATGGTACCTCTGCCAATGCTGAACCCACTGAGTAACACTGAAGGAGCTCACTAATGAGATACTCAAAAACACAATGCACCCGACCTCAGAGATTACTAAGTGGCGTCCCTTCATGCACTGGTTGATTATCGCCTACAGTTAATGGCGAGTGATGCATGAGCAGAAATCTAAATGAGTTCATTAAAAAGAGTGTGTGTCACTGTCCGTGCCTAAGTGTGCGTGAGCTTTGCGAGGCTCAGGCTGGCAGCTGGGCTCCACATAGTGTCTGTGTGCGTGTCTGTGTCTTTGTGTGTAAACAGAGCTTACATGTATTAATAGGCTAGTCATGTCCGAGCTCTAAGCCACTTACAGGTTTTCTTTTTTTCTTGATCAATCCAGCTACACTCATACTGTATCACATCACGGCAGGTCGGACAGTTCCTATGGCAACTAGATCAAATCATCACAGAAACCAGCCAAGGTGAAGAGCTTGCAGAGAAATATGAGGTTGTGGTTACCCCAAAGGAGAGGGGATGGAGCTAAAAATATCGCCTATCAGAAACAGTGAGACCTGAGACACGATCAATATGGCAGAGGGGGGGGGGGGAACTTGATATATTCTCTGTCAACCAGTCGCTCCTATTACAGACAGAAACACGATATCCAAAAGGATTGAGGTAGAGAAAGCTTGTTCACAGCCTGTTGTTGTCTCCTCTCTTTCCCATTATCAGTTCTCCCAGGATACTGCAAATCAGAAATGATGTAATCGTGATAACACACTTCAAAGCGTTTTATGGCAAACATGCGGGCGTATACACTCGAGATAGTTTGGTACAGATTGAAATGTACTCGTAATAACAATCAAGTGACAAAATGGGGTATTGAATGCCTAATAAGAAATATGAAATATAATTGTGCCGATTATAATCTGAATTTTATTTGAGCAAAGGCCTTATATTATATGATTTGACAACATTTAACGTTGGATGTTTGGGTCCATTTGTGACATAGAAGATGGAAGTTTGGCAGAAATGTGGTGCTCAAAGAAAGGTATTGCAACAGAAGAGTCACAAATGCAGATAAACACATAAACACAAAGGCAAAATAAGAGGACTGACAGCAACAACTGCAGACTCTCTCTTGAACTCTGCATAACTTAAAATACCAAAAGACATAATACATTATTCATCCCAGCCCAGTTTAGCTGCAGTATTTTTAACTGATATGAACTTCTAAGAAGTTTTGAAGTGGGGAATAAAATACATTAAAAAGTCATTATTTAAAAAGGATCCATGAATGGCAGACTATTGCAATCCTTGAGAACAATTGAAGGCAATAAGAATGAGAGGAAGAATGAGGCTTAATGGATGTACATTGTGCCTCTCCGTTTCTGGCCTTATTACAGGGGTTAATGAAGGCAAGGAGGCTGAGATTCTCATTCTCTCTCTCTCTCTCTCTCTCTCTCTCTCTCTCTCTCTCTGGTTCTGCAGGAACTCAACGTAACTGTATGGCCCAGAAACCTACTTCTGCTGTAGGCTCACAGACTGACACAGCAGATGACACCAACCAAAAGCAAAGACTCACACAACAACATGGACTCAGAAATGCATCCACCTGTGCACACACACACATTTCAATAACACTTAAAGTAACCTTATCCTGGTTATATTACCTTTAGCGCACTCCTGATATTCAATAATGTATATTCAAGTGTCATTAACATGCAGTTTGCTCACTAGTCACCCAATCCCTTCTGCTTTCACTCATACATATTTTATGTTGTTTCACTCAGATCTACATCTAGTAATAGTTTACCTTACTGAGTATTGAGGTTTATTTGTTGTTATATTAAGCTGATTTGCTGAAGTTAGCATGGATTAACCACATTGCATAGGGGGTTTAAATATTCAACAAGCTTATACTGTTTTCTGAGACCTTTCACCTATCCAGAAAGAAACAGGGGGCTGTTCAAGACGTGCCAAGAATTCTCTCTCATGAATGGCACACATTGGCAGTCTCAACCCTATGCAAATGTTCTTTAAATCTTACAATCTGACTCTCGCTTGCTTTAAAATCCATCATTCTAAATGTTGTTGTCCTCAAAAACATTACATAATCGCAAACTCTCCTACATGCATTAACCCACGCATTCATACACAAAAACAAAAGGAGAAGTGAGGTTCTGCACTCAGCCCAACCCAGCAAATGTGGCAGTGAGCATGTTACCATGCCTACAGGCCCAATCAATACAATGTCTAAAAATAGCATGACCATAATAGTCTTACTTCCCATCGCAGAGGGGTGACCGGGGAGAGAGCAGCATTTATTGTGTAATCTCCAAGATAATCGTAACCAGTGGTGACAACACAGTTAGTGGGGCATTGAGCAAAAGCGTGAGTTTAATCCCCCCAACAGGAGCTTTCTCAAAGAAAACCTGATCCTGGGGATTTTATTGGCCGGTGCTGGGCTCTAACAGCAGGGCAGGGTTAACTGTGGATCATTAAATAGACTGCATGGCTTCAGAGACAGGAGGACATGCCAGGGCCAACACATGGAAATTAAGCGGGATAAATGCTTACACAGAGTACTAAAATGGCAATGAAGAATGAAAAGCCCACTGTACAAAGGCCATACGAGTCATGGATGAGTCACAAATTGGCTATTAAGGAGATGATTACTGTGCAACACAAAATGGCAGGACGCCCTTAACGTCAAACACAATCTGTTTCATAATAATGTTGTCGTTCTGATGATGCTGTTAGGGTGAAAACTGTGTCGGTACATTCAATAACTTGGAGCTACAGCATGAGAGAGGCATAGAGAGGAGAGCAGACAGACAGAGACAATGATGATTGAGGATGGCAGGAGAGATAGAGAGGTGACATGAAGGCAAACAGGCTGAGATTATAAAACTACATCAAGTCACAAATATAACCAGATACCCTGACATACTGGCAGAGATGTCCTTTTCCTTTGTGTGGCTTCCCTTCATAAACGTGGACGTGTGCCAGCAAAGAGAAAGTGTGTTTGACCTCATTTCACTGCAGCGCAGGCCAAGTTCAGAGCCATTTCCACATTAGTGCTGTAGTGGAGAATATGTGCATGGATCCTTGCATATGTACGTGCCTGTACACTACAGTCCTGTTTTGATGTGTGTTCTTTTTATAGCATCTCACCTGCACTGCTGAGGAAAAAAGTGAGCTAAATATGTGGGTGGACTATCAAGAGGCCGTGACTCAGATCTGTTTTCGAAGGCAAAGCCCTGGCACACATCGCAGCAGCGTGGGTGATAACCCAGACTTCATTCATAGATTTCTTTCATCTTTACCTTCTCTTGACCCCTTTCGGTCTCAGTGTCACTCTCGCCACAGCTGTGAACAGGGACACAAACGCTCTTCATTCACACAAGGCTCATTAAAGAGGAATGAGAATGTGGTCATAAAATATTTAAGCATTTTTTCCTCCTACCAGCCTGTTGCTCTTTCTATTCTCCTCTCCAAGCAACACAATTGATACATAATATACAAATGCAAAAACTAAATCGCATCTCAGTGACTGGTGTATTCATCTCAATGGAAGCACTCATAATGTTTGAAAAACATCAGCTCCCACTGTCTGTACCACAGAAAGGAAATTGAGACAGGAAGCTTTAGAAACATTGCTACATTGAAAGCCAGCAAACAATCAGCAATGGCAGTCAAAGGTTTGTCAGAGGTTCTCTGACTTAAACCATAAAAAGGCTTAGTGTTGCCTTCCACAACACTAACAGTGGTAACAAAATGGGGCGCTTATCTTCCAACACCAACTCAAAAAGAAATGATTGTGTTTTTGCCCTTATACAGTAGCAATGATGATGATATTTTGACCAAAGATTTCTCACCAGTTTCCCCTCCAGCGTGTAGATCTTCTTCACCACGCCGGAGTCGAGCTTGATGGCATCAGTAATATCGGTCAGGACTTGTTCGTAGGAATGGGCCGTCTTCTTGTTCAGCAGGATCCTCACAGTTTTGCGGGGCTTCACTCCGCTCCGAACTACGGACACTAGCTTCGGACGTATGAAGTCCTTGGTTTCACGACTCTCTGGAGCCCCAGCCTTGGCGCTGCCCAGGGAGGGGGGCCCGCGGGAGGATGCAGCCGAGGCCTTGACATTCACCGACCAGTTGGGGTTCACGTTTTTTGTGTAATCCAACTTTTTGTAAGCTTCGATGGAGCTGCACACATAGCTTTCACCTGTTGGGGTTCAAATGGAAGGGGAGAGAGGAAAGATACATTACTTAAAGCAACAATGTTTGAAATTAGAGCAAAAATTGTGAAAAATAGGGCTGACAATAGAGCAGAAGCAAGGCTGTCTATTTGTATTGTGTAACATCTCTTAAATAAGCAACTATTATTCTAGCAGCAGGCAGCATATTACAGCAATACATACATTCAACCCTATAAAATGATATAGGAAAAGTCTGCAGCTTTTGTTCAATTTTCTACTTTACAGGCCTATTTTTTTCTTAAAGCCAAAGCAACTTGTACCTCTTCCCATGTCACTTCCTAGAGAGTAAAACGGTTTAAGAGGGAGCTAATCTGAGACAAAACATATGTCAGGTTCACCATATGGCCACCAAATGACTGATATAATCTTCACCATAATAATCTACAGTGTGATTAGTGAGTATATGAAGCAGTGCCCAAAAGAAACAGTTTATTAAGCATTTTAAACCTGTTTTCTGTAAATCTAGGTTTGTGTAACCACAGAGAGGTGAACAAGGAAACATGGCATGGCAGCCGAGGATCAGGCAGTGGTTGTTAGAAAGACAGATTAGGCTACATTATGCTAACAAGGCCTTGAATCCCCCAGGTGTGTTGTAAAGTTGTGTAGGCTACCCACCTTCTACCAGCTGCTCAATATTGGAGATCCTCTTGCAACCATCCAGGGTGTAGATGGTGCGGACGCCCTGCGGCAGGTTGACGTTGTCGGACAGGGAGCGGGTCATGTCCGCCAGCAGGGCGTCAAAGGTCCGGAACCGGTCTGGGGAGATGGCGTAAACTATCCCGTTGAAGTACCGGTCTCCGTTGCGGTAGAATCGGACCTTCTTGGCTCTCCTCTCCGTGGTAAGAGTCTTCAGGGTCCGGGTCCGGTACAGGCTGCAGTGGGCGCTGTGCGTGGGGCTCGGCACCCCGTTCAATTTCGCACTGGACCGGCCGTGCCTCTGACCTTTGTCCCGCTCGTCGAAATGCTCCATCTCCATTTCTCTGGCGAGGCTCACAAGTACGGCTGTACTGTCTAAGGGAGGACAAACAAGTAGGAGGGTAAGGCTGCGGTGAAAAGTTTTTCTCGAAGTAAACAAAAACAAACGGTGTCGAAAAGGATAGACACCGACCGAGGAGAGGTTTGGACGGGCTGGTAAAGTCCGTCGCTGGTGCTCTGACTGAAAATAACTCCCTAATGACAGATTAAGAGCTGTTAAGCCGAGCAGCGGACAGCATGCCTCATGACGAGCCGCACTGTCTGTCAGTGAGTTCCTCTGAGGCGCAAATGGATGGAGACTGAGAGAGAGCGGCAGTCACGAATCAATAAAAGCCTATTAATTTTCTCTTTCTAAATAGTCAGAAACACGGGATCGGCCCAGCATAAAAAAACGATCACATAATCATTTAAATAAGAAAAAAAAATGAAATGTTTATTTAGGCTACTTTCTAATTGACGGGGGTAGAATCGACACGAGACATTAGTTTACGACAAAAAACATGTAAAGGGAATAATGATTTTAACAACAGCTGATACTGACACAGGCTTACCTACGTGCGTAATTAACGCTTCTGTGACGGTCACCTCCAGTGTGACTGATGTTTGATTTCCCAACAGATATGAAGAAAAAGAGTTCAGTGGGCTGGTCGCTGACACTGGATGGTGGTAACGTGTGATCCTATCCTGGCTGCAGTGAGCCCCCCTGTGCGTCTCTTTGTTGTCCGGTTGATGTGCCCCACCACCACCACCACCAAACAACAGTGAGTGTGTGTGTGTGTATGTGTGCGCAAGAAGCTGGACTGGAAATGAACTAGGTAGCAGCTGCTCCCCCTCCCCTTCTCTGTTTACCCACCAGCTCCTCTCTCTCCTCCTCCACTTCACTCTGTCGTGATCTTCATTCAGTGCCTCCACCCCTCATTAGGATGCAAACCCACACTTCCCACTCGTGCTGGGGGTGCTGCCTGTCCTGCAAACACCCCCTGCCCGCGTCATGCGTCAGCTGGGGGGCCAGTCTAAATATTCAATTTCAAGGGCAAAAATGTACATTTATTAAATTATTGAAACTTTCCAGTGACAAAGTTCTGGAGAATTCCCTGGTAGAAGTAGCAGGATCATACCTGTATGAATATATATAATATAACATATGTTTTACTTTTTTAATACAATTTAATATTTTATATTGTTGCATCGACTCAGTTGTCTTGTGTCTTATCTGTCAGAGAGAAACCATTATCTATTTTATTTTATTTTTATTATCATACATTTCACCTCCTTGTGTCTATTAACCTGATAACATTTTATATTTTGCCGCATGTACCTTTTAAAGTTCTTAACAAATAATCTGAGGGGAATTTCTTGTTTGTTTTTAACTTGTGATGTGTCATTTTGTAAAGCACTTTGAGCTGCATGTGTTGTATGAAAAGTGCTATATAAATAAAGCTTTATTATTATTACTTTTATTTTTATTTTGACACACACATTGTACATTTTTTGTGAATGCCATTGACTTTGCCACGTGAAAACAAGAAACATCTATACAGAGGTCTAAACTAAAACCGGTCACATATCTGCAAAACCATTGGACTTTAAACACAGAGCAGCATTGTGTTCAATGTTATGTAACATACTTTCTCCGTTGTATACACTTAGCAGCTACAACCTAAACTATAAGATCCAAACTATGCAGAGCAGCTTTTACAGTGATCCAAATAGAGTGTGACAAGTAGGATTTCTCTCGTGTAGAAAGTCTCCATTGGGATTACATGTCAATTGATTTCAACATGTTGAGATGAGAGCCGGAGACGATGCTGCCGTCTCATCAGAAGCTTGTTTCTTCCTATAAGCTCTGAAGTTTGCATGTCGACAGGAAGTAGTCTCTTAGAGCAATGGAGAGATCGAGACCACTGACCTACATCCTCGCCTCAAGAGACCACCTAATTCTGCTCCATCAACACCCCCTAATAAACTGCTGTGTTGTGTGTGTGTGTGTGTGTGTGTGTGTGTGTGTGTGTGTGTGTGTGTGTGTGTGTGTGTGTGTGTGTGTGTGTGTGTGTGTGTGTGTGTGGTGTGTGTGTGTGTGTGTGTGTTGTGTGTGTGTGTGTGTGTGTGTGTGTGTGTGTGTGTGTGTGTGTGTGTGTGTGTGTGTGTGTGTGCATTTTTCTGTGTCGGTGCTGCTTAATGTTTTAACACTCTCTGGAAATAGTGTCCAGATATCAAAATAACATATTAACAGATGGAAGAGGGTGTTTATGTTGAACATGTCACAGCTTTAATATATAAATTGTTTGTCTTTCGTATATTAATATGCCTTGACATGTTTTAATGCTTTTCTCAAAACGTGAAACATAATACGGTTCAACTATATCCACATTTACATAAATATATCAGACATTTTAATGGCTTATTACAGTATTTTATTGCATCTTTTATGACTGCTTCCGTGTGCTAATCTGCTTTTTTGACTATACATGCACATAATGAAAGACAGGTACACAACGTAAGAAAAATACACATTTTCTCCACACAGATCTTTCTATTTTCGGGAGACAAAGTTCCTGTCTCAATGTATCAGGAGAAACAGAGGATATGTGGGGGAATATGTTGTTTAGACAAAGAAAGATGGAGGACATCGTCAAGGACTTATAACAGCAGTATCATGGTCTCAATCCTATTCTTAATGCCTTAGAATTTGCAAGTCAAATAATGATATTTGTCAGTGTCCACATGTTTACAAAAGGAGACATCAGAATGAAAAGACTTGGGAATATATCATTCATCCATACAAGTAGATGTTATCTTTGCTCCTGACGCATAGGCAAATTCAATTGACTTGTAAGAAGAGAGAATATGTGCCTTTGCCTGCACAATTAATGTGATCCCTCATAAAAAGGTTCTTACTTTTTTTATGCAAAGATCTTCTCTTAGTAACTCACAACTGCCACTTTTGGACTGTTTCAGAGACACCAAAAAAGAACATGAGAAACACATTTAATAACCATATTTAAATGCATTTTGCTTAACTGAATAAAGATGGACTGATGATTCATATTGTGATAAATTCGTCTTGGAATAATTTAGGAAATTAAATCAGTCTTAATTTCACAGCCAAAGAGAGATATTTAAAACCTCTACCTACTCAGTCTCTTGGCATATGCTTCTGTACAAAAGATACATTTCCCATTCTATTATTAAACATTGCATTGTTCTGTTACAATTTCACACAACACAGGTTGGTGTGTGAACATTTGGACGGGTGAACAATTCTGTTACTCTGACACATTTCAAAGGGTTAAAGGTAGAGTCTAAATCAGGTCGATTAGGAATCCTTTGATTTAATAATCAAATTGGGTGTGGGTATGACACTGCCCAAAATCACTGCATCATGTTATATTGACCTTGTTATTCTAAATTGTGAGATTAGAACTTTTGCACAGAGTTTGAATGAATGTTTGAACATTGCTTACCAATCCAAAATGTTGCTGAATGCATTATTTAAGTAGTCCGTTTGAAAAAGTTCAAATAAAAAGAAGCAGCAGTATTTCATAACAGGCACGTTGTGGTCTAAGTATTAAGAGGGGAAAAAATGGTTTCACAGTTTGTATGCTGTTTATTAAATGGCAAAGCTAAGCAGATTGATCAATAAACATTTATTATTAAAAACGTATAAATACTTAACGTTATTGTTTAAAAGTAAGAATAAGAATGTTTTGGATTGGTATTGGCAGATGCTCAACTTTGAGGTATCTGTAATGGACATATAAAAAGTGGTGTTGAGTCATCACAAAGGTCAACTAAAGTGTGAATAAAGCACATGGATATGTACATGAATGCATGCAATCACCCTCACAAACGAGTCTCCTACACTCTCACATATGCACTAGTATAGACACTAGATTGTTTCCAGCATACTCAGGGTTAGTACAGAGAGGGGCTAACTGAATTAGCATGGGCAGTTCTGTGACGTGTTGTTTTGACGGATACTGTAGTTATTTGTCAATGTGTTTCACCTGTCAGCAAGAGACATCTACAGTAGGTGCTTACTCTGTAGCTGTGTGATTCATGAGTTGTACTAAAGCTTTTGCATGAAACGGAGAGAAAAAGAGGTGGAGGGGAAAGAGGTAAAGAAAGGTGGTGTGCTCTAGATGTGCTCACTCTTTCATAAGGCAACATGCACTCTTAAATATAAAGCCATTAATCTAAGACAAACAACCTGTCACTGCAGCGCATTTATGATTTCACACTGAGACAGCTAACCTTATCAGAAATACGTGTGGGCCTGTACAAATCCAAAACTAGAACTCCCACAGTGCTTTTCCAAAGATTTTAGACAGTGAAGTCAATATCAGCAAACACAAACAAGTTTCTGGAGATGGATTAATGATTTGTTATCAAATACTTTTTTTGGACTGTGTTTATTAAATGAATCGAAGGATAAATGAGTGGTTAATTGTGTGAGATCATATTGCATTTAAATAAAAAGCTTGTTTGCATCATCTCATTTAAGTTAGTTAATTCGTTCACATTCTTGTGTGGACTTTAGCCGTCACACATTTTACAAAGCCATATTTGTCGCTAATATATAATATTTCTATAAATACATATTGGGATTTTCCTTCACAACAAACGAAAGGTTGAAAATTCAGAATCATGTTAAAGGACTATTTCAGCTGGACGGGTGCTTGTTGACACGGGGGGTTTATCTTTGCTCTTTTAGTTAAAAGTCAAGTTTGCATAGTGGCTACAACACAGCTTTGGACATATATTCACAGAGCAGGTATATTCCTGTTAATTAAAACAAATGTTTGGTCATATTTCCTGAGCTAATCAATATTAAGCTATTAGACTTACAGACCAATCGGTAAATAAGAAAACAGCTATATTCATTAAGCTAGAGCCCAGATTAATGTATAAATCCATGTTGTTTTTCCCTATAAGATACTGCTTCTATTCAATGATGTGTTTGTGAAGAAGTGTGGAGGAGCCGTGGAGGGGTTCAGTTTTGTCAGCCTCAAAACTGAAACAGCTTCGGGCAATTTTCCTGTTCACTACTGCATCTCATTTGAGCGTATTCTTACACATTTGTAAAGGCTGTCAGTGGGTGGGACGGGGGTGACTGGTTGCTCTGTGGATGAACTGCTTTTGGAGAGAGTGCTGGATGCGGTGTTGCTTACGTAATAGTAGTCGTAGGAGGTGTTTAGAGAATTTTTTTTCAAGTGACACAAGAAATGTCAGACTCAGCAGGCTTCTGGTACATTAGGAGTCAACCTCACTGAAGCCTGTGATATTCCTCTCTTTAACGTTTCTCTTCAATGCTGCTCTTTTTGTTGAAACAAAGAAAGGTGTAAGGCGATAATAATGGCACTTCATTATAAATGGAACATGTTTTACCACTGTATTTGACATCAATAAACACCACAGGATAACCATCAGAAATGCAATGTTTCCTCCCAGTAATCTTTTGAGAAATGTAAACAAAACCACCACTCTTTTTAAAAAGGGCTATAACACTAGGTGGGATTTCAGGGATTGTGTTTCAGGTAGTACTTCAGTGTGGGTAACCTGCTTCCCCTTTGGGATTTCCTCTCTTCTCTTCTCTCCGCTGTGACTCCATTGCTACCACCTCCATCTTCTTCCCTTTCTTTTCCCTTCTTAGCATCAGCCTCTGCCTTTCTGCTGGTCTGCCTCTCTCTATGCAATCAGAAAGAAATGTTAGTTCAGCAAAAACAATATAATAGACACAAAATGTTTTCTATTAACGTGTATATAGACTTCTTGCTCTATTTTTGTATTTGTATGTTTGTATTTTATTATATATCATTGGATATTGCCATTTCTACACTGTAGCTTATGTGCATATGACATTAAAACCTTTGAATCTAGAAAAAAACTAAAATTACAGTGTTTTGGAGAGATACAAATAACACTCATATTCTTGTTTTTACATTTTCCAACAATGAACAATTATGCAGGTTCCAATTTTCAACATGTACAGACTCCTTCGAGTTAATTTGTCCAGCATGATTACTTTTATCATGAATACATTTGGTAAAACAATTACTCAGTCATTTCCGACACATTTTTACATGATCTTTACTCTACATGTATCTTCTTTGTTTTTAATTGAACTAGGTAATCTTAGTTGTAATGCTTATATCATATAAGTGATGTTGTTTTGTGCATATTTGTGTTATTTAATTCAGCTCTAGAGTATTTGTTTGAGTGTGCTCACACTTCATGTTATTGTGTCCATCACCTGTAGGTGTTCACTGACCTCTTGTGTTTGCTCTCTGCTGCCCTCTGTGCCTCAGTGGAGTACTGTCTTCTTTGGGCTTCAAGTGTGGAGGACAGCTGTAGCAATGGACACGTCAGGAGTAAAGCAGTTAGTGCACTGCAGACACATACACATTGTGATAGCTGTACACACATTATTTTGTGTTAACATCAGATATGAGCCAGTCTCATGCTGCCACTTCAAATGTAGAGATTTGGTGCCTAAATGTTGAGAGAGAAATGCTGTTCTTGCAGCTGCAGGATCAGTTTTGATGCAGCACAAGGCAGAAAGTCCTTGACTCACTTTCTTTTTGGCAGAACAGAGATTTAACCATTATATAACAAGAGAAAGCAGCAGTGGAGGATGAATGAGAAATCACAACTAGGCATGAAAGAGAAGAGCTGGAGAGCACTTAACACTGGATTAACCTTTTGTACAGCAATTAACAATGACAGCTAGTCTTAAGTATGGCATGTATTTAATTAATAGTTTATAGGTTTAGTTGAGAGCTATACTTGCCTGATTAGTTATGAAAACTTTATGCAAGAATGAAAGGGAATGCTTACCTTGGCAATTTCTGAAAGGTATGCCCGCCTCTCATCATTGGTTTTATGAAATGCCTGAAATGTGAAAGGAACAGAGGGCCTTAGCGCAACATTTCTTTTCTTTCCATGGACTCATTTAAATCGCAGTGCTTGTTATTTGTGAACTGGCCGTGTGTATTAGAGTGCATTTCATGAGGTTGTCAATGTTAATGAGCAACAGATTACAACATGGATTACTGGCTGCACATGCTGCGTGTTAAACCTTTATTCATCTAATATGGCGCTGTTTGCTGAGCACACAATAAACAAAGAACCAAGTCAAACTAGCAGTGCAGGACAAAGCTTATGTTGCATTTTGAAAATGCAAAACAAGAAATATCAGACAAATCTTTTTCAATCCCTTGCTAATGATGGAAATGTGTTACTGAAATATGTAATAGCAGGAACAAATGTAAAGCTGCTTGTCTTATAAATAATATAAAGGGACCAGAAGACCTTGTGACACTCAACAATACTGAAAACAAGGTCCAAACCTTTCCCTCCTGTTCGATTCTGCTGTGAGCGTCCATCAGCTGACTCTGGAGGTCTGACTTCTCCTCAGTCAGGAGCTTCAGACGCTGTCTCAGTGTTTCCTGCGGCAAAGTGTTTCCATTAATTACATCAATTCATAACAAAGAAGCATGAAAGGTGTTGCACTGCTGACTAATTAAAAATCAATTTGTACCAGAATAACACAATGTTATCGGATAGGATCAAACAATAACATAACACTTAATGCAAAAACATGAGCACACAAATGGATTAGGCTCATGCATTATTCAATAACCAAATAAACACATTAGAGCTGAGACATGGTGAGTTAACATGAGGTTTCTAGCACAGAGCAGAGTGTTGTGTTTTGAATACAGACTCTAAAAAAGAATAAGCAGCAGTAGGAGATGCTTGTGGATAAGCCAGTTGCTGAGTATTTTATTAATCGTTTAATGTTCCAGTCAGAAGTGGAAGTGTTCAGATACTTTATTAAGTAAGTAGCAATATCACAGTATAAAGATACTCAGATAAGTAATCATCTTGTACTGATTAACATAAAACCTTATTTATATAAATGTATGTAAGAACTATCTGCAACCACAAAGGAAAGTTTTGAGCAGTGAAATGTAGCCGCTTTTGTTTTTATTATACCTTAATTTATTAACGTACAGGTTGCATTATCTAATGTGTAGATGATTACCATTGAGCTTAACACTGTCACTGTCGCTACACTTTTAAACAATAATCTATATTCTCCTCACATACAAACATACTCTATCCTACAGTCTCGCTCACAGTTTACAGAGCTTCAGGCCACAGTCTTACAGTCACTCATGGATACTCTAATGGGCATCTGTTAGTTCTGCCTTAAGGCACACAGACACACACATGTTTAGTCTGAATTGTGCCACCTTTTAGTGTGTGTTGTGCATTGTAATTAGTGTGCTCTACTCTCCCATGGTTAGTAATCCTGTGATTATAGTGCTGTGATTAAACTGTGTTTGATTTCAGCATGCATCAACGGGAGGATGGAGAGCAGCTGGCATTACAATCCTCTCTGTCCTGCTGCCTTCTCCCTCATTCTGAGTCTCTGGCTCTCTCTGCTGGTATGTGCTTCTATAGCTCTCTGTGGGTTGTCTGTTTATTGATCTGAACTTAGAAAAAACACACTAAATACAACCAATGCAACAAAACAGATTAAGAAAAAGCTCAATAAAGAAATTAACATGTTTGCACTCACTACCGACATGTCATCAAACATTCGGATGGAGGCCAACCGATCTGTGAAAAACAAGAGAAGATGTTAGCATTATGAGTGCAGGCTCTGAATAAAAATGTGATTAAACATACTGTTAAGTCGCCTGTTCTCAAAAACTCTTATTTCAGAGCAGACAGAGGAGCATTTTACACACAAGTTGGAGGCAGAAACAGGACTGAGCTGCCTTAAATCATTTTGAAAAGTTCAACCTTAGCTCCTATAATGGGTTTTTAATTAACCATGTAGACAAAATACAGACACCATGACCTAAAGGACAAAAATTTCCCTATTGAAAACCAACAGTTTGTCATCCCACCAGCATTTCACCATAAAATGATGTGTTCTATTATATCAGGGTTGCAATGGAGCAATGGCTTCATACTTGTAATTTGTAGTATTTTCAATCAGATTGAGCTATTTTGTGCAAGTCCATCTGTGGACTTCAGAGTATTCTTTTATAGGCAGTGAGTAATTTCAGGTTTAAAGAGTCAAAAAAGACATAATAAATGTACTTCTAGCATAAACCCTTTGAAACTCACCCATGGGGTTTCCTCGCAGGTCCTCCAGTCTCTCATGAATGAATGACATCTGTCGCTCCAACTGTCCATTTAGCTCTGTCTGTGTCTCAAACCTAGTCTTCCACTCATTTTCTGTACAGAATAAACAGAGGACACTGTTAGATTTTAATCACAAATGGGATAGGACATGACAGACACCACAGCTGAGTGTGTGCTGATACCAGTGGATTATTGGGTAACATGTTGCCAGTGGGTCAAGATGGCATGACATAGGCTACTATACACTTTTTTTTTTTTAATTATATAAGTTAAAGGTATACGATAGTGATGTGTCGGTCGCGAACGAGCCGATTCTTTTGAACGGCTCTTTGGTACGAACGAGGGGAACCGAGTCGTACTTGGTGAGAGCCGTTCTTCTTATCGTTCAATCAAAGTTGGTCCGCACTCACTGCCTGCCAAAATTCACTCGCCTTTTAAAAAGCTTGATTTTGTTCCCCAAACGTATTCTGTGAAGACCCGCCCCTACTCTGATTGGTAGGTTTCAGCACGAGGAGTTAGGTGGGGTGGGTCTTAACGGAATACGCGAGAGAGAGAAGTCATAACAAGTGGTACTGGACAGATAGACGACGTGTTTTTCGGATGGAAAATGAGCCAAACGCGAAAACGCAGCAGCATTTGGATGCACTTCAACCAAAACCCAGGCAGTGATAAAGGCAAAATATCCTTTAAAGCAGGGTCAACAAATAATCTCCATCGCCACTTAAAAACACACTACTAATATTAAGAGTTGCGTGAATTTCATTCAAGGCAAGGCAACTTTATTTACTTAACACATGCAGAGGGTAAATTCAAAGTACATTCACTGACATGAATGACATGGATATGGCGCCACCTTGTGTCATGTTTACAATGCAGATTATTGACATTAGGTCTGGCAATGCAGTCAATCATTATCCTGGTGATTATTTCGCAGATAAACCTAGTAACCCCGCCCCCTTTTTTAAAAAACGGCTCTTTTGAACGGCTCTTTTGAACGGCTCTTTGAAAGGAACGGAGCCATAAGATCCGGCTCCCTTCAAAGAGCCATAATTCCCATCACTAGTATACGAAACTCACCCTGTCCATCAACACTGTGCAGTCTATCCTGCAGTTCACACATGGTACTCCGAAGGTCAGACACTGACTCTTCGAGCATTTCTCTGTAATAATAGAAACGAGACGATTTCCTTTTTGCAGATGAAAATAACATATAATCTCCTTAATAACTTTGTAAGTAATACATTTACTTCAAACAAACTTACTTAATTTCCCTCTCATGTTCAAGCTCTGCCTGCAGCCGTGCCAAATCGTATTTGCTGTAGTCGCTATCTCCACTCATGTTTCTGAAAAACTCACAACTGAACAAACGTTTGTGCCTCGGGGTTACTATGGAGACAGCTTTTTCCGGCCCGTACAGAGACTGGGACATAATGGCGCAGATTAGCGGGGAGTGGAAAATAAAACGTCCTCTAAATAACTCGCAAATTACATATTCGTCACAGAGTGGCTTTATTATGCAAGCAGTATTTTTTAAATGACTATTTCGCGCTTAATTAGTCCTGAAAATGGACGACTGTTTACTAAACTCTTCATTAATGGCCTGTAAATGCCGGTTAATTAATCGCAGACTCATGGTAGGGTAGGCTATTATATATTTTATAATTGAAAAAACAACATGCAAATGACGAAAAAGAGCTCTGATATTTCTGTTGTTTGTTTTTGTCCTCTATAACACCACTTTTCGAAACATTTTAAAATGCAACTCTGGTAATCATGGATAGGCCTACATGTTAAGTTAAAAAAGGTAATGTATTACATTTGTTTTCTGGTTTACATTATCATAGCCACAGGTTCACTCAAATCATACATAGGCCCAGTGGCGTTTTTATATGTACAAAAGTGGTGGGGCACAATGAAATTAGATGTCTATATATAAGCTTCTGCAGTGACGTGCAGTGAGATTCATGGCTGGTGAGGCACTGGCACTGACTCTTCAGGTTTACAAATATTATATTTTGACCTAAACCAAAATATAATATTATTTTCAAAAGCTTTTTTTGTCTGATGCTTCGATTAATTTTAAACAGACAGTTCAACAAAAGGATACCCAAAAAATGTAATTTTATCATTTAAATATTGAATTGTTCTCTCTTAGTAAGATCCCATTTTCAATAAAATTGCGGTCTTACCTTGACTTGAAGATGAAGTCCATTTGCCTATCCTTCTGGACAAACATTTCTATAACTTTTTTGTAAAAGTCCTCCTTATCTTCTTGTAGTTTCAAAAGTCTATCATAAATCTAATCCATAGATTTATGATAAAAAAATTATAAAAGTAGGGTAGACATGTGGATGTTATCCGGCTGATCAAAACGTGCATTTATCTAACAGGTACGTTTCCCACAGATCTTATTTCGAGCTATTTTCTAAAATCCTCTGGAGAAATCTCATTGCTTTTTTGTGCTTACTTCCTGGTTTTAGGACGCGCCACTGCAGCTCTCTCGTCTCCTCTTCACACAGCACACTTTTCGCGGCACACGTACTTACAGCCAATCAGCTCTGAATGATTTGAGATGACGTATGGTGGGGATGGTAGCTCCGTGCCCCTCTGGTCATTATTTTTTTGCCACACACATTACATTACAAAATACTCTGAGCATGCGCAGTGTAGTTTTTACAGTCATCGTTCACTTCACAGCGAGAGGAAGGGGCATACTGTAATCAGGTTTTGTCCCACATGGCTCTAAACAGCTCAATAGGCACACACTGTGACTGTAGACACACTAATTAGAAGAACACAGACTAAAACAGCAATGTACAGACGAATCAGATGATTAAACATGATCTTAAAATATATTTTATATATTTTTTTATTTATTTTTTTGCATTTTTGTAATCATTATTTGTAATACTTTCTGCTGACACTAGGTGGGGCTGTGCCCCACCTGCCCCTAATGACCAGTCGCCACTGCATAGGCCTACAGATGGTCAATATACAATTGTTGTTTGTCGACTAAAGATGCTTAATGTTTTATCATAGGCCTAAAGTACACAAAATGTGATAGTAAGTAGGCCTACTACATAATAAAAAACCTAAAATACTACCACAAAATATTTCACGTAACCCAAAACAATGCAGGCAAACACAGTAACAAAGTGCTTTACAATTTGAACAGAAAACATTTAAAACACTAAGAGAAGGAGATTAAATAAAAGCCAGACATTTTTTTTAGAGACAGAGAGAACAAACAGAATGTCAAAACATAAATAAATCACAAAAAAGCAATTATAAAGTAAGCTTTGACCTACAAAAACTGTTTGCAGACCGAATCTCCTCCGGCCCCTGACAGCTCCTATTAAAATACTTAGTAGGCTTTTTAACAACTTCTTAAGTAAAATTGCACTTTCACTTGGGCTAACTTCAATATTTGTGCTATTTATCAACATGCAAAAAATGTCATTTGTCATGTCTATTTTTTCTTCTCTTCCTCTTTCTTCTGCTTTTCCTTCCCATCTGACTCTGCTTGATGTTCTCGTTTCTGCGCCTCCTTCCCTTCAGCTTGTCCTCCCGGGCCTTTGACTATGGCTTTGGCTGTCTGCTTCCCAGCAGTCTTCAAGAAGGCTTTTATGCCCAGATTGTCAAAGTTGTATGCAGTGACACCAATATTAATCGCTGATTTGAGAGCAGTGTCTGTAGCTGCTCCTGCATCATTACCATACCTTTGTCATGAAAAAATATGGTGGAGTTAGGAGAGAGTGGGTTGTTTGTAAGAAAATAAATTAGGGTATGTAAGGAACAGAAATAATGAATTAATGTGATATATCAAACTGTTTTTATTCACATTAACACACCAAAGGTCAAGACAAATAGTCATATTTCACGTTGTAGCATTTTTATTAGTTACCATCCAGGAAATAGGGCTACAGATAGTATCAAGAGCAAGAGCACACCCAGAGACACAAACATAAAAGAAGCTAAAACTACTTCAAGTGAAAAGAGAACCCAAAACAAATACTTTATATGTCTTAGGAGAAATAATAAAATGAGAAAATTCTGTGTTAGCTGTTGCATAAGAAAAGTCATAGTGAGGGTTCTTTCCTTACTTGATCTAGGTTAATGAAAGTATATACATGAAAGAGTTGATCAGTAGTTAGTTCAAAAGTCTTTGCCTTTACTCCCCCGTGCAGTCATATTTTAGTTTTTGTAGTTTTTATTAGACTTTCTAAGGCTTTAAATCTGAAAAGAAATAGGTAAGAAAGCAGATCAGTTTCCCAACGTACCAAAAAGAAAGCAACACAGTAGGATGGTATTCTACTATTATTCAAAGAAACCAAGTAGATTTAGAAAAAGATTGAAAACAAGATCTACAGTAGTAACATTTGTATCAATTAAATAGAAAAGCAGAAATGTGAAGTGTGTGAAATGTCAGAACTTACTTGTACGTCACAGTTGTGACAGTCTCTGCTGAAACACTTTTGCCAACCAGCTTCGCTCCGCACTCCATACTAGACCAAACAGTAGAGAAACCTGGTTTGGATGAAAAGTAAAATTCAGAACTCCAATAAGACTTAGATCACCCACATTTAGGTTAATATTTCAAATGCCATTATATATCAAATGCCAAAACATATCTGACTGTTTTGACAGTTGAAAGGGATAAAAAGTAAATTATCAGACATTGTAGAAAGATAGTAGTACTATACCCTGAAATTCACACTGTTTTGGTAAATACCTTGTACACTGCTGGCTGCCACTAACTTGGCTCCCTCCCAGTTGGAAGGGCCGCCATCTTTATTCTTCTTCAGAGACTCTGGGACCAGCTTAGCGCCCTGTTTCTTCAAATGGGGAGCCATCTTGTCTGCCATGTGTCCTGCCACTGTACTCACTCCATTAACTGTAAATATAAACATGCAAAATATACATCCGTGATAATTCATAGTACAGAAGAATAATGACATGCACTGTATACAAAAGATAAAGAAAATCAAATGTAAGTTTTCTTCAGTTTTGAGAAAAGTGGATAACCACGCTTTTTAAACATCGTTGTATCTAATATAATCCTTTATCTTACTTGGAATAAGTTCTTACCTAAGAATTGGCTGACTTTCACAGCCCCCCCGGTGGCCTGTTTAGCCACCTGCAGACTTTTGGTGACACGGGGGCTGACCTCTGAAGCAGTTTCCTCGGGCGTGATGTGGTCCCGGATCTTGGCTGCTCCTCTATGAACGGCCCTTCCAGTGGCCTCGGCTCCTTTTACTAACCCAAAACTCAACCGTGTAGCTCCTACACACAGAAACATTTTGGGTGTTAAACGTAAGTTAGCAATATCATTGATCGTTGTGTTGTTTAAATATCTACTACAGGTTAATTAAGAGTTGTACAAAGTTTTCCTTGAGGCACTAGGGAAGCAGCAATGGTAAGCAGTGCCCTCTAGTGGTTATTTTTATATATAGCAACAGCAAATGTATATGGTCTCTTTACAAAAGTACAAAATGGTGTTGTATTTCTTTATTAAGGCTCACACAAGCACACCTGTCAAGATTCCTTGTGCCATCTTCTCACTCCATCCAGGAAGCGGTGGTCTGTCCTTCTCCCCTGATGGCACTGTGAGCCCTTCAAGCTCTTTGGTGGGACCTAGGGGGACTTTCTCACTCAGGTTGATGACCTCTGAACCTTCCCCCTCCGGACCCTGTCAGGGAATCCATCAAGTCATATTGCTATACATTAATCACGAAAGGACACACAGTAAGAGACTCTTAAAACGTGTACACCCAGAGAGGAGATTCCTGTAAGCCGTGACTCACCCCGCTAAGAATGTTTTTACCCACAACATAACTATTTAGTTCCTCCTGAAGTGTCAAGAGAAAAGAGTGACGCTATAGGCATTCTACAATAAGGTGTAGTCCTTATTATCTCTGCCGCTTAGGCTATGTTTTCAATTTGATTTGTTTGTTTGTTTGATTGCCAGCTGAAATACTGAAACAAATATTTAAAAAATAACTTAATGGAAGAGTGTAGCATCAGCCAAATAAAAAAGCCTCTAGATCGTAGAGGATCCGAATCCGATTGCCCTTGTGAATTTAATTGATAACGTTTCAATACCCTACTTTTCTATACAAACAAAGAAAAACACATTGTTACAAAGCCTTGACTCCAACTACATGCATACCTATCCCTACATTTGAAACATAAAGACTGACCTGGATCCTGAGTTCAGCAAGTTGTGAGATGAGGTCCTTAAACGTCTCTCTGTGGGCAGCAGGCAGCTCAGAAGACAACACTATGCCCACGTAGGACCCTGGAGTCGCTGACAAGACGTCAGGGAACATGAAGATCCCAGAATTAGCCAACAGCACTGGAGTGTCTGTTGTCAGCGGGTACAGACAGTCACACACCTTGAAAACACAAAGACACACACAAAAAATGAGGTCAGAATGATAAAGGTCATCATCACCCATGTACCATCATTACCAATAAAGGTTGTATTCACTCTAACTGAACTGGTCAAATATTCCAATGGTGGCTTCTGTTGAGACCACAATTGTTTTTCCAGTTCATAATATGTGAATTGTAAATCATCCAATGTTATATCCAAATGTACTTCATATGTAAAAGGCGGTTTCTTTTGAGGCCTACAGTAAATGTTTGCTACTGTAGATGCATTGTCAATTCCAGGAAGCAGTTTCCCCTGCTCCTTTTGACCCCATGTTTTCCACTCTCAAAGACACATGATAGGATTTTAGCCCCATCAGGACTTATGTCAGTCATCAACACAGACATAATATAGACACAGCTGCATAGTGCCACTGGTATGCCGCCTGACAGAATAACCCCGCGAGGGCGCAGGACACTGACCAGCAGCACAACAGAAGTGCAAAGTCATCTGTTAATGGGACTATTGTCCTGCTGGGAAACAAAGCAGGGCCAGAATATAGCAGAGCAGCTGACCAGCCATGGCTGGTGGGAAACAGAGTCATGGGTTGCCCTGCAGTATTCTTCAGCATGGTATTACATGCACTTTGTAGAGGTGTCAGAATACAATATTGTTACTTTATGCGTTTTATATTGAGCAGGTTGTCAGAAGGCTTACAGGGACAGGGCAGATAAAGATTCTATAAGCAAGCTAAAACAAAAGTCATGCATTTCACAAATACATGGAGAGTAATATAGCTCAAACATTGATACCACAATGGTATTTACCAACTATTATGGTATTTACTACAATGTTTTTCACATTACTAAAGTATGATCTAAACATTGTTGGAGTGTAAAAGCATTATCGACATTGTAACTAGAGCTGATATATATATCTATTAACGAAAATGTATTTTGATGATAAATAAATCCTTTTCCTTTTCATGCAAAAACATTTTATATTTTTTGTTGAACCATATTGAGCCTTTGGGGTATAAGTGACAGGTATGTTTCACTTTTCTAAGAGGTTTTATAGACAAAACAGCTATCATTGGCAAATAAAGAAAATAATCAATGGATTAATGGCTTATGAAAATTATCAATAGTTGCAACCTGAACTGTAAAACTCTTTCAAATTTAGTATAAATGTGGTCAGGGAAAATAAATTCTCAATCCAATACAGCTTTAATGCTGTTTTGTCATTCCATGTGCATGTGTTGTCAAACTCAAAGTGCACATCGCCCAGTCCGTCATTTGAAAGCAGAACATTTCTTTGTGAGTAGTACTCATTTTATACACTATATACCAACAAAGTGACTCATAGTTAGTTCTAAAACTGGTCTTATGGAGACAAAGTGGTTTCACCCGGGGTAGTTTCCTCCTCACACACTCACCTCTAAGACACACGCCCAAGGAAAATGCTTTGCTGACATATCCACACCCAGATGCATACACGTATTATGACATATTGCATACTCACATGTAGGAAAGCTGAGGGTCTTCCACCATTGGAATTTGTGTGCTGATTTTCAAATGTGAGGATGCGAAGGAAGCCTGGGTAAGACAGGGCGCTCACTTGCCCATTCGCTGCCACGAAAAACATCTGCACCCCAGAGGGGATGTAAAGCATCTCGTTTCCATCTTTTCCTGCTGATGCCCCGGTCTGCCTTCCGAGCCTGAAGCCGCCTCCAGCAGAACTATAAGACAGGCTGCGGTGGCCGACAGTTGGCTGGGGGCTGTATGCTGGAGGCTGGTCCCCTGGGTTAGCCATGATTCCTGCAGGGAGCGTGTGCAGAACAGCAGGGGCAAGAGGCCTAGGAGGGAGGTTTGGGGTTGTGCTCTCTATAGTGGTAGGTACGGTGGGGTACAGACGGTGGAGGGAGCTTTGGGGGGGCTGGCTGCTCTTTGCCAGGTCAGGATAAAGACTGAGAGGTAGATCCATCAATAGGCCGCCTCTCTGTGCTCCTGTGGTCTGCTGAGAGGTCTCCATGTCAGAGAGGTGGGTGGTAACAGTCCTCAGAGAGTCCCTCATCTTCTGCTGAAGCTGCCTGGCTGTATCCCAGAATGCTCCCTGATGCCTCTTCCCCCCAGTGGGAACTCCCAAGCCTTGGGTGAGGTGCTGTCGGCCTTTCCGGTAAGACTCCAGGGCCTCAGCTTTTTTCCCGGCCTCTTCAGCAGCCAGACCCCGGCTCAGAGAGTGAAACGCCAACTCATACTGGTCCTTGATGATCAGCAGCTCAGCAGGCTCAGTCATACTGAGGAGTGACAGGTGCTAGAAAAAGCAGGGACACAGTGAACAGATAAACAGTTCATCTCTAAATGAAAAAAGTTGCGTCTGTATTTGCAGTCTGTTAGATTAACCATAAAAAGATGCATACACAGTCAGGGATTTTGTCCTACAACACATACTGTAAATATTATACACTTAGATATTTGTGTACTTTAGTTTAAGGCCAATAGTTTCAAAAATGAACACTTTGACTGAAAACGACAACGTTGTGTTTATTAAACAGAACGAGGAAAGAGTTAAGAGCATGCACCTGTCACCCAGATATGCAGCTAAACCAGCTGTGAAAAGTAAAGAAAGACACATTGCCTACATAAGCACTCTGGCAGCATTAAGGCAAAGTACATGAAAAAAAAAAATCTCTGTTATGTTATTGTTGTTGGCGACTATGACAGGTTGTAAATAGCCTGAGCAAGCGAACACATCAGGTTTAACCTGAACAACAAGACCAGGGATTTGCCTGTGGGCTTTATAGAAGCCCTCTTAAGAAAACAACTTTACAGTTAAAATAACAGCGTTTAAACATGTATTCATAGGCTATCAAGTGTATCAAAACATAAAATACCTTTACGTTTTCAGACAACTTACCTCTATGATAAACTTTAATATGCCTTACCTTGAACTTTAATATCCGGTAAGAGGAGAAAACCACACAAATAGGTAGTTTCAGAGTCCTTATTCAGTTTTATACAGTGTTTCCGTACTTTCATGGAAAATGCCAGCAAAAATATATGCGTTCACTTCACTGGCTGCGTCAATCTGGCGCACACCCAGCAGGTACACACATGCGTCAAACCAGCTGGAGCGACACAAATGGCTTCCGGCACACACTTTCAAAATAAAACCCATAGACTCAACAAAATGTTAAAATAAAAACTTTATTTAGAAATAAAGAATAAATAAAACACAATTACTTTAAGTGTGTTTTCTATCCTTTGCAATACAGTGAGACATGAAATATAAACATTTGCACACACAAAAATGCTATGGTAAACACTTATATAATCATAATGGTAGTGAAAGTAACAAAAGAAAAACCTGACATTGAGCATGAACACTTGCCAGTATTAAAAACCATGAGGTAGGTTTTAATAAAAAATGTTTTATTGAATTTGTATAAAATATATAGAGGAGTTTGCCATGTATGGGTTTGGCAGTGGAATCAGCTGGGTTTGTTTGGTTCTCAGTCTATTATTTTCTGGCAGAAGCGTTCAAGAAGGGTGGGGCAATTATTCATGGGAAGGCAGAGCAGCAGGTGCAGTGATCAATGAAACACGAAAATACCTGTAATTGGAGAGAATAAAGTTACATTTAGAGATTTAAAATGAAGTCCTGGACACATCAACAACTCAAACTTTCTGCAAAGCACACCTGAAATATCCCAAAGGTCTGTAATTTGCAGTAGCTGTTTGTAAAGTTGTAAATGTATATATATATATATATATATATAAGTTTAAATGTATATAAACAAATACAAACTACGCCTTACTTTGAAGTCTTATACTTTTCCCTGATGGCCTGTTGAGGACGACTCTCTGCACTGATGTACAGCTTGTGGAGGGCAGTCATGCAAGGCACAATTTCCGCAGTGGTATAACCAGTAAAGGCATTTAAGGAATCGGGCTAAAATATGGGGAGAAGTTGCCTAAAATGTCATATTTTTACCAATTCCTTGACAAGACAATGATCTGGGCTAACTTACCCAGAGAGATTTGTTTACAATGTAAGCAGCTAGGCAGTATGCTCCAGCTGCTACTAGAGATGGGGTGTACTGTAAGAATGGATCCATTTCCAGCAGGCTTAACTCTGCTACATACTAGAAGCAAACAAAACACACTTAACCAAATCAAAATATCATCAAGGTAAAAACAGCAGCTTTAAAAGGTAGTGGGAACAAATTTCTCTTTGATAATGATTTTTGCTAACCTGGGCCAGGTTCTCTGTGATGGTGCAGACAGGGTGGACGGACATGAAAAGGCGAAGAAACTGGTTTGTTGTGGGCACTGCCATCCGAAAGGACAACACTTTTAGGAAAACATGCTCCATCCGGACCAGCTGTTTCTTAGTGTAGGTGCCGTCTGTGGTGTACACAAACTCATTCAGCTCTGGGGGGCAGATCTCCTCGTATTTTCTGCAAGGTGACAGAGATTAGATGATGTGAGTCTCAAGACCACCAAATGTTATTACCAAATCAGAGAATGGACTGAACAAAAAACAAATCTTTAGAGACAAACAAATGCTTACGCAGCAATCATTAACGCAGCTGTGCCGACCAGCTGCAACTTGCCACGTTTCACCAATGCAGTGTACGACAGAAAGCGGTCTAAATAGTTGACGGCAAGGTGCAGAGTTTCAGAGCGAAGCCTGTATTCCTGGACGACTTCCACCAGCCAGTCCACCAGGATCACTCGCATGCCATTGGTGATCTCTGGATGTTTCTCTAAGTAGCCTGGCTTTGGCCTGGACTTTATCTGGCATTACAAACAAAAGCAGTTATGAGTTATTTACAATGGACTGTGGAGCAAAACGTGCTCATAATTTAGATAATTTCTCACTTCACGCTCCCTCAAGTGCAGATGAATGTCCTCCGCATATTCAGAAACACACAGCACTTCCTTTGACATCAGGGATTCATCTTGTTCAGACTGCATAGAAGCATCATCGTCTGAACCTATAAGAGTGAACAGCAATGTAGTAAAAAATGTACAGACTGAACCAGGAAAAAGCCTAGTAAATGTTTCTTTGCCAAACTCACTTATACTCGGTTCCATCAAGAATCTTAAATCAGCAGTAGTTTCGGCCACTACGTTATAGCTCTCTGAGACAACTTCTTGACCAGAAGGAGCAAGAACAACTTCACAAGCCTCCTCAACATAAATATCAAAGCTGGAACTGGAGGGACGGTTAAGGAAGGCGAGATGGGAGCTGTCTGAGATTGAACTTTGTTTGGAAAATGTACCTCCCTGTGGAGAAAAAAAGAGTGATTGGAGAAGGAAATATGCTTGCTGAAATGTGATTCTTATGTGAAAGGAAATGTATTTGAAAAGGTTCTTAAATGCTACAAACGCTCTCCACTGTGCCATTCTCACTTACCTGGCTGTAGGATCGACCATGATAATCATTTTCTGACAACACACCGAGGACGATGCGCTGCTTGCCTCGCTGGACCTGCACGGGATGTGGAATGTTTTCTTTGCTGGTGTGACTGCCGCTATGGGCATTTGTGCTGAAGTTCATCTTTAAACAAGCAAAGATAAAGTATTAAAACATAGCATTCAGGAAAGAAAGAGTAACAGAAATATTTCATGAAATAAATGAGATAACTTGTAGGTATGTGATTACATATACAACTGAAAATTGACCATTATTATAGTATTTGTCAGGTTCATGTATGCAGTAGGCCCGTGGTTCCCAACACGGGTTGCCACATAATTAAATGATGGTATCAAATAAGAAAGAAAAACCTTTACACCAAATGATGTACATTTTTTCAATTCATTCATTTTTTGTGAAATGGGTTTTAGCACAGATATAAACCGTTTTATATCCATGTGTTTCAGCTCTTCTGCCTTTTGACCACTATAAACTATTCAATTGTGACAATCTGACCGAAACATCAGTTTTAAAATCATTTGCAATCTTTAGTTAAAAAAGAAGCAAACCACACAAAATACAGCATTTCAATAGGCCTCTCATTATGTTTTTTTTATGAATAAATGTATCTTTAGAATGGCAAAAAACAAAGGCATTTTTTTTCATTTGCCTGAATCAAGGTTGAGGTATTAAAAGTGCTTGTTTTCATTTAAAGACCAACATATATTCAATTACTGGCATACCACAAAGGATAGGCAACAATGGAGAGGCTGGGACCAGTGAATAGCTATTCTGCTTTAAAAAAAAACAACATTATTGATCACTTTTGAATGAAGTTGAAACATATTTTTTTGGAATATATACTTTTTAGTTCTGAAGGTTAAAGAACAGATCAAGGAATACAAAAAGTCTCACAATTGATTAAAAAAAAATGTGTGTGGAGAATTACATTAGTTTTTTTGTAATCAAATAAAGTCTAGCATCAAGCATTTTAATAGAGGTCAGTAAAGTGTGATATTTACTCACTTCTCCTGTACGCAAGTGAACTGAAAATGTAACATTACCATGGTTACAAGAATGTATTACTCTCCAAGAATCACATAAACAAAAACTAAGATAAACATCGAGTAAAATACTGTAGAAGGCTTCAAACTAAGTGCATCCCTTCACTGTATCACAGAACACAAACAACCACAGGTTGTGTCGGCTTCAAACATAAAGCATATTTTCTTGACTGCAAACTCACCGTTATCAGGATCAACGAAGTAAACAGCAAACGTTAAGAAGGTGAAAGGAAAAACCGGTGCATTCCACTAGAGCGGAGAAATTGACGGTACAATTCTGATATTTGCTTTTTTGCAGACAGACAGCGACCTCTTGCTGCGTTTAAGTGACTTACACTAGCTTGCTGTGTCGTATGTTATTTATCCGAGCGAAAAAAGTTTCCTTCAGGTTTGCTTCTAAAAATAATCAGCTGTTTCCTCCGAACGGCTTTCTGACCAATCACGTGCCAGAACGCAACAGCTGACGACGTCGTGCGTCAGGAATCCCTCACTGAATTTCTAAAATGATTTATAATTTAAATAACGGATGGTTCTGTTTTTGATTTTCCATGACTACCTTAAATTCAGAAGATATTGTTAGGTAAAGCACCTATTTATTAGCTGTCCATAAACTGATACATGTTGGATTTGGAAAATGACTTGTATGGAGCTCAACATTCCCATTAAGGATGCTATACCTTTCCACTGATCTCTTAAACAAACTCCAATACATAGTAAATCTTTAGATAATGCTTGGGTTATTATTATTTATATTTTAACAAGATGCAAATACTTTTTTGTAAAATAGTTGTGATGCACTAATATATTTTGTACAAAAACATACATGTAGTTTTTTTTTTTACCATTAAAGGTAGGGTAGGTAAGTTTGAGAAACCGGCTCGAGATCGCTAGAATTTGAAAATACACAACCGGAGAAAATCTGCCACTTCCTTATAGAGCCCCTCCTCCAACACACACGAACTCGCACATGACCAATGAGGGCACGAGATAAGTTTGTGCACAGATGGAAGGCTGACAGGCAGGTAGGCCATCCAGTTATTTTAGCCGGTCCGGCTAAAATGATTGGTCGTGCTTTTTACAGTACTACGGCTTCCACAGATGACATTTTTTTATGGATTTTTTGTCAAAGCACTTAAGATATTCATTGCTATCGGGATGTTCAGAGCATTCCATGAAATATAACAAAAAGTGTATCTCGAGCCGGTTTCTCAAACTTACCTACCCTACCTTTAACTCTTGTCTTTTTTTGTATCTGTTAATGACACATTTTCCTTATTTGTATTCATATTTGTGTCCTTTCTGTTTCACATGAACGTAGTCAGTTTCTCTCCCTTTTTCGAGATGTATCGAGATTTGTGCTTGATATCATTATCAAAGCAGTTTATCGTACATGTCACTGGGATTTTTCTCACATATCTGGATTTTCCCTTTCAGCTGGCAAGTTTCTCTTGACTGCAGTTAGTCACCCTTTTGTTTTGTCTTTTACACAAAAAAAACATTGGTTTGAGGATGAAAGTGTTGCTGCTTCTGTCTGAATGCCTTCCTCTCAGTTTTCTCCTCAGCAGGGTTTAAACTGAACTCCATGCTGAACGGGTCACTGCTGTTGGCTTTGTTGTCGCTCTGCAGAGGCTGTGTGCTTGTATCCCACATCAGAGAAGCAAGGGTTTTCTATTGGATAGAAAGCAGAAATTCACAACTGAAAACACACCAATTCTACATTATAATATATTGTCTTGTGGACCTGTGCAATATTAAATGAGGGACCCTCCTTAGACTCATAAACACAAACAAATTAACAATTTAAAAAAGCTCAAGATAAAATAGAATAAATACATATTAAGTATTAGGGAAAAAAGTATATTTACTGTAAAAACTCCACATTTGTCTGAGTATGAGAGTAACCTGCTGATGTTCTAAAATGTCCATCAGATGGCAGACTTTCTCTACAGAAATAATCGTCTGATGTTTTTCATCTGCAGTAAATCCACGGTTACGTCAAATAACCATTTTACTATTTGTCAGATAACGTAACAATATGGATGCAGAATTTATCGCTGGGCTACAACCCAAATAAGTCATAAATCATACATATTAAATGATCATATTACATTGTGAGCCTGTTAAATCAAATTTTACAAATTCCCACCGAACCTTTGCTCATCCCAACTCCTCAGGGATGGAGATGGTGCAAATCTGTGAAATACCAAAGTTAAAGTGGGACGCACCTTTCTGTGCTTGCAAAGCAAGCTGATGTTATGAGTTGCCTGAAATGATCATTGTTATGATGATTATTAGCCACAGGCAGAACTACAGGCGGTAAAGTAAAGAGTCATGGAGCTCGGGGGGGCCCAGGAGCATCAACCACAGTGTTGTCATTTTGCTGCTGTTTGCTCCAGTGGAGCAAACAGGGGATTAAATAATCCAATTTCCAATCTTTAGGCTGCTTATTGAACCTTCAGCCAACCGTCACTCTTATACTTTCCTGTATGTGTGCATTTATCATATACATACGAGGTGGATAGAGCTACCGTCCTCATTTGACCATAAAAGTGTTCCACCTCTAATCCAATGTAAGCATTTCTTACATAAATATTTATTCTTCTATCTTTATGTAATTAAATTAGACCTCAGTAATCTATCATTGATGCTTCTGGTCAAACACCATGCAACAATCTTTGGAGGCACATTTCACCCCTAAAAACATTACTATGGAGCAGAAATCCCTATGGCTGAATTTTGATAGACCAGGTGCCAATATTTACCAGCATTGCTGCAGATTAAAACCAAACATTTCCCTTTTCCAGACCATGTATGCACAAATATTTCTTACCATTAATTATAATTAGATTAATGAATGAAGAGCATTCCATCAACAGTGAACTAAGATAATGTAATTCTGAGTGTTATTATATCTCTTATTAGACCTAGGCACTTATTAGGCACTAAAAGCATAATTTCACAACCCTGTGTAGCTTGTGTGACATTGTACAGTTTGTGGAGCTGAAACATATCAATACCCAGTGCCAAGGAGAGGAGGAAGTGAGTAATTTTCCCTGTGACAGATAAGATGCATTGGATCTTTGCTCCTCTGCAGAACTGATGAAATATCCTCACCTATTTGCTCCAGTACAGATGGGAGATAAGGTCGCCGGCTGTGGCCATTTTTTTCTCTGAAAAATGAAAATAAAAAAATCGATATCTGGTCACACTGTGCTGAAAGAAGGGACTGAGCAAACACACACATTCAGACTCACACACAAAAACATAGCACCTGCTCGGGGGACACTGAGTCTCTCTGTCTTCCTCTGTCTTTATATCCCTCTTCCTCATTTCCGTTCGGTCCCTGAGCAGATGCAGATTGCTTATGACAGATAGCATTGGGCTGCTGCCATTTCATTAACATGATGTATTGGTGGTGACAGGCTTGGACCAGATGGGCAGGCGGGGGGGTTTGAGCATCACCTCTTAAATACTGCACCTTTCAGGAATATCCTCCCAGCGAGCGATGGACACGTCTCACCTCTCAGCAGCATCTCATCCTGTGGTGTTCGCCCTGTTGGGAGATCACAGCAGAGATTGTCTCTCACCCTGAGCACAGATATAGCAGTTCAGGAAACACGAATCGGGCGACTAACCTGCAGGATAAAGAGATGAAAAGGCATCCTAATCTCCTGAAGTTTATCCACGTTGAACAGGCATTTTCCCATCACCCTTGGCAGGAAGAGAAGATGATAAACTGATCACGATTCGATCCAAACTCAAGAATCAAACTAAATTCTCAGTTATCTTTTTATCTTACCCACAATCCTCCATTCCCCCTGTTCCCAGCCAGGTTAATAAATGGTTAGGGGAAACAAAACATCGCAAAACAGTTGCAAATGGGCTGATTTCAACCTTTGTTGTCAGCTCAGTCAGACTAAACTTTAACTACAAACAATTGTAAGTTCATTGGCTGTACATATTTGTACTCTCCCTTTAAATCTGCTTTGTTTTGTTTATGTGGGCTGGAAAAAAAATTCACCATGAATTAATCTGAACACCGCTACAAAGATGAGTCGTGTTAGGTTGAAGCCCAATTAGCAGCATTTATGGCTCTGAAAGAGAACTGGCAATCATCACGTTAGCATCCAAGTTTTCATAAGATCATGAGACAACAGAACTTTAGAGAGGCCAAATCATCTGTGGCAAGCTGCAGGGGCATCAGTGAAGAAAACACTGCAAAACATTTCATATGTAGAGGGGAAGAGTTTCAAAACTCATGACAAACACCAACAAACTACATCAAATATGATTAGTAGTTATTCCTCTTATCCTCTTTGCCTGCTGTGTGGAGGTCACATGTCTCACACAGTCTTTGAGCTAATAATGCTTTATTTAATTATCCTCATGCGGATCAAAGGAGCTTTTGTTGGGGAATATGATGGGGACATTTGGTGCCAATCTCCTCAATTAAAAGGCCCATCACTGTAATGAGCCAGGGGCAAAAAAAGAAAATGTGCTTGGAAAAGAAAGAGGGGAGGGGGCATGTTATGTCAAGTGGGAGCGCTCTTATTGTCTGTTTCTTATGATGGTGGAATAATTATGATGCTCAAACTGTGAAAACACAACACACACCTGCAGAGACAAGTCAATCTATAACCAGACACTTCATAGGATATTACAGCATGTGGTATAAGCCATAAAGATGTGATGAAAGTTTAATTGTGTTCTTTTGGGGTCTGCGTAGAGTATTCAAAGTGAATATTAGGAATACAGAGACAGAAATATGCACTGATTTACTGAATTGTGAAAAGACACAAACCCATGCAGTGATTCTGCACAGTGTGGTAGCTTTAGACCTTACATCTTCTATAGCTTTTATGGCAAACTTGTGCATCAAATATCTCCCGTCTATCCATGTCTGAGCCATGGTTCATATGAATTATGAATGTCTGAAGATTAAGAGCTTTTTTGTATTTGCAGTTTAAGGGCCCGAAATCTTTGGGTGCACTAAATTATTCATATATTCAAATGAATCTGACTTTGAGGACATTTTTTTTCCTTTCTTCTCTTCTTTCATGAATTTAGAGTGTACCCTTCAGAGGGATAGGGTGAAATTGCCAACATTATTAGCGGTTAAGGTTTTATAGGGACACTGATTTCAGTCTACTTTTGGGCGTCTTGCTCAGACGTGTGTTTGTTTTATACATGTGTGTTGTGTTTTATTCCACTCCCCACAGTACACATTTTAAATTTCCATCTCACTCATTGTTATTCTGGACAAGTCCTCGCCTGTCAGGCTTCTGTCCTGTTCTCTCTCTCTGTGTGTCTGTGTGTGTCTGTGTGTCTGTGTGTCTGTGTGTCTGTGTGTCTGTGTGTGTGTGTGTGTGTGTGTGTGTGTGTGTGTGTGTGTGTGTGTCACTGTTATGCCTCAGTATATTTTCTCTGCTCCATGTCGTCAGATCTGTGGAGCTCATTTTGATTGGCAAGACACCGCCATGAGACGAAAAGCTGGAGTGTAGTCCGTGCATATTTATTGGCTGGTGTCTGATCTGAAAAATCTTTAACAAACCTAAACTGAAAATCACAAATAATTCTGCATATCATCACAGAGACATGGACCCAATATATTACATATTAACAGTTTCTCAGAGATTAAGGATGCAAGGATAGTTTGACTTGCAATAAGGGGAAGACAAATTAAAGAGTCAGCTTTCTTCTGCTCATCAAAGTCTTACATTTTGCTTTTGTGAACTTCCCTCTCAGTGGGGAGCTTTGCAAATTGCAGCAGATTACCAGAGGGATGAGATGCATATCTGCCAGTGCATCTACAATACCTAGAACTTCTGACATATATGAAACTAATAAGTTGTCGGTTATCCAAGAGTTATAAATTGTTCCCCTGAGTGTAGCAGAATAAGCTTGTCAAACATACACTCAGTTCAACCCCAAAATAGTCCAATGCAGTTGCTCAACCTCAATACTGCATGTCTCCCCCTCATTAACATGCAGTGCAGACACTGGTGTCCTCACAAGGGCAGGCTTGGGATTGCATGGAGTCAGAACAGGCTGGAATATCAGGGAATGACATGGAATTGGTGGCCACGCCGTCTGGGATTAGTACGAAAAACCAGCCGAGGCCAAAACTCTTATCTCCATCCTTCAGTCCTCTTTCTCACACACTGACACGCACATGCACACGCACGACGAAACCACACACTGCAGTTTGCACAGAGACGTGTAATCACATCCACATAATTAGCTTTGCCAAACATATTCCCTCTTTAGGCAAATATAGAATTGCGTGACTGTAACGATTCCCTGTTTAGAAATGGTCTCTTCCGAGTGTGATTAGTAGAATGAAGGTCATGGAAAATAATTATTTGAATAATTAAATTATGTTCTTTTTCTCTGTCCTTGGTGTCTCCCTCAACATTTCTTTTTGGGGTTCAGATTACGATGATATTCACAAACGGATTATATTCTCATCAGATGAATCCTAGACCCGTCACGTCTCTGTGTGAAGTGCACATGAATACCAGCTATGTGATGTTTGGGAAAGCTGGATTTGGATGGGAATAAAGTCATAGTCCTCTCATCTCTACTCTCTCTGTTCTCCGATGCTGCTTGCAGGCAGGGTGGCTGTGTCAGCGGGCAGATGGCGGAGGACGGAGGCATCTGTGCTCCCCTTCATAGAGGAGAGACAGGTGCTATCTGCCACATGATTAACACCTCATGAATATCATTAAGGTGCTAACAAGCTCATTCATCAGATTCAGGGTCATGCTCACATTTTATTTTATATCAGAGGACACTGAATTGTTTACTTTCAAAACAAGCAACGTCCTTTTCCAGGACTGGTTGGTTAACCTGAATAAGCAATTCATATGTTCTACTTCAATAAAAAAAAAGGTCTGTCTATTATGTGGACTGAGGATCTTCTGACTTTTCCTTGAGTTTGTACATTTTTTCTGTGAAGTATTTTAACACACACTTGACTGATTATCCCAGATTTGTGTACAAGCAGTTATTGTGCCTCTTGAACAATGTATTTTAAAAACTGCAGTGATCTCTTAACATTGTTAGTCTATCATCAGGTCAGGTCAAATTGTATTTATTTAACAGGGACACTGCACATTCATTAACATTTCTGTAAATGTGCCAGAGTTAGCCAAGGCTATTTTTCATCTGTAGTCCCTGGACAGATTTTGTAAGTCAACCTAAAACACATTTCATTTTAAACAAGTAAATACAATCAAATAAAAACATGCAATTTAGTGAAGTACTTTGCTGTATGTCAAAATACTAGCGAAACTAATGCATCAGCCACAACTGTACTTTATGTATGGTAGTTAGCATATTGCTAACATGCTATCTAAGACGCTGAACATTGTAGACAACATCAAAACCTCTAATCATCATTATGAACCTATTAGCATTCAAACACTGACGTTATCATTTGAAAGCGTCGCTATGACTTCAGTGATTACAGCCTCCCAGAGCCGCTAATACTGTTTAACAGAATCAATGCCATCAGCACCACAAACAGGCTCCACCTCCATTGTATTAGAGCAGTGGCAGGAGAAAAGAAAATGTCAAAATGTGTCAAACATAAATCCCAAACTATCTGATTAACTTAAAGTGGACCTATCATGCTATATGTGAATAATATAGTGTAGGACCATACCTATATAAGGCATATTTATACTTTTTTTTTTTCAAAATACCAAACAGATCATGCATTTTAGCCATGCCTCATTTTGCTCAATTTGACAATTTATAGCTCTGTTTGTGCAGGGGCAGATTCAGTGAGAACAGCACCATCTACTGGCCTGGCATATGTACTACAGCGTCTCCAGCGCTTTCGAACGGCAATGGCCGTGGCTGTCTCCTTCTGATTGGTGGAGTTGGCCCAATAGCCGTAGCGCCACCGTCCTGACGTCAGGACAGTGTTCAAATCTGGATCAGTTTTTATCAGATCCGTTGCAGCCCCTTTTTTAGAGATTTGGGTATGGAGGAAAATAGAGAGGGTTGTGTTTTCTGACACTTGGTGAGTTCCCTGGAACACCGGGGACACATATTCATGTATAAAAGACGTACAAAAGCGCATTTTGCATGATAGGTCCCCTTTAAAAGAGCGGGAACGGCCCCTTTAATTAGATATTTTTATTGGTTAGAACAGTTAGCTAGCAAGTTAGTTATAGGGAATATAATGACTTATATTTTGTTTATGAATGATGAATCTCAGACTTTGATATTCCTCTTAAAAAAATAAGCATTTAGTGAGAAAAAAAATCCAGTTATAGCATATATTCATCACAATTTTCAATTTGTATATAAAGATGTGTGCACTTTACAGAATGTATGTGCTTTGCTGCCGTTAAGAGACTTACTTTTAAAAGTGGGGATCAGCGGGAGAGAAAGAGAGGTAAGTGAAGATGTGAGCTTTAAAATGAAGAGAGGTGAGAAGAGATGCGCTGAGGAACTAAAGGGTGTTAAAGGCTAATTATTTCTTCCATGGCCGCCCTTTACTCATTCATCCGCCAATTTGGGGTCTCGTCTGAGGAGTTTAAACTGCCTGCATGACGGCAGCCGGTTATTGCTCACTACTGGATACTGACGCAGTTTGCTGAGAGCAGAGAACAGGCTGTGTCACACACACACACACACACACACACACACACACACACACATTAGAGAGACGTGAGACAAAGAGTGGATTGGGTGTGTGTATGTCATGACAAATATTGATTTATTGGTCAATTGTCAAACCATTTCTCTGGCTGTATGTCTATTGATCCGACTGATGTCTACCCCTGTAATGAAACAATTGAACAGTGTGAATCTTTGCTCAATGAAAATTAGAGACAGAATAGATTGTACTGTTAATGTGATCATCAAAAGTGGGAGGGCAGAGATGGGGGGGGGGTTGTCACACTGAGAGACGGGGTGGGTTTAGAGCGAGCACTACTCCCCCTCTTCTTTCCTCTTCACCCCTCTCAAGTAAAAAAAAAAACATAATTCATTAGTTACAGCCTCTCAGATAGAGACCTTGTGCATGCGTGTGTTCCCTTTTAAATGTGAGCCCATTCATATTAGAGGACTCATATCTGACAGTGTGTGTGTGTGTGTGTTTGTGTCACACTGAATGACAGAGAGGGGGGGGATAGCGGACAGGCTCAGAGGGAAGATCTCAGGGGCAGCAGAGATCTGGTTCGCTCGGCTGAAATACCAAACACACAACGGGATGGATTTCTGCACAACGTGAATGCCAGCAAGGAACACCGGTCTCACACATTAAAAAGGTCTGTAACTTCTCCTTTTTTAAACAATATCTGATATGCTTCTAATGCTTGAAGCTGCTTTTTATGAAATGTCTCCAAATCGTTTAGAGACAGAGCGGGCACGGTGTTAATCTGCTCTGTAAGAGGGGATTCCTGCTGAATCCAAAGAGCCATTATTCACCTTAAATGCCTCAAATGTATCCGTCTCGTTTCAATGCCAGCAACTTTATTCAGTGCTGTATTTCTGCCTGCACAGCAGTCGTGACAAAACACTGTTAGACAGCCAGGGAGAGAGATGAAAGACATACTGTAGAGGAAGGATGAAATTCTGAAATATAGGAAAAGAGGGGCATACTTGTTTTATGTGGCTTGCAGAAAAGGATACATGTAAAGGGTATGAAATAATATATACATTAATTCACCAGCCTCGGAAAGAAAGCAGGCTTCCTGTGGCAGTTGAGAAAAAGAGGAGTGATGAGTGAAGCAATTGTGCCCCTGGTTTGAGAAGAAAAAAGGACCTCAAGAAAGTGTGTTCAGTGCATTGAGAGAAAGAGCAGGGTTTGTTTGAGTTTAAAATGATGTATGACTCCCAGTTCATTATAAACAAAGAGAGAAAATGAACTGCTAACGGACACGATCAGTATCAAATGTATTGGCAACTGCTTTAAGGAGTAGCAGGAGTAGTTAACAGATAGAGAAGGAGAAAATATACTTCACCACAGGGATGGACTAGCACACACACACACAAACAATAACACTCACATCAAAGCAAGAGAGCTCATTATCCACACTGACCAAAATGTCTTCCCATACGTAATGATCACGCATCCCAAATGTAAACTCCTGTTATCTTTCTGTCAATTGGAATAAGCCCTTCGCAACACCTTTAAGATCTCATTACAGTGGAGCTTTTTGAAATGCTCACCTGCCTGCACTGAATATCAGAGAGAATCAGACAACAGACGGACAGCGGTGCTCGACCCCTGCTGGAGCCGTCGGGTGCCCTCAGGTGCGCTGCAGGATTTTATCATTCAAATATACAAGCAATGAATAAAAACACAAGTTTATTGTTTTGTGGACTCATTCAAATTCAACCTGTTTTTCTACATTTAATAGAAGTATGTGTAATGTATTGGCATATGTAAACTATCCAAACTGAAAATAATAAATTGTTGAGCATCTTGTGGGAAATCAGTTGAGAGCTTCTGACGCATTAAAACATCACCGTCTTCCTTCTTTCATCATTGCTGCATATCTCTGACCCATAAGTGGGTTATCTGTGCTATTTGGGGCTGCTGAGGCGATTTGGAATTCATGTGGTTGAGCCTCAGGTCTGTTTTCAGCTGATCTGGCTCAGAATATGAAAAATATAACATGTTTGAAATTCAGGGGTACTTTTATTCCCCAACAATCTGTTGTTTGAGCTGGAATCGTGTGTAAGCCTGTGTGTGTGTAGACATCTTTGTGTTGGCATATGCATGTATGTATATATATATATATATATATATATATATATATATATATATATATATATATATATATATGCATGTATGCATGTATGCAAGTTAATAGTATTTGTGCTATTGGCACAGCTCGTCTGTTGAGGCATGAGGTGTGAATACTGTATGAAGCACACACACAAAAGAATATGGCCCAAATGCCATGACATTTTGCCACACATGGATCTTGTGCATTATTCATGAAGTGAAAAGCCAATACCAGAACTGAACAGACAACAGATGGGTTTGTCTCAGGGGTTAAGGTTTTAGTAAATATGTGCATATGGTGCATGAATGGACTGTAAAACTGTCAGTTTACTAGGCTATTTCCCCGTCACCGAAAGAGATGTCAATGTTTTAATAAGAAGAAAATGGAGGGTCCACGGCTATGTTGCAATCCGTTTCTCTACTGGGTCCTGGATTGGGAAGCTGTTGTGAATATAAACAGCCTCATGCAAAAATGATATCTTTTATAAATAAAACAATAAAACCATACTTGCATGTATCTTTAGAATAAATGGATACAAATAGGGATAGATTAAAATCCTCTATCAAATCTTAAATCATTCAAATGTATTGTATAAAACTAAAAACACACACTGTACAAAAGACATAAGAAAATAAAACAGCGAAGAATATTGTGAGGACAAGGGATGATGAAAAGATGAAGGAGGATGAGGAACAGATTGAGAAAGTGGAGCAGAGGAAGCTTCACGGCACAATGTCTCAGGAGTTTTGCTGAACATACTCCACCAGCGGAGGAGGAGACCGTGTGAGGAGTGACTTTGAGAGATAGTGCCGCTAAGGAAGGAGTTTGATCAGGACAAAGGGCAGCGTTGGGAGAGAAGGCGTGACGGCTATAGATACAGAATGGCGCTGGACCATACATACGCTCAAGTCAAGACCCATCAAGCAAAGGTGGAGTAGAGAGAGTAGAAAGCTGTGGAAGAATGAAGAGAAATGTGCTCAGGGCAGCTGGGTTAGAAGAGTGTGTAGTAGAGATAACCAAGGCTTTACTGAATATATTTAGAGCTCTTTAATAGGTTAAGGGGCAATACAAAGCTGAAATATATATAGATCATAAAAGAGCAAGTTGTAACCGAGAGTGAAAATGAGAAGCCTTTCAGCCAGGACCCATCTATTAGCCCGAGGCTGTTAGACTCCGGAGGAAACAGGAGAATGAGGAGGCTGAAAGGCAGAATAGATTTGGTTTCAAAGTGCCTGAACTCCACATGGCCCAGACTGGGAGTGAGGGGGACATACTTCCATGTTAAAGAAGTTAAAGAAGGTCAGAGACTTAAATCAAGTGAATTGAATGCATTCAGAAAATGGCCGGCTCTTGTGAAACCCGGTCGAATGGAATGCAACGGACTCTGAAGACCAGACAGGCTATTCTTAGTTTTGACGTCACAGTCCGATGGGATTGCTCACCTGGAGGGCAAAACAAAGCTGCCCTTCAACTGCCCGACAAGGACAGCGCAGCTTTTACCACACTGTCAGCCACAATGCCAGATACTGTAGCTGCTGTTACATTTCTGCAGAATCCTGTCTCAAAATGAAAACCCAGAGGTGGAGAGTGTGGCAATTAGACATGGCACCATCCCAGACGTGAACATTTCACATCAAAGTCACCAGACTTATCTGCATTACCAGTCATTTCAACTCGCTGATAATCTGATGGCTCTCTCTATGCTGTTCCACCTCTGACAAAGATGTGTTATCTTAGCAGCAGACATTAGTAGCTAATTACTAGCACTCATCTCCGCCTGCAGTCCAACAGAGAAAAGGCCATATCAGCTCAGAGGGAAGTGTATGAGTAGTTTAAATCACACCTGAGTGAGTGTGAGACTTAGCAAGACTCCTTTCTCCTCTGAGATGGAGAATGACAGTAGGGAAGGCAAGAGACACCTGCTGTACATACACACTTTAAATAATGTGGCAAGCTCCACTCACAGTATCAGCTGTTTTAAAAAGAAAACATCAAAGATTTTTAAAGCCAACAGAGGACTTCCATGTTAGACCTTAACCCTTGTGTGTTGTTGACAATGGCTTTACTTCCTTATTGTTAAGGGTCTCACAAACCACCACACTGCTGTACGTGTAAAACTAAAAAGTCATTAATTTCACGCAATGCCACACCTTTCTAAAACTGACCTCAATAAAACCTAATATGTAAGGATTGTGAAGAAGAATTTGAGTAGTACATTCCTTTCACCACAAACTGGTCTTTCACATTTGCTCAATGTAAAATGTCGAAAATGTCGAAGTACCTAGCTGATAAAACAGTGTTTTTGAAGCTGAAGAAGAAAAGAGTTCACCAATAATATTAGGGTTAAAGGTAGGGTAGGTAAGAATAGAGAAACCAGCTTGAGTGCGCTAGAATTTGAAAGTACACAACCGGAAAAAATCTGCCCCTTCCTTCAGACTTCCTTACAGAGCCCCTCCTCCAACACACACGAACGTGCACATGACCAATGAGGGCACGAGATAAGTTTGTGCACAGATGGAAGGCTGACAGGCAGGTAGGCCATCCAGTTATTTTAGCCGGGCCGGCTCAGATGATTGGTCGTGCTTTTTACAGCGCCACGGCTTCCACAGATGACATTTTGTTATGTATTTATTGTCAAAGCATTTAATGTATTCATTGCTATCGGGATGTTAAGAGCATTCCATGGAATATAACAAAAAGTGTATCTGAAGTGAATTACATACCCAGCGAAAGTAAAAACATGCTTCTGATACAAAAACTCAAGAACAAGTCAGATTACAGCTCAGAAAGAGAGATATAACAATGAGGCACAAAGGGTACAAATACTAAAGAAATCCCCATCTTCAAGAGTTAGCAATTTATTCTCCTAAAATCCGAGAAAAAATAAATGTAGGGAGGCTTAGCTTGACAAAAGAGCTGACCAAGGTCACGCTAGTCTTTGGGATGTGGAGAGAATCAGCAGAGACGGAGGATCAGCTGCATGAGAAGCAAGCAAAGCATGATTGTAAAACCATATCTTTCCGAAAAATAAAACCAATTACATTCAGTAGAAAACTGAAATTATTGATAATGATCATTTAAAGACACTCTTCACACCTCCTGGAAATATTTTGTTCGGTGTTGTAAAAGAGTACTCTGGGGTGTTGTTACAGGTACAAAAAAGAAAACTTCAGCCCAAGCCATTACATCGGGTGCTTGGTGTGATCAGAGGTGTAACTTTCAACAAGAGAGAGAGCAGCTACACAATGTTTATCAGGGTGGTGGGTTACAAGTTAGGAAGGAAGTCAATGAGAAAGAGCGGACATGTGGCTAGGCAGGATTTGTAGATGATTTTACTACCTAAAAACACATTAAAAGCATTATTTTTCGAGATAAGGACGCACAATTTTCCCATTTGCCCTGTATGTTCTCTGTATTACGCTTGTAGCTATTCCTTAGGAAAATAACTACCGGTATTCATTTAATGTAGGCGTGTGTGTGTGCATGCGTATGTCTGACCTCTTCAGCCTCAGCGGGCCTGCACGGCCTGCCCTCTTAAAGTAGATTAGCTTGAAAAAGAACTGAACGTACCTTGTTGCCTGGATACAAAAAGCATCATTAAGCCCAATTATCAGCCTCTTCAGTTCACAATGAACAAGCTTCATCACAGATTTCAAAACAACGTATCATTAACGACAGCAACCTATACAGAGCAGGAGAGAGTGGGAGGGTGACAACAGGAGAAGGACAGCAGAGAAGATATGTGAAAAGTGGCAAAGTGAAATTAGATCAAAGAGGTGGAGAATGAATGGAGAGAGTTTCAGGGTCAAGTTAGTAGAATTTTTTGCAGAAATAACAACATTTTTGAGTAAAGGTCGCCATCACCGTAATGCAAATGGTTAAATCAAGATGGTTAAATCATTTCAGGAAGAAATAATAATTAAAAGGATTTAGATTTAGGATGGCAATGTTGGACAGCTCAAGGAGAGAGGGGCAGGCATGTGCAGTGAATATCAATACTTAAACTCTGTAAAAAACATATAAGTCAACAAAGACTGCAAGACATTTTTCATTGGGTCGGGGAAACCACTGGGAGGATTTGATAAAGAAAACAGAGTTGGGGCAAGAGAGTATGCAATTACAGAAAGTGTGAGAAGCATAACTCCCCCTCCTCATTATGCTGTGCATCTCCCTGGAGGTACAGCAGGCTGTAGATTAAAGAGAGCAACATTCTTGTCAACTGTACCATCCAGAGAGAGACAAATTGAGAGAATAACGGGGGAGTGAATAAGAGTTTGGGGACAGAGTTAAAATTTCAAAAAGCGACCTTGTTCAATAGAAGATTACGTTTTGTTCAAACACTGACAAATGTAACAGGAACAGAATAAAGCGTTGGGATCGAACAGGTGCAACACATTTAATAACTGTTTTCATTTATAAAAGGTAAACTGTGCAAAACATAGTAGAAGCAATAGTCAGAAAAGTGTTCATATCACCATCTGGCATCATCTTAATGTGTCAGCTGAGCTCTGCTATTGCTATTGACTTTAGTTGTGTCTGCTGCTTTAATCTTCTCATTTTAATTTAATGTAAGGCTCATTACCTGACATGTGTCAATACTGCACACACACTCAATAGCATTTTCTCTGCAATAGTACAACAAGTAGTTTTGTAGTGCCAAAGTATAACATATAGCCTGCTCTAAAACAACAAACACCTGAATTAGCTAGTTGTCCATGCTCCACACAATAACCCACAATGCTTTTTACAGGTTAATGGCTAAAAAGTTAATGCTAGGTAGCTAACTGTCTACTAAAGTTTTCTTACATTTAACACACTCTACTTACATAAAACTCTTTAAGTAGGTCAAATAAATTGCAATAAATACACAAATTAACTGCTAGGGAATTTAGAGACTCCCAATGAAAAATTGAATGATACCACTTTTAGTAGCAGGCGAATTGTATTGGCTAATGCTAATCGCTGTTGGAAATGGCTAGTTCTTCCAGCACATACACGTATCCCAGGCTTGCTCTCAGCATTATTTTAGATCCAAAAAAATGTTTACAGGTGTTCACAAAAATGTATAATGTTATAGTCAAGATAGAAAGTAGTTGTCTTACCTGTGCAAAACATATTTTGGCAATATGCGGCGAAACTCTGCCATTTACACGATATTGGGGTAAACTATCTCAGCTTTGAACGAGATAAATCCTGCGACACAGAACAACAGCTGAGCTCTGACCCCTGACCCCCTCTGCTAAAAAGGTGTTCACAGATAGCACTTAGAGCCAATACAGTACATTACAATTACAGACTGTCCACATTTTGAAGGAGCATTTGTGTTTATTAACCAGTTTTCACACGAGTAATGCTGGGCTATGTAGTTATTGCAGCTTGGAGAATTTTTTTTTAATTTACAAAAGTTTATTATCTCATGTACTATTAAAAACATAGGCCTACCATGAATTCAATGTTAAGTGCATCATGTTCAACAAAGTGAGATTACACTGACTCACTCTTGTTGCCATTATGATTCGTTTTACACAATATAATCTTGCAATCGAGTACAAAAAGTAATTGAATGTAGGCTTTACAGAGGTAAAATAAACGTGTTCTTAAATATGATTCTGGTTCGCCATTGCAAACATATTATACAAATATATATTATGTCTTAGTCCTATTTTGTTTTTAATATCTAAGAATCTGGAGAAATATACATTGGTTGGATATATATTGTGATTTGTGAACAATGTTGATGTGCATTTTAGTCCATTCACTGAATATAATTTGGTCAGGCAGGCACACATATGGTCCATGGTGAAATGCATAACCATGAAATGGAGACGAAGGAGGGGAGAGCTGGCAAATAAGAGAGAAATGAGCTCACACCGCTGTGTTGCAAAGAGTGTTTGATGACCCCCCTGCTACATTTCTGGTCATGGTCAATCAATCGTCCCTTTGAAGTGTCTTTCTCCGCTGTCATAGATCAAGACAGAAGACTGGCCTAACCCAAATACAACTCTCTGTCTCCCCCCAACACAAAGACTGTGAACATTTATATACCACAATACTCAGTCACATGTTCAGGCCACTTTTGTGCCATGCAGTAATTTGCAGTGGAACAATATCAGCAGTATTAATATGCAATGGAGGAGGGTAGGCTCTCAGCTGTCTTTGTGAAAGCTGATTACGAGGAGTTTAATTTCATCAGATAAGGATGCCTTCGTTTATGAGCATAAAAGGCTCCAGGCTCCAGACTGACAGGCTTTCAATGACACAAGCACTCCCCCTGCTGTTTCTCTGTATTATAGTCCGGTCAGTAAAGCTCTTTATGCTGGAATTTATCCTCCGACAGTCTTACCACAACAGAACAGTGTCCACAGTAGATCTGTGTCTGTTTGTTAAAAATTCATCCTTGCATTAGAAATATTCACAGTGCTATAATTTTTGAGGGATCAGCAACAATTCTGACACAAATGAATATAAATATGTTTGCACTTATCTATGAACATACAGCGAGGGTATGTTGCAAGATTATGAGTATTTCATACAGATTTCATACATTATAACATAAACCAACACTTAACTGTTTTGCTTGTTTCATTGCTGCAAATACATTCAAATATATTTATATTTATTCACATTTTTATAATTTCCTTAGTCTTGCAGATAAGTGAATTTAATAATCTAAAACGCATTTTTTTGTTGTTGCAAATAACAGTTGAGTACTTGTGAATCAATTGGATGTTTCTCAATTAGCATGAACTCTCCATGAGGTGCTCCAAGAGGGATACAATAAATGATTATTATTTTCAACTATTATTTGATAGAAATCTGTTCTGTATCTGGGGGCCCTTGAAGTAAATTGTTGGTGCTGAATCAGAATTGATGAAGGGCTCTCTTTCCTCCTTCTTCATTTCTGCCAAAGCTGGATGTGGGTGACAGCTCTTGCGTTAGCAAGCATCTGCCATGCTGAAGTGTCCTAGAGGGAGGAAATAAACACTTGGCAGCATTGGCAGACAAAAGAGATTTCTTCTACTGCCCATTTAAATTAGGAATGTTGATGTGTCTTTCTGTTGCTTCACAAAAAATCTCACTAACCCTTTTTTCTCTCTCATGCAAATCTAATAATTTATGCAGAACATCAGCCAGGATGTCAGGGATGGACGTCTCGTTGGTGGACCATAATGAGACTGCAATCTCTCCGATAGACAATGGGACCTTTCTACGATTCTCACCAACCTCTTCTTCCACCTCAGCGGCCGCCTCATCACCGGGTCGTCAGGGCAACGTTTACGTTTATGTGTGGCTCTTCCTCGGCCTGCTGGTGTTCCTGCTGACGCTGCTCATCATCTCCCTCCACAGGCTGAAGAACATCATCTCCTCCTCCTCATCGGTCCCAGACTGCAGCAGCGAAGGAGGGAGCTCCTTCACCAACATGGAGATCTGTAGCATCTCATCTCAGAGGTCCACCATCTCCTCACTGTCTACCTGAGCTTCATGGGAGGGAGCACGTACAGACACATGGACATGTTTGTCCACGAGTATCCCCCTGTGAACGCATGCTTATACGCTAAAAGCAGGAAAGCCTGCACACTCAAAACACATGGACGACCCAGCACTTCCTCATTGTGACATAAAAACACTTGCTTACGCATGTATATAGTAATCCCAATAGTCCAGAAAGTCATGTGTGTTCATGCATTTCCATAAGCACAGGGGAAATAAAGCTGACAATGTGAAGAAGAGGTCTTGAGGGATGAGACTGACTGACCTTGTTTCAAAGACAAATGCACCTGGGAGACCACTTTCCCTTAGCAAGAAAAGCTTAATGAGGGAATACTATTTTTCCTCTTCATTTTTCCAAGGTTAATTTCTTGTATTTTGCTTGTCATCTTTACTGTGAAACAGTTAATATTGCTTTCAAGTACGTCCAGCATGTTTCATAATATCCGTAGACTACATAAAATAATTACAGTACTACAATCATATTAAAGACCATTGCTTTGTTCAGATATGCATGTGTGTGTCTAGTTGACTATGAGATACCTTAAAACTGTACATCAGAATGCTTCATGATTCCCCTGGAGAATGGACATTGCACAAGACATCAGGCTGGAGGTAAAGGTGAGGAAGAAAGTGTGTCTTGCTGACAGGCAGCGGGCCTCTGACTGCAGCTACAGACCGGGTCAAAAATGACATAAACGAGATGAAATCTGGGTCCTGAAAGACAGCTCTAGCAGCGTGACGGATTACCCTCTCCTGCCTGTCAGCTCGTATGGCGTCTGATTGCAGTCTCCATAGTGACCGAAGCATGAGAGCTCTGTGCAGCCTGTCTGACTTCTTTGTTTAAGCTATGGTAATGGTTGCTTCTGCTCAAAATACATCATTTGTGTTTTAATACTGTGATATGTTGTTTCTTTGACAAGACATCCCACATTCAGAACTTATTGTTATAACATTTATTACCCCGTGCTTGTGTTGTTTTTGGTATTTTGGGGCATAATTTCATTCCTGTCAACATCATTCAGTAAAGATAAAAACATGGAGGACCTGGGTGTTTGTACTGACCATGACCTTTCCTGTGCAAATCTAACTTTTGTCAATGGGTTGAATGAATACCATAAGGATTTTCATTCTTTTCTTACACACATTGTCTATTTTAATTGCCTCTAAAAGATGTGAGCCTTCCTTTATCTCTTCTATATATTACTTGGTATGCTGCATAAGGGTGATTCAAGAGCAAAACAAAGTAACTTGATTTAATGATGCTTGATTTAACGAGACTCACTTAAAACATTGCACAATTTGATTGTAATAAGTTCCATTTAATAGTATAAACTAACATTTCCCTGTAAATCTCAACTCTGAGTTCTTAGGAGGTGCTGCAGAAAGTGACTGACAGTAACAGGCATTTGAAATGAAAGGTAGTTCGACAATGTTGTCAAGTGCACATTTTGACTCGAGAGGCTCTTGAAATCTTTTGAGAAAGCAGGATTCCTTTCAGACCGGTGTCTTGTTAAATCTGCAGTCAGAGCTCACTCTGCAGTGCCGCTGTCTTGAAGTCAAAAAGAAAGCTTTTGGTGAAACAGAATGTGTCACCAATGAAAAGTCAAGTCATCAAATTCTTTGCATATTTTATTTTTCTTATCATGATTTTTTTTTTCAACTCACACATGTCATATTTTACATCTTTGCAATAAAACATGAATACAATAGTTTTTTAGGGTTTCATAGATCCAAAAATATTTAACCTTTTTTTGGATACGTAAGTTGAACCTGTCGATAGAGTATGTGCATGTGCGCATTTGATCAAGATGGCTTCACACATACAGTACCTCTCACATTTCATCCCCTCTCCTCACTCCTTTCCACCTCTATCAGCTACAGAATCATGATATTGCTTACAACTGTGAGGTTGTAAAACCTAATAATCACACATGAGCTCAACGCTTTAAATACAAACATCAATGCACAAATAATCCCGAAGGGGAAATGGACCTAAACAAAATGGCAGCCGACCAGAAAGAACCAAGCTAATAAATAATGATATGTGATTGGTGCAAAGTGCAAATACAAAACAAACTTTTACATTGATTTGATTCTCTTCTTTTAAATAATCAACAAATGTGGGTAAGTGAAGGTTTCCTTTGCGCTTTCAATCTTATTCAGCTGATTAGGTCTCCCGCCGAGCCTGAACCAAGACTTTATGTACATATTTGACAAAACAATCACCAAATATACAAAGGAAATCATCTCAGTCTCGTGGTTGTCATCCTTGGTGGCACTGGCAAGATCTCTTTATCATTACCATCTCCGGCAAAATAATCACCATCCTTGACACTGCCGTTATCATCATCAATCTTGTCAACATTATAATAATTATTACACAATATTTTACATACAGCAAGTCATTAATAAATTAAAGGTGATAAGCGCAGTTTGTGTAGTGAAAGAACACGTGTTGGCTCTGAAGGAAGCAGAGCCTTATTTACATAAGAATCAGACTTAACCCTGCTGCAGGGAAAAATAAAATAACATCAAATTAACATTATAAAATAAAATAAATCCAGATAAAATAAAATCATAACCCCAGACATTTTTTCAAGGGTGAATTTTAAGATCAAGCCAATAGCACCGTTTTTTTTTAAGAGTGGGCGGGGCTGGATCATTTCTGACCATTTCTAATCAGTTGAGACACATTGAAGGAGTCTTAATTTACAGTCCACCCAAATCATTATTTGACTGAACTCCCCTCAAAGGAAAAGTAAAGAACAAAATTGATAGAGAAGAAAAACATAAGAAAACCAAAACTTAAGTTCTTTGTCTATAAAGCATGAAGCGTACCAGGAACAGCAACTGCAGCAGTCCAGCGAGTGGTACGGGTATGAACGACCTCTACAAGGTCTGCTTGACTTTCCCCCATTCTGCAGTCTATTTTATGAGCAGGTTTTGGTGTGTATCTTCGGGGTACTATGTGTCTGTGGTTACACACGTATGTGTACGTACACGTATGTACAGAGGGAGTTATTTCCACCAGCGCTGTCGCATCCTCAAATCAAGTAAACTTCACAAGGGATTAGAGCCGGTACTTGCTTTTCCTTCCTCTCTGTACCTTCAGTTTCCCAGTGTCGCAGATACACAGCAGAATGCTTCACCTCCTCTCTTTGTTCTTCTCTCGTCTCCCTATCCTTCCCATCCTCATGCTGTCCACCTCAGTACCTGTTCTGGTGCTCGTAGTGCCAGCGGTTGAAGTCTATGTTGAATGCCACAATGCTTCCGGATGCCATGCCAGTGATCAGAGTCCTGAGGGCAGAGCAAAAACAGTAAGTCACATCCAAACTATGCACATACTTTTGGAAAATTGCATACATTAAACCAGGGGTGTCCAAACTACGGCCAGGGGGCCAAATGCGGCCCACGGACCATTTTGAATCGACCCTCAGCTAATTAAAAAAGTATAATGAATATGGCCCACAAATGAAACTTCTGCTTGTCTTATATTGTACTTCTCAAATATATATGTTCAAATATATTACACAGTATTCATGTGTTAAAAAGCCAAATCTTCAATAAAATTCAGGCAATTAAAGTTGAAAACATTTTCTAACATATCTAAGTTGATAAGAAAAAGCCCAATAACACATTTACATAACAACCTTTAATTTTTTTATTATTATTATTATTATTATTAATATGAAGATTTTTTGTTGTTGAATATATAAATATTATCGTGAATGTGGATAAATACTGTATTTTAACAATACGGTATTCTGTTTTTTCACATTTGTTATTTTTTATTTGTTATTTTTAATCTGTTCGAAATAAAGATTGAAATGAAATGAAATGAAAACCTTGAAATAGACCCTTCATATTTCCTCTTATTATAAGCAGTCTGAAGCTCCTGTTTTAAGGAATGAGCTGCCAACACAATAAATGAAACCCTATGGAGAGCTAGGATGTACGCTGCATTTTCAAGTATCAAGAATAATTAACCTACATTTGATAGATTTTTCTAACTTATAACTGAACTTACCTAGAATATACCTCTAGTGAGTGGCCCAGCCCTTCGTATATTTTTCTGTATGTGACCCTCGGTGAAAAAAGTTTGGACCCCCCTGCATTAAACCATTGCATTTTTCTCTAGGACATCATCTGAGGTTTGGGTAAAATAACCTCACAGTTACTGATTATTCAGTATTCTCTGCTGCCCCCTGGTGACCCAGTTTCCTTCACAACAATAGTGAACAAAAAGGTCCTTCTATCAATTATCCTACTGACTCTCAGAGTCACAGCCTGTCTGTTTTACCTCTGGTCATGTGAGAGGTCCATGGCACGGATGCCTGCGTCACAGCCTGGATAGATGTACAGCTGTTTGAAGTCGCACGCCTGCCACACTTCCACAACTCCGTTATCGCCTCCTGTCACCAAGTTCTGTCCGTCGCTGCTCAACAGGATCGCCTGGAGAGAGAAAGAGAATAGAGAGGGGTCAAAAGAGGCTCAACTACTCCATTGTGTTGAACAACAGTATATCGCATTGTTTATTGGTAAATAAAAACAGGATTCATGCATGAATATACACCAAAATGAATATTACAGTATGTTGAAATGAACTCCGACTGCCTTACCCGTGTGGAGTCATTGACCTCCATTTGTGCCAGGAGTTTTCCATTTATGCTGAAGTTGCAGAAGTGGCCTCTGTCATAGTAGATGATGCAGTGGCCCTCGCTGGACACTGAGATGAGGCGGGGCCGCTGACACAGCTCTGGTCCCTCCAGGGCCCGAAGAAGGTCCCCTGTGATGGTGTGGACCAGGCATGGGCCCTCTGAGAAGCAAGACGAGAGCGAATTAGTTAAGAAGTTATTTTATTCAATTAGCTCTGCTGGCGGTAGAGTGAGCCTACTGTATATGTTGTGAGATCAGGAAATATCAGCCTAACCTCTAATAGAAATTAAAACAACGACATATGGGGAAAACAACATATGAGAGAGCAATCTACAGGTCATTTGTCCAATGGCTTTGCGGCTGTTATGTATCTGAGGGTTCTAACATTTCAATATTTTATCTTTTATTCAATTCTCACAGTGAAAATAATCTATGAATCGAAAATTAAATTGGGCACACAAACCTTTAGCTCCACTGATGACCAGTCCCAGCTCTGCACAGACGGACACACACACCACTTCATGGTCGTGTCCTGTCAGTACGGCCCTGGGAGCGGGGTAGTCACCTGGAGAATAAAACAGAGTTAAGAGACACCATACATCTCCGGGACCTGTACTGCTGTCTGAACTAAGAGCATGTAGACACCGAGTGTCCAACAAACATGTTGTTACCATCAAGTCATCACTCACTGTTGTTAGGATTGTCCCCGATAATGTGGTGTCGTCCACTCCAGTACCACAAAAGAAGAGTGGCGTCTCTGGAGCCCGACACGATGTAGCAGTCACCTCCGATGTAGGACTCTGATCTGGCGAGACATGTCACCACATCCCAGTGGCCGAAAACGATCTGGGTCAGCTTTCCTGTGGAGAGGAACGAGGAGCGAGGCTAAGTCACTGTGCCCTCTACAGTAATCATACCTTTGTAGGCCAAGGGTGATTAACTAAGGCAAGAATCCAACGACACATCTGAACACTATAAATAAAGCTCCCACCAGTTTTAACTTAGTTAGTTAGATTTTTTTGCATCCAGAAACTATCATTTGTTTTCCGATGTGCGCACTTTAGAACCTGTTTATTCATGATTACTTAAACATGCAGGTTTGGGAACATTGAGTCACTAAATATAAATCACTAAATCTCTAGACCGAAAAATAATTTGAGGTGTAAGCCCAGGTGTATATGTGAAAAAGAAAATCGAAATCTCCCCTTGATGAAATATCCAAACAAAAATCTAAATAAAATTACAATGAGTCCACATTATCTTTATTCAAACTAGGACCTAGGACAGGATTGCAGCTTTTATAGAGTTTTTAAAAAACACCTGCTAGTACATTTAGACTAAACACAATGCTCAACAGGTTTTCTGAATAATACCAAACCTACCCGTCTCAGTGGAGTAAACACGGAAGCTCTTGTCCCAGAAGCCGCAGACCAGGATGTAGCGGTTGTCGGCGGTAACCACGAAACAGTGTGTGTTGATTTGGATGCTCTGGTCCACGAGGTCAGTGATCTGACGCTTGTTCACGCCTGAGTTGTTGGCTACATGGGAACATAAAGCGTAAGTTAATAAGGGCAGCGTGATGCCATATGGTTCACAAGCATTTTAATAACTGTTCATAATATTATATTACTCATGTTAGTATTACAGCCTGGTACTCAGTAATATGTGCACAAATCCCTAATATATCATGTTATATATTTAATTAAGTCCTGCTACTTGGTTCTAAAATATTATCGGTATTACATAAAACCAATTAAATGTGCTGTGGAGGTGTTAGCGCACTGACCTATGAGAGGGTCCATCTCAATGGGCAGATGATGAGCCTGCTCCAGGGAATATCCCGGAGCTCCACGGAGGCCTGAAGGATAAAGGGTAAAAACATTAAAGTAAGTCACACCCGCACATACACACATCGTAAAGCTCTCCTATAATCCCCTAGTCGAGTGCTCTGTGATGCATGCGCTACAGCAAGATAATGTTGAAAAATAAAATCTTCACAACTAAAGTCACGAGGGCTGCCTTATGGCCCGCCGTAATTACACTACCACGATTCATTAAACCTACCCTGCTTTTCTAATGAGGTCATTAAAGGTTAATTGAGGGTTTAATTAACACATATTTCTTTGTCAACATGTGGACAACATACTAGTAAACTCTCACCCGGGGTTTAAAGCACTGCAGGCTTCCATAAATTAGTGTTAATTGCATAGATGATACATAGCATAGAATATAGCATGATATTATTTTCCTTGGGTGTTTTTTATGAATATTTTGTATCAATCCTTAAATAATTTAGTCTTTATAATGTCATGAATTTGCCAAAAAAACAACAACAATTTAGCGTTGCCCAAAGGGAGTTCTTTAAATTGCATTTGTCTGATCAATCTTTTTAAAAATAAAGTGATTCCATTTGATAAAAGAGAAAATCAGCTAATCACATTTGAGAAGCTGGAATCAGCATGTCTGTGGCTGTTTTCCTTGATAAATTAATAATTGTTATTAAGACTTATTGATTAATTGACTAATGACTAATTGTATGTTACTGTATTATTAAGGGATTGCCATAGTGTAGTTTCAAGATGCTCAAAATCGTCAAATAACAAAACTGTATAAACCTTATTCTGTTCAGATAATGTAATGTCCAGTTCCATTCCTCAAAGGGGGATAACTTAATATGTTAAATGAGGATCTATGGTTTCTATTTCCACATTATAATGTATTTTCTTGGTGCTCTCACCGACTGTGTTGTGCCAGCGGTTGACGGCAAACAGCCGGCTACATGTGACGGTGACGGCTGCTGGTATGCTGAGGTGGGGGAGCGTGTTGGCCGCCACGTGGGTGACGGGCGAGTTGGAGGGGAACTTGAGCACCATGATGACATCCTGCTGCATCTGATCCTTAAACATCAGCGGGCTCTGGGGAAGGAAACACTGGTGAGACAGACAGAGAAGGAGAGAGGGACAGAGAGGAAGAGGGGGGGGGGGCAGAGCAGGGAAGGGGAGGTCGGAGCAGAGAGGAGGAGGGAAATGGAGACGGAGGTAGAGGGAGAGACAGAACAGATGGAACAGAGGGAGGGAGGGGCAAAGGTATATTAGTGGGAGCTCAGGGTCAGAGCAGGTACACACACTGAGGGGGGGCTAGGCCTTGGAGAGGAGGTGGAGGCGCAGGTTGGTCGGGGGGCAGGGCTGACAGGTAGGGGGGACATGGATGGCTCTGATGTGGAGACACTGAGGCCTCGTTCTGCTCAGGGCGAGGCAGGAGAGAGAGGCTAACAGGGCAGGGCTAGTAGCATTACATATACGTGTATGTAATAACATCTCTCAATTGGAGTATAGGAAAAACCAATCAACCTGTCTATAAAAGATAGACATACTGGGAAACACGCTCTTCCTGTTCCAATAGTGAACATTTTCTCAATACATTGGCCTTAAGAACATGCAAAAAGTATGGGAGAACAGCTGACTTGCTGTTTTACGAAGGTGTTTTTAAAGCATGGGAGATTACTGCTATGATACTGAAACCTATGCAGGGTTTTCAAGGATGTGTTCTCACCAGGTGCATGGCCGAGGAGCGAGGTGGGTGGGGCTCGATCAGCAGCTGGGAGGGGATCTGACCACACGCCTGGATCTGGGACTCAATCCCCTAGAGAGAGAGAGAGAGAGAGAGAGAGAGAGAGAGAGAGAGAAAAGGGGTTAACACAGGAGAAGACACACTTTTGAGAAACATAACTAGTTGAGTGAAGCCACGTATCTTTACCTTCTTATTTACTTATTTTGTGTCTTTTTATTTGCATGAAGCACATGCGTGTACTTTGAGTTTATCTCTAGAGAACCATTCCCTCCGCCATAGGGAGTATATATCCAGTGAGTATTTATCTAAGAGATTTAGACATTAAATCGATCTGATGCTACCATACGATCTTGAATGAGAAACTCACCAAGGGAAGATTTCAGCACTGTGATAATCAATTTGGGAGTCAAAGAAGAGTGAAGTGTTGCCATGGAAACTGACCTCACGTTGCACAGCATCTGCATTTTCTAGGTTGATTGATCCCTCGTAGGACAAGAAGTTGAACACGTTGAGGGATCTCACTGCTTCTGGCCCCCGCTGCTTGTAGCCGAATATTAAATCGATCCACTGGTGAAGCTGGCAGGACACAAACTCGCTCTCCAACGCCTGGTGGAGGTCACAGGTGCAGAGAGAGGAAGGAAGAGAGAGTCAAGACTATTACCAGAGTCTTTCAAGTGGATTTAAAGGCAGAGACAACTAGCCTTCTTTCAGCTTTTATATTCCTTGGAAATGACTGTCCTTGTCTCTTACCATACGGTTAATGCGGACAAAGTCCTCGGGTTTCTTGGCCCAAGCAGGAAGCTCCACGTCACACACAGAAATGCCATCTTCACGCACGCCGAGCTCGTACTCATTACTGTTCACAAACATCTCAGGCAAGTAGTAGAACTCTGGGATCAGCTCCTGATGGATGAAACAGAAAAATACATTGTTTATTTAAAAAAGAAATAGGACTTTCCTTATCCTTTCCTCCAGAAATTAGAATATTTTCAGCTAATTAAACATTGCTAAACAGAAAAAGAGAACTACATATAAACTGCAGAGAACAGAAACCAATGGATCTTTGGAGTTTAAATACTTTTTTATCGTATGAGCTGTTTAGCTGAAAGTTTAGTTGAAAAAAGACAAGCACTTGCATTGCATCATTGTGTTTTTATTTGGTTGTCTTAATGCTGAGCAATTTCAGTTTACAGTTTTTATTGTTTTATAATAATCTTGACTAGTCACTTCCGTAGGACCGTCCCATCAGCCCATCAGGACTTCTTACCTTGACATCAGCTGTGTCCCTCTGGCAGTTCCTCCACGAGCAGCCGATGCCAGAGAAGGCTCTCTCCGGATGGTCGAACTTGTTATCGTTAGCATTGAGGAAGAACGTGGTAAAGGGCTCCTACGGGCACATTGAACAGACAAATGAATTGAAACTGCCATGTGCTCGAGCAGCTGCTGAAGGTCGAAGTCTGTAAGTGTGTGAAGAGCAGCAGGTACTTACTATTCTGAGCATCCACATCAGTGTGGAATGAGCGGTGGAGTACATGGTGGTGTAGTGGTGAGGAGGCGTGCTGTCGTCGTCCCACGTCTCGAAGCGTTCGGCATAAAACGCTGCTCGCTTGGGATTCAGTGCACCGATTGGCTGAGGGAAACCACAGAGAAATATTAGAATTAAGTCACATACTAAACAGGAAACAATACATGCAGGTTTCTCCTTTTCCTTACAGAGAGCAAGTCATACATGTGCTTTTGAACAGTGAAATCTTACACTAAAACTAACAATTCTGTGAATGTTCTGATCCTCTGTCGGAGGAAAAGCAGGGAATTACATCCACAGTCTTATGTGGCTTTGTTTGTCTACTTTAATTGGAGAAAATGCAACTAGGAAATGTTTCTGCTAAGCCTTGGTGGACCGGCTTGACCTGTATTACAGCCTTTTCTTGGGTTTAGAGCAGGGGTCACCAACCTTTTTTAGGATGAGAGCTACTTTCACAAAATAAAACAAGTCGGGGGCTACTTTTACTCCTCTTTTTTTTGTTTTTTGCAGTGTATATATTTAGCACATTTTAACATTATGATATGCTCACCTTTAACCTTTGTGTGCTGTTTGGGTCTGTGGGACCCATTTTCAGTGTTTTACTAAAAGAAAATGTATGCAATTTAATTATTTTAGCCTGCTTTATTTGGGGGTGGACCTCACATCCTGGAAGATTTATTTTAATGTTGAAGTTAAAAGCATCAATCTGGTGCACTTTGAGCACAACATGAATTTATGGAAACAGCTCTCAACACTCAGATGAAAGGGAGCTGTATACTTTTCAATAATCAACACATCTTTAGAATATGATCACAACCAATAACAAATCATTTAAACTTGTTTATTCTTATCTTATGTTACCTAGTTAGCATTCTTTCTGTCTATTTATGCATATTTTACTAATCACTCCCCTTTTAAACTGTTTTTTTTTTTTGTACTGTCCTATACACATTGGAACGATTTCTTACTTTATCTATATTAAATAGATAAAGGTGTGCTCTCCCTAGCTCTCTCGCTCTCTCTCTCTCTCTCTCTCTCGCTCACAGAGGCCGTGTGCTCCTCCGTGGCGATGACGGCTTGCGTTAAAAAATTATAATAAACATATTTGTAAAGTGGGGGGGACACAAACGGGATTTCGAAAAGTGAGGGGGACATGTCCCCCCTGTCCCCAGTGGAAATTACACCATGCGTGTGTGTGCGTCAAGTGCAATAAATATGCAAGTTGCAACACACACAGTAAAGCTCTGCCCCTCATGTGCTGTATAGGCTGGCACGACTAGGCTGTTCAATGGGGCTGATGTGTTGTGTAGATTCTGCCAGAAGGAAAGGTCACACTCCTTATGAAGTGTGCGGTGAGCTGCCGCTCCACATTGCTTTTCTTCCCGACTGCAACGCTGGTCCCGCAAATCAAGCAAGAACGTGATTGGTCGATATTCATTGTGGGGTGGGGGGAGGAGGGGTGTTAGATAGATATAGAGTTGTAGTAAGTAGATAGAGTTCGCTATGATTGAGGTTTCGTTTATGCACAGGGTAGATTCTTTTAATTACATTTCCTTTTTTGTTTTGTGTATTTTTTACATTTTGGATTTGCTTGGCGAGCTATTTTTAGAACATGCCCCGCGGGTGACTCACGTTGCCCCAGCGGGCGACTCACGTTGCCCCAGCGGGCGACTCACGTTGCCCCTGCGGGCGACTAAGTGCCCGCGGGCACCGTGTTGGCTACCCCTGGTTTAGAGCATCTTTTTAGTAGCACACGTTATTTGTTTGAGAGAATATTGTGTGTCAGAGTGCTCTAACCTTGGAGAGGTCTCTGAAGTTTCCAGGTAGAGTGAGGTCCAGCTCCTCTGAGTCATAGTTGGTCAAGACCCAGGGGAAGATGGGGTACTGGTTCAAATCATTATAGGTCCTCCCTACAGGAACGAAAGGTGGATGGGAGAGGAAAACATTATTATTGTTGTGATTTTAGGCCTGAGATGTACCCGTTTGATCTGTGCATTACTACATCAGTTTGAGTTTTACTTGCTACATATAACAAATGAAAGCTCAAACGTTTAATTAATGAGAACTCGCTGATTGGGGTGCAAAGATTAGGTGCCAGACTTGGAATTAAAATGTAACGAGGTTGTATGTTAGTGTGATCAAAGATATCTTCAACATGGGGGAGGCATAAAAGCACACGCTGTTGACAAACTGCTACACACCAGCATACAACATGTAAAAGCCTTCAAACCTATTCTGCTACCTCTTTTTTCATTTCTATAACATACATATATCCATACATTATGACATATTGGTTTATTGATAGATATGTTCAAATATTTAAAAAGAAGTGAACACAATAAAATAGCAAAGGTAATTATTTCCTATTTGTCTATTGTCATTGTGGCTGCTCCTATTGATATATTTCTGTATAAATATTTATTTACAGACCACATTGGTGACTGTTGTTGTGAAAACTGAAGATGCGCTGTAGCTGACAAAGGTTTATCTTATTCAAATCTTCCAGGTTCTTTATCTGCTCCCATCAATACAGTCTTTGTATACACAGGCCTCTTTTACTCATGCACATGGAGAGAAATAAAATAGCCTGCAGTTTCTGGCTTTGTAGTGTATTTTAGAACAACACAGATCAGGACATTTCAGAGCACCGAAATAACGTCGCATCAGTGAAAATCTTCGCAGCAGAAACACTGGAAAATGTCAACATCACACAGTAGAGAGAAAAAATAGAAAGTATTCTCTCAACTTATTCAAAATAAAAACAAAGAAGGCTACAGAGGATAGTGTTGTGGGTTTGACCACTTATCATCCATAGGTAAGTGGACTTTACCTGCAATAGTGTTGAGGAACATGAGGTACTCAAAGTTAGAGATCTCTCTTCTCTGCCAGCGCTGCGTCATGTTGGACGACTTGAAGAGCTGACGAGGGGTAGCCAAAGAAATCCGCCTGGGGAAACACACACACACACACACACACACACACACACACACACACACACACACACACACACACACACACACACACACACACACACACACACACACACACACACACACACACACACACACACACACACACACACACACACACACACACACACACACACACACACACACACACACACACACACACACACACACACACACACACACACACACACACACACACACACACACACACACACCACACACACACACACACACACACACACACACACACACACACACACACACACACACACACACGTACGTTTATTTTCATCACACCAGGAAGACATTTCTCTCCAACCCAGGATAGTGAAGGACCAGCAGCACTACCTGGCTTGTGGCAGGCCGTAACTCGTTCCTACCCCAACCCGGGGGAGACTGTAGACCACTCGCTTGACTGTGGCCGGGTCAGGGAAGTTAAACATCACAGACGCTGGAGAAAGAGGAAGAAACGAGATATAATCAGCATAAAGATGGGTACCTGCACCAAACAGCGAATAAGCTACCGTGTAGTGGGGACATTAGTATGGGAGGCTGCACCGGGAAACAAGAGCCCAGGCAGTGCTAATGTTTTTCATTCTGACCTTTCGTACACAATGAATGATGCAGCAGCTAATAATCCATGAGTTGTGCATCACTTGCAACCACTCTCTTCAATTTCTCAAGGTCCTATCTACAGAAAATACTTCCCTAATGACATACCTGTATAAACATACTAATAAAGTTTTACTGCTGATATACGAGTTGCAGAAGTGAAGCATACTGGGTATTTAATTAGCCAGTCTGTTATTCAGTACTATTAGTGTTTATTCAAATAATAATAATACTTTTTAATATACCTATTTTAATGCTTTGCAGACTAAAGTAATTACCACTTTTCAAGACTTGGAGAAAAGTGGTATGTAGTATTTCTGCTAACTCTGGCATGTTACTTGTTATTTATTTATAGGCTTGACAAGTTGACATTTAGGGCAAATAATCAATACATAATATCAGTGGCTGGTGCATCGTTTTGATAAATCAATACATGTGAATTAATGTAAGTAATACAAAAATCTGCAGACTTACTTCTGTTGGCCATAAAGACTTCTAGTCCGGTGTTCTGCAGCAGGTAGCGTCTGGAGAACACGGCTCTGATCTCACTGAACATCCATTTACCGTGCAGACCCTCCGAGTAGGCCAGTACCTGTTGGGGTTGGACATCCTTTGAAAAAAATATTTTAACATATAGAAAAATCTATAGACAATACATTAAATCATTTGAATCAATGAGAAGCAGTACATTAAAAGCGAAGCACTTTTCCTTGAGGAAAAAGATCCAATAAAAAAAACAGGTTGCCCTTACTTTAGCATCAGTTGACTTGAATGTCGGATCCTCTTCATCCACCTCAAAGTAGATCTCAGTAGTGGTGATGGATAAAGTGCCTCGAGCCACTACCACTGGAGCTACCAACTGAGCCGGTGTACTCAGAACCACAGGGCCTGGGGGGGATACATGACTTATTATTACTTCAAGTATACACAGCACTGACAGGCTCAGTACACACAACAGGTGTAAGCAATCATCACACACGACAAATAATTAAATGTACTTTAATATAGTCATTTCATGTTAGTCAAGATTGATTACTTCTTCTATTTCGCCTAATAGAGTGAACACTCGATCAGGTGTGTCGTAAGACAGAGCAAGAAATTGATTAAATTAGATATTTGGTCAGTTCTCAGTTAACTATGATTAAATCTTCTTGAGTCAGAAAATCAGCCGGATGGTTAGTGCGGCTGCAAAACTCATTACTTGCCTTTGGAGATAAAAAGTCTTGGACGGAAACGGACTAAAAACAAGAGTCATAGACAGTTTACACTTCAATTGGATCGTAGCATTGTGCCTGTATATGTGTGTGTGTGTGTGTGTGTGTGTGCTTATGTTAGTGAATCTCACCAGCGAGGTTATCAATCTCTTTTTCCTGCAGCAGGCTGACGGCGTCATCGTCTCCCTCCAGCATAAGCTCCGCCTCTGGGTTCTGGGCGACCACTGATTGGCTGCGGAAGGTTTTCTTCGACTTTAGCTCCTCCTCTTCTTCTTCTGTACCTGTTTATAGTTTATGTTAGAGAGTTACCGTATATATGCAAAATGTAGATATTGACAACATGTTTAAATTGGTACACATTACTGACTGTATTCCTCCAGAGCTTTAAGGGACACGTCTGCGTGAGTGGATCCAGACGCGTTTCGCACAAATCTCCGTCTCCTCCTAAGGTCATCCTCCCAGTAGTCTAGACGCCAGAAGTCGTGTAATTGGCTGAAGACGTCAAAGGAAAAGAACCTAAATTAGTAATTTCAGTGGTGTCAGTGGTGCATTTTGAGACTTTTCCTTTAGGGACAATGAAGTTGGAGTTGAAGTTACAGCTGACATTTACGCTAGCTACTTCCAGAACTAATTTCCTACAGTCAAAAGGTCAGCCCAAAGAAAAGATATGAAAAGCAAGGTTTAGACATGTAAGTGTGAAACTATTCATCAGCACTATGCTAATGTTAACAAACAGAACAATATAATTGAGGACAGAGAACTTCAGATGCAATTTCACTTTAATTAAAGCTTCCGCTGTGCGAAAGTTGTTTACTAACAGCATGCACAGTACAATCTACCTAATCAACAGTGACAGGAGGAGACAGGATTCAGATGCTGTATGTCACATGTCCTCAAATTAAATCCGTGTCCTTCCCAAGTCTGGAGGCAGATCTGGATAGCACGCCATCATTGATTAAATGTGTGTATTTGAGTGTGCTAAAGAAAACGATCATTCTTACACAGCTGGCAGCTATGATGTTAGCATTTAGCTGTCTCTCTGTGTGTGTGTGCTGAAGTTCATGTACAATTAATTATGTTTAATAACACCATGTCCTCTTTTATAAATGGCTTTATTTCAGCACTGACTGTATCTAGAAAGTCTTAAATTATTGAATGTATGATACTACATTTACACAGATAAAAGCCATAATCTGCTGTGGTAATGTGTTTTAGTGATATGGACCTAACATGATGGATGGTGCTGACTTAATAATCACTTCACATACTGATGCCATTTTCTCATTATATGCAAGAAGTGTTCCCTGTGTAACGTCTGCTATCAAATGACATCCTGTGGAGCAGCAATCTAAAAATGTGGCAGGGTATAATTAGACACCCAGTTCCTCTCATCTCGGGCTCACCTCTGTGACATTGTCCCCCACGCTCCATGCTTATTGGTCAGGATGTTGAGGATCTTCTGTTTCAGCTGGTTAGCGGTCACATGATCTCTGTGCTTGGCTGCGCTGATGAGGTGATCACACATTTTCTCCTCCTCTCTCCGGTCCGCAGCGTACTGGGCACAGTTAGCCTGGAGGAGAGCGAGAGGGAAAGAGTTATACAGGATGCAGAAACAGTACAAAAACAAGGAGTACCCAACCGATGTCCTATCACCTACTTGCTGTGTTTTGAAAATGTGCTTTACTTAACCCGGTACTAAGACCAAATAAACCGAACTTCATCTGTAAATGGAAGAATCATAGAGCCAGGACAGAGAATTTAAAAGGTCAATCATGGACAAAGTGGCCCAAAGACCCTGATAGTGTGATGTAACCCTGCCTTTGTTAGCCCTACATGCCTAAATATGTATACACGTATGCATCAGGGTTTCGGTTAGCCGGTAATGACCGGTTTGTAGCTGGTATAATTGATTAAAAACCGGTAAATTCAAAACCTGCCGGTCAAAATGTCCGGTAATAATTAGGGATGCTCCGATCGATCAGCCGCCGGTCATTATCGGCCGATATTCACTCTTAATAGTTTGATCGGTGCTCTCTATAAAGGCCGATCAGGAGAGCTGTATCTGATCGATATGGACATAAACGCGAGTGAAGTATAACCGGACGCGAGAGAGAGAGATCAGAGATCAGCTGCTGAGTCTGACGGAGACACGCAGCTCTGCATGATCACCTGAAGCCCCGCCCACTGTTTAGCGAGCTGCATGAGATACAGACGGGCTGTCAGGAGAGAGAGGGAGAGAGAGGGGAAAAGAGAGGGTCCGTTTATTTCTCCCGTGTTATTATTCAAAGTTAATGTAAACTTTTGAATAATGTACTTTATCTGCTATAAGCAGTTTGTTTGAATGTAATAATTATGTTGTTTGTGGAAGCGTATCATTTATTGAATAATGAATCTGAACTTTTCGATCTGTTACGATTATAAACTGAAGCAATATAAAAATGGGCCCCATTAAATTAGTTTTAAACATCAGCATATCCGGTCATAGTCCGGTAATTACATGCTAACGGAAACTCTGCTACACAATTCTTATTCTTATTATTGAAAAATGACCGGTAAGTTTCAAATTTGTCCAGTAAAATAAATTCTTTCCGGACATTTGACCGGCAAGAAAGAATCCTAGCGGAAACCCTGGTATGCATACATGTATACTGTTGGAGCATCTAAGGAGATAAATGTGTATACGATTGTATAGATGTGTGTGCAAGTACGTATTGTATGTATGTATATTATATATAATATTTTCTACAACATAGTAAGCATTTTTCTTTCTACCCAGGATGACCCTGTCTGCTTTCATACTGTTTGTCTGCTCATTATTGTAACAAAAAACAAAGCTTGTTCCCTGGAGGCTTTATTGATGTCACAAACAGGTGCTCCGGTGCTCTATGTGTTTACCTCAAATTCAGCGTGTTTGTGTACATCCTCTGCCCTCTGTCTGTTTAGGATGAACTCTGCTTCGTTGGCAACACGTACAATATGATCCTTCATGGCGTGGCACAGGAGTCTGGTAACGGGGGGGGGGGGGGGAAGAGAGTAACACAAATAACAGGTATTAGCATCACCTTCAAGTTTCAATGGAAGAAGAAAGTTTCCCTCAATATGATACATTGTCCTAAATTAGATCAATAACACTGGTCTATCTGCAGCTGAAGCTAATGTTTGTATGGATAAACCGCTTTGTTTAAAAGTTAGAATCCTTTTTCGGGATGTTTAAATATTTCGGTTTTTGCGTTTACTCTATTTATGTACAATACAGTTTCTAATAAAAGAAAGGCACTGAAATAAGACCATCACTGTACGGTTAATTGCAATCAACACATGGCACTGTGCACTTATCCTGGCAAGACTCTCATTAGGGCTCTATAATAACCATTAGTTGTTAGGCAGTGATAACAGTGTTGCGGTTAATGTGTGAATCACAGGAAGCCTTATGGGATGGTGTGCAGTCTGTGGGATGGATTACCTTCCCTCGTTGATGAGCTCAATGAAGGCCAATCCTGCGTTCTTCTGGATGGAGTTTTGCCACTCCTAAGTGTGTGAGATACACAGTATAAACATTATATGGTAAGACAAGGTGTTGTGTGTAGGAAAATCCTAAGGAATCAAGATATTTACTTACAAACATGTGAAAAATGTGAATTATATACTTTTACTTATGTTTTACAAGTGTATATTTGTATTTGTACTTTTACCATTACACATATACATTAACCACATTCCTGTTTCCTTTCAGTTTATGCATTTGTCATTCCTGTTTAACTTATATACCTGTATTTTATTTTTGATCTCAATGATATGTTTTATCCCTTATTTTAAATGTGTTGGTTAGACCCTCATTTCGTTTTTACTATATCATTTAAATATTTCAGTTTTTTTTTAGTACATATTTAATTAGCATTGAGGGAGCCGGAGACTTAAAGGTGGGGTAGGTAAGTTTGGAGAAACCAGCTCGAGTGTGCTAGAATTTGAAAATACACAGCCGGAAAAAATCTGCCACTTCCTTACAGAGCCCCTCCTCCAACACACACGAACGCGCACATGACCAATGAGGGCACGAGATAAGTTTGTGCACAGATGGAAGGCTGACAGGCAGGTAGGCCATCCAGTTATTTTAGCCGGGCCGGCTAAAATGATTGGTTGTGCTTTTTACAGTACTACGGCTTCCACAGATGACATTTTTTTATGGATTTTTTGTCAAAGCACTTAAGATATTAATTGCTATCGGGATGTTAAGAGCATTCCATGGAATATAACAAAAAGTGTATCTCGAGCCGGTTTCTCAAACTTACCTACCCCACCTTTAAGATTTTCATTGCTAACAACTGCTTCTATGAACTTGGTAAAATAAGATACGTCATAAATGTCTCTACATTTCACACATTGTCACAGAGCCGAATGTGTTTTTGGCAGTTAATCAGCTGATCAAAATGTAAGAGTTGAGAAAAATAGTAGCTTTATTTATTTATTCAAGAAGAAATACACCTACCCATCATTAACCATCGCCAGTGTAAGGTACACTAGCACAAAACAGCACAGAATAAAGATGGAGAAACATCCGGAGAGCTTTCTAAGTGTCAATAAAAAGTATGTGAGTGTTTTATGTGTCTGTGCATATTAGAGTGGAGACTTCTGAGCAGGATGAGAGTGTTGTTGAAAGCCTCAAACTATCAGAGCTCCATTAGCTCCACCAGCTCTCAGGCCTGTGAAGGACACGTGGGATCATCTCCTGTTACAACTCCCCCCCCCCCCACCACCACCCAGAGGATCGATATCTGGGCTAGGGTTCGCTCTCCTGGGCATCTAATGGCAGACGAGGCCGGAGCCTGGGGTAATACTATACATGCTGACGAGAGGGAGAGTGGAGGGGAGGGGGGAAAGGAGAGGGAGTGGTGCGAGGACGGGTAGTGTTGAAGTGGTAGTAGATGAAAGCAGTCGCCACCGAAACACTGAGTTAAAATGGTTCTGTAGAAGATGAAGCAGCAAGAGGAGAGAAGAAAGCGGAGTAGAAGAGCTGAAGAATCTGAGGGGTTCCTCTAAGGACAAGAGCTCTTAGAGGAAGAATAGTTGGGAGACAAACTTCATCGTATCAAAGAAAAAGGAAACTTCAGGAGAAAGCTTGTAGTGGTAAGTACCTTTTTTGTAATTCCTTCTTATGAGTGTTATTCAAGAAGATAGACATACTGTCAATGAAACCTTCAGGCTTTGATATCGTTATTTCAAGTAAAATCCTGTCGGAAAAGTTTATATGCATGTGATTGTCATGGAAGATGTTTGTTGTGGCCTTGATGTGATGGTGCATATAAGTTGATATGATATTACATCTGCAATGCGCTCATTACACGCTCACCCACAGGGCAGATCAATAACCCCGAAAGCTTCCTGTGTGCTAACGACTCAGACGATTATTGAAAAGACAGAAAAAAGATCACTTTTAAAATAGGTTAGACAGATTAAGGATTTGGACATGCTTTGGAAAAGTGGAACATACGTGTTAGGGCAGTAAACAGAAAGGGGAGAGGAGGGGGTACCAACCTGAGAACAGAGCAGCATTACGAGCTCCACCACAGACGTGCTAGACTTCATGCACACCAGACCTGCAGCACAGAGACATACAGCAGTCAGGAGCCTTTCCTTTCTCACACACACACACACACACACACACACACACACACACACACACACACACACACACACACACACACACACACACACACACACACACACACACACACACACACACACACACACACACACACACACACACACACACACACACACACACACACACACACACACACACACACACACACACACACACACACACACACACACACACACACACACACACACACACACAGCCTCGAGATACAAAAATATCATCAAAGAACGCACTGTCGTGTCAGTGGTTTCTGCTCTTGTATACAGTCATCGTAGTCAAGTTTATAAAAAGCATGCTACGGACAAGACGGGAACAAACAGTAGAGAGAAAGATGAAGAAGGAGGCAGTAGGGGGAGGGGAGGGAGGAGAAAGAGCAGGAAGGGAGGAGAGGGAGAGAACATTGAGACGGTGGATCACGAAAACAGGACGCCAGGAAGCAGGTGGGCAGAGACAAGAATGCATCACATTTAGTACAGCACTGTAATACCAGTAGTGTTATTGATAAAACAACATAATCTGATGTCGTTATCTAACTAGCTGTTTGAAAATAGTGTGAAATACTGACTTCATACCTGCTTGACGAATGAGTGAAGCAGCCAGCTCAGAGACACTCACCCTCTCATTCAATCACTCATCACACAGAAAAACATCCACTCATCCAATCACTCGTTTATTTTCTCACACACAAACATCGCGGTGAGGGACAGTGAATGGGGAGACTCCACAGAGAGACGCCAGTTAGAGAAAAGGAGCCGTGTACAGCACCTGTACCTTCTATGAGCAGTTCCTGCCCATGGCTACCCAGCAGCGTCCTGGAGAGAAAGGGCGCAAAGTCCACAAAAATCTCCCTCAGCAGGGGCGCCACTTTCTCCAGAGCGCGCTCCAACTTGGTGGTGATACTGTGGCGGGAGAAAAGTGAGAGAAAGATGAAGGGAATAGGAGTGATGATAAAACAGGCCACATACAGATGAGGTTAGAACAAGGAAACACTCAGGGGACTTACAGTAGGTGAGAAAGGGAGCGAGAAAAAGATGCAAGAAAGAAATGTGTTGAGGAAGGTGAGAAAACGGAACGAGAGGAAAGCAATGGAGAAGATATTCACAGGAGACGAGAGAGAAATTGAAAAATGGCTAAAATGGACACAGAAGACACAAAACATGACAGAATTGAAACATAAGTAATGATGGATTGGAAGGAAAGCGCTGTGATTGGGTTAGTTTTGGTAGAGATAGGTTAATGGTACTTTCATTTGAAGACTTATTGTTTATTAACTTAATATTGTGGGATGAGTGCAGCTGGAATTGTGTAAAAGCTTAACCTGCAAAAAAAAAGTCCTTACTGTAAACTGCATTGGAAGATAATGCATGTATTGTGTCTCGCTACGTATCTAAATGTTTGTGTGTAGACGACATGCAGAGTAAATGAATATATATTCTATGTTCAGTTGACAAATAGAGAGAGTAATAGAGGAAGAGTATGAAGAAAAAGAGACTAAAATATGGCAGTGCATATTATTGTGACTTCTGAAACAGACCTGGGTCATTAGTGTTCACAAATCTTAATTTAGTTTCGAGCTGCTCAGAGAAGCAGACGGTTGACATTTGGAACAGGAATTTGTCGAATTGAGCAAAATGTCGCCGCTAGATATTTGCAAAGACAGTTTGACTCAGGTCTGATCTTGAATCTGGGGTTAGTGTGATGAGGGTGTGTGGTGGAGGTGGGGCAGATAAGGGGGGGGGGGGGGAGGGCATGGGGACAGGAAGAGCATCTCCTTGCCTAAAACACTGTCCTGCATCTCGGGGAGCAGCCTGGAAGCCTGCCAGAGAGCTAAAAGACTTGAGCTCAGGGGGCGTCTGACCGCTGCGCAGCGCACACTGCGCCACCTCACAATAGGCACTGCAATACAAAGACACACACACTGATTAAAGAACACAAGCGCACACACGCACGCACGCTCTTAAATGTGTGTGCGCTCTCAGAAGCACACGGAATTGCACAAATCATAACAAACTTTCTAAAGCGAGAGTACATTGACAGAAATGCTACAGTGAATTATGTATTACTGCTTATGTATTACTATTTCACTTAATATTACCATACTTACATTTATTAGCGAGTGCCTATACATATTATGGAAACACAACTCTATAGAAGAACATATGATTATAGAAAATGTAGTTACATGCTTTCAAATAAGAAATCAATTGGGATTCTCACACAGTAGTCTACATTATTCTCTAAGAGTGACATTTAAACACAGTCAGTGATGAAGAGCAGTAGTGTAGACTGAGTGAGATGTGTTGGTGGTGGGATGCGTGCAGGTGAGCTGAAAGTGTGTGTGTGTGTCCACAGAGTAGTTATACTAGCTTTCAGTAGACTATATATGTATTGGAATCAATTCAATATCCTATTTATGTCTAATCACTTAATATGGAAATGGTGTTTTTGACCTTTCATTAAGAATGTGTCACCTGGTAGAAATGAGTCATTATTGTTTTTATTTATGTAAATTGTCAGAACATTTCCTGAATTGACATTGCTTCTGACGTTCTTAAAAATGATCATGGGTAGTATCCTCTGTAATCAGGTTTACCAAGGATTTAAAAAGCATGTGTGTGCACCCCAGTTGACCCCAATCTATCCCTGCTGTATTATATAACTAATGACTTATTAGTGAATTTGTTTTGGGAAAGATGAAGACCATAATTGTGAAGTAATAGGGGGACAGGAATGACGTGGAAAACATTTACATATCAACGTAAAAGCAAATGCCAGAGGGGGGTGGAAAAACAGAAAGAGTGGGAAGGAAGTGAATGGATGAAGTGATGAAGAGCTTTGTCGTGTGGAGTGCTCTGACCTCATATTCTCCATGCTGTCTTCTGGCATGGGTGCTACTGTCTGGACAGCTGGCAGATTCTTGCTCGTCGCACCGTTGACGAATGACGAAGAAGAGGAGGAGGAAGAGGAGGCAGAGTCTGTGGCACCTAGACAGGACAAAATCTGTATTATTCTAACATGAATCAAGCATGACCGTGATTATTGTTCAGGATAACAATTGAAAAAAACGTATTAAACATCAGTTCAGCAGCAAACAAATTCAATTTGGATAGTATTTCACCAGACGAGCTGCAGCTTGTCTTCGGGTAATGGCCCCCGTTTGTGAAAATAGCTTTGCAATCAATATACAGAATCCATTCCAGGAAACAAATCCCTTCCTTGGTTCATTATGCAGGTATGATGAAGTCTAATATGTCTGACCTGCTGAAAAAGCTTTGATTACAAACCCACATATCCGCAGATGTGCATTTGATTCCAATTTTGTCATTCATTTACACTTCTTTAATACCATATTTGGGTCAAAAAATATCTAATGCATGATTTTCCTGTGTTATTTTTCTATGTTCAGCATCAAATGAGTGGTCTGCGCCTTCATTGATCTGGATCCAGTCCTTGAAATAGGTTCAAACTAATCTGGGAAGCATCTGCCAGAACCATGGTTCAGTTTGTTTCTATCGCAGTTTGTTCTGGCTGTCAAAGGACAGCAAAGAAAAGCATCAAAGAGTTTTCTATCAAGAGAAGGAACTTGGCAGCTCATGGAGTTGCCTTTGATTTGCTGGAGGCCTTTAACACAAACAGCCTTGTCATACTGCAGGTGTCTGAATGCCTGCTACCTATACACACACTAAAGAGATGCAGTGCAAAAATATATGCGGGTAAATATATTTGATATATGATAATGTATACGATTAAGAACAATGAGATCAATTGATCGTGGTGCTTTAGAAGAGTACACCATCCGTGTTATCTCTCACCTGTAGTGTTGATCATGCTCTTGGGGGTTGCTGTCGCAGCAGCAAATATATTGGGGGTGCTGCCGGCGGCGGCTGATCCGCTGGTGGTGGGCGTGCCCACCGTGTTGACTGACAGGCTGCCGGGTGGTGGCTTCTTGACTGGAACCATAACACTCCTGTTGGAGATAAGACAAAAAGGCATCAGTCAGACAAACCTGCACACACATTAGTCTTTTTATAAAATGTTTCTCTGTGTCATATCGCCTCTGTATGTATGCCACTGTTGGTTTATGCCACTATGAATAGAACACACAAAGCAACTTAAAGGGTTGTGCATTTTTAGTTAAAACAAATTACACAATTAAAAATAGTTGTAACCTCTTAGATATCACTTTTTAAGCTTTAAGAAGAAGAATTGTTACAGTGTATCACTATATTTAGATATATAGATTTGGCTATGTAGATGTGGTTTTTTAGAATAATTAGCGTGTTTTCTTTACTATCACACAATTCTGTTAAATTGCCATTATTTATATAACTCAGATGTATTTCGCCTGTCTTCACGAGTCAGACATTTACATGGGGGGGGGACATTTTGGAGCTGGACATAAATACCATTGTGATCTATTATGCACACTCTACAATCAATAACTGAGCTCTCAAGGACTGACAGAGAGCAGGATCAAGGAGACTAAGTGATGCACAGGAGATATGAGCAGGTCATCACTCAGCAGAGAGGCATTATGTTAACAGTTTGGAGGAGAGAGGGAAATGTGAAGCCTGCTTAGATTTTGTCCTGTCATGTTCAAAGACTTTATTATTAAGCAGCAGAATCTCTTTCCCTATACAATTTAAGACAGAGTCTAAAATCGAGTATACACATTTAATCTGAGTCATTTCATAGTATCACTGCTACTACAAAGAAATCATTGTTTTCCATTTTGAATTACCAATTAAATGTGTCTGTTTATATATTATACATATGTAGTGACATACATATTTAATGACAATAAAAGCTAGAAAAAACCAACAAGCCAATATCCAAAATTCACACTTATTGTTTCTCTATATGGGTTTCACTAAGAAGATCAATGTGACTGCTGGCATAGGTAAAGCACATTACGTAAGCTTGTCGATGTAACCATCCAAAGAGGAGGGGGTCATGTTCTAAATACTAATCAAATAATTGATTTCTGCGTCCTTTGTTTTTCCAAAACTGATGTTAAGCAAATTTGACAAATAGCAGCACACTAAAACACATCTCCAAAAGATCAGTATTGACTGGAGAAATCTATAAATTGATGGATGTGTCAGAGTGTACTGTCTCTGATATCTCTGTCTATGTTCCACCTCTTGTAGGTCAAACAGTTGGTGGGACTGACCTGTCGAAGGAGTGGAACTGCATGGGCAACATGGGGTGTGTTTTCAGGGCGGGGTCGGGGTGATAGGGCGTCGGCCCGGAGTCCTGTCCCAAATCACCGCCATCGACTGGAGCTGCCACCAAGCTCTTCAGGATCTCCTGCATTTCAGAGGGAAAAACCCTCCTGGTGACTAAAGGACAAGCTGTGAGGAATGTAACGGCTTAACATAATCACTTCTTTAAAAGGCTTACTGTGACTTTGGTAATGTTGCTTTTAATGTAGGCTTTGAAATGTCCAAAAAATACAAAGAAAATATTTCCAGCAGTAAACTCCGAATGTATACGAGTCAGAAACGAGCATATGATATTAATGATACATAACCTTATATAACCTCACTGAAAGGTGCATATGTGGAAAGATATTAACATTAAAATCAGTTATAGGGGATTCAACTAAGGCTGCAACGATTAGTCAACTAATCCTGTTGTCAAGCAGCTAACTACTTTTATAATCCATTAATCCTTCAAGTATTTTTTAAATTCAAAAACAGGAATATCTTTGGCGCTTTCCACTGACAAAACAATACATTTAAAGATATCAACAAAACAGGACAAAACTGGGACAAACATCTTTCACAAGTGTCTGTCATTTTAAAGATCAATTGATTATTCAACAAAAATGTGCTAATTTTTTTATTACAAAAATAATGAATAGTTGCGGCTCTAGGTCTAATAACATAGTTAAAAATACAGATTTGTCTTAATTATGCAAACCTAATTTAAATTGCTCAAGGCTGCATGTGTTGACTAAATGCATTTCCACCACCACATTGGACCAAATGCCTTATCTCTATGAACACATTTAGACAGATTGCAGCCGGTCTGACCTTGACATTGATGCCTTTGTTGGTCTGGCTGATGCTGGAGATGGACGAAGGCGGGGCTTGGCTGACGTTGGGGTTGTGGGGCGAGTCCAGAAGGCTCTCCTGTGACCTCCTGACGTCAGACAGGCTACACAGCAGGTCGGTGCCCCCTCCCCCCATGTCTCTTTCTCTGTCTCTGTCTCTGTCCGTCTCTCTCCCCACCAGGCCCAGGCCGAGCCCCATCTCCGAGCCGTTCAGGGACCCGGCCACATGGCCCTCCTCTCCGATGCCTGAGTCCGTGTGAGGGAGGCCAGCGCGGGGGGAGTCGTCCACGGGGGTGGGGGTCTGTTTGTCAGAGAAGCCTGTGGATGGGTGCTCTGAAGGAACACAAGTTTATTTTTTAGAGTAATGTATTGCCAAAAATGTATTTCATCTGTTCTCTTTCTCATCTTTTTTTCCTGCTTGTAAGCTTTATTGTTTTGCCTTCTGTCCTTTTCTCTCTCATCTTGTCCTCGTCTGATGTTCATGACAAAGGTATTGTTGTTTGCCTGAAGTGAGTATTGACTAGAAAGATGAGTCCCCACCAGCTCCTCCAAGAATCCTCTCTTGTATTGAGGATATTGCAGTCAAATAAAAACAAGAATCACCTGTACTGGTTGGGGAGTTGATCTCGTGGCGGATGCTTCTCCCTGATAGGCTGGTGGACCTGCCAATCTCCCGCTGGGGTTCTAAAATGTCCCGGTACTTAGACACCATGAGAACGGAGATGAAGTAGACCACTGCCAGCGCCAGAAACTGAGCCTGCTTACTGTCATCCTATAGAAAAATAACAAACACATTTATTTAGTAAAAAAAACGAAACACTAAAACAGACTACAGTCTACTACATAGTTAAATTCACATGCTTACCACATCTCTGAAAACAACAGCTCGAAGACGATTGATGTCTACATCCTGCAGCAGTCTGTCTGGATCCTGCTAAATATGGAAGACAGAATGTCAAATGTCATGCCAAATGCAAATGCAAGTTTCAATGTCAGATTTGAGTTTTGTGTGCTAGATTAGCATTTGATTTGAGGTGTGTGTAAGATACCTTGCTGTTGGTGGAGGCACTGTGGAGGCTGTCCTGCGACTTGCTGCTGGCTAAGGAGGATTTGCAGCTTCGATCCCTCTGTCTCTGCCGGCACTCCAGACAGTTCCTCACTGCCACGCAGCACACTGATGGACACAGAGGTGGAGAAGAAACCTGTTATTATTTTTGTTCTGAAGGTCAAGTGTCAAAGGATTTCTTTTTGATGTCCTACAGATGTCTACATTTATTTGTTTTCAGGGTGTGTCCATTCAATACAAGACCACAACCACAAAATGATAAGCAAATATCAGTCAATTACACAATCAAATAAAAAAGATAAATAGGTAAGCAGGTGCAAAAATGATACTGGACTAGAGCCTAGCCCAATACAATAGATTTCAAGTGAGTGTATGCTAATCTATTGCAATGCACACCCATTTTATATCTTAAACACCATTTTTGTATTATTTCCACAATTTGTAGATGTCACCTTGGATGCTAGGAAAATATCACAGCTAATAACATTTCTGATTGAACAGAACCAGCATGTTTTCTCTGAATAGGTCTTTGTATTTCCTTGTAACTGAAACACCCAAATAAGAAAGTTTGTAGCTTTTGATTTTAAAAGGCAGACAGGTGAGGTTTAAGGCTTGTGCTTTGTCATTGATTGGAAAGAGATTTCATAGACGAATCAAACAATCAAAAGAACAATCAATAAATGAATACAAATAAAGATTAGAACTCACCCAGACGGAGGCATTGCCTCATCAGCCCTCCTGACGACATGTTCTTCTCTGCTTCAATCTCGCTGAAGTTGAGAGAGCTGGCAAACACCAGTACGTCTACCATGGCCATGAGTCGAGACAGGAAGGTGACCGCCGTCTCCGAAGACATGCCCTGAGTCGCCTCGATGTTCTCCAACTCCGTCTGAGAAAGGGAGGATAAACAAACACACGCTTGCCAGTTATTCACTGAAAAACAAACAGGTAACCACAATAACAGGGATGCTCTCTCACTGGTTTTTAGAAAGGTGGTGAGGTGGTGAGATTGTATACAATAAAAGCAACATTTATAAAATGTATTATCATCATCTCGATGAGCATGACCACAGCGGTCATGGTCGGTTCTACCAAAAAAAGCAAACCTAGAACACATGCTGGTCAAGTGAAATACACACTTATGTGATGAAATCTGGCAACATGAGGTGTTCTACACAACACACAGGAAGTACAGTCTGGTGACACACAGGTAATGGTTACAGTGGGATTGTGACAGTAGCAGTGTGGCCAATTAGCAACAACAGGTGAACAGGTAGAGATAGCCAGGAATATATCTAATAGGAAATTAACCAAATTCCCCTTGTTGACTCTAACCTCAGTAATCAATTACAAAACATTCAGTAAATGCAAATAAATCTAGACACAGCAAGTGGGCGTTACACTTGTAAACCCAGTGTCAGGTTTGCTGTGTGTGCTTCAGTGAGCAGGGGATGCAGGGCAGTGGAGAGTCGACAGAGTGCAAGCGTCTCTTCAGAGCATGTGAGCACAGACATTTGGGGAATAACAGACACACAAGGTGAGGACAGAAGGGCTTGGGTTGGTGCTCTTAGCTCTTCTGGTGATGGTGGGATTCTCAGGCTCTTTACGCACCTCTCCCCCTGCGCCTCCTCCCCCAGGAACAGGGGTCACCTCCTCTCCCTTTGACCCCCTCTGGGGTCCGGCTCCTTCTGCCTTCTTTAGTGTTGATACAAATGGGACAGGCTTAGCAGATGCAACCCCTTAGGACTTAAGGAAAACTGTCATGCTGTTTTCTCTCATAAAACATACTCTATTTATTTTCATCTGTAAATGTATGCTCTGCTCGGATTTTTTCTTATTATTGATCCACCTCCTTGGCCTTTTAGTCTTTTCTATTTGCCTCATTTGTATAATATTTGAACAATGCTAGAATATTATGCAAATTGTATCTAAATTAAGTGTATCTACGATCTATAACTGAACGAACTTGATACACTGAGGCAGAGAGGTCAATAGATACAAACAGTATAAGGGGGAGTATTGATTAGCAGCAAAGAAGCACAACAGATAGAAACACTATGGATGTCAGACAAGCAAGGTTTAGTGTCAGTCACAATGGTAAATCAACCAGAACAAAGTATTAGTAACATAGAAAGAGAGGAAAAGAGGAAAAAACTGCAACTTACAGGGTTGGCACTATTCTTAGAACTCTGCACATGCAAAAACAGACAAAAACAGAGACGAAAAAAGACACAAAATACATGTAACACAGAGAGGAAAAGAAAGAAGATAGTTGATTCAATTAATAGATCATCAAACTATCAAATTAAATAGATTGGAAATGTAAAGGACAATCCCAAATAAAGGCCAACATACTATGCAAGTGGTACCCGGAAAATATTTTTATAAGTATATTTATTTGAACACATTTTCATCTTTTAAGGCCACAGGCAAACGTTTTGGCAAAAATAATAATAATAATCAACCTTAAAGGTTTATGGTGGCATTCTTCTTAATAATCATGATTTTAAAGTTTGTAAAAAAGCTACAAAATGCAATAGACATAACACAGTATTTAACAAATATTAGATTATGCAAGATCAATGCTGGCCTGAGCACGGGACTGGGATCATGTTTTTGGGTATTCAAAGTCTGATTTTGCTGTTACAGCTTGCCTATGAAGCGGATGATGACCTGAAGCTTATTTCCTACCACAGAGGGGCAGAGTAGAGCCACTTACAGAAGGGGAGGTGGCAGCAGACAGGAGAGGCAGGATGCCCCCGCAGGCAATGATAATGTTGTCCACCATCTGAGAAATGAGGTGGATCGTGTTGTGGACGAAGATGATGTTCTCATTGCTGTTCACAAAATCCATCACCGACTTGGTGGAGTGGCTGAAATGAGAAAATAAGTGCCGAATGGACAACACAAAATACATTTTAGAGCAATTGAGACATGTTTTGTCAAATCATTTTCAATATATCTGTGATCAATACCAATGTCCTGAAATCAAGGCAGAAGAACTAGTAGTATTAGCTCATTTAAGCTCACCTCCTCCACACATGCACATCAGTCTCCAGGGCGAACAGCAGGTCAGTGAGCAACCTCTGGTGCATCGGAGACCACTTGAATTCTGGGATGCGGAACATGGTTGTGCGCGGGCCGGGGCTGAACTGCCGGCGCTGCTCCTCCGTCATGGGCATGCCCCTGAAGCCCAGGTCCACACGGAGGTCTCGCTCCAGCTGGGCTGCGGTGCGACCATGGAGGGCCTGGTGGTGGGGAGGGAGAGTTGGTCAGCCAGCAGAGGGCTTTCAGTAAACCCCTTACTAGTCTAATAATACATACAGTTATGAAATGTAATTTCATAAGAGAAACCACAGAACACTCTCTGGGACTTCTTATTCCGTATTCCCTGATTCATTAGAGAATTAGTTCATGTGTGGGCAGTCTCTGCTTTTCTGCAGAGACTAACCGTCCATGGCTGAGCTTTTTATGCTAATCAATATACAAAAAAATCACATTGGAGCAGCATTGGCCTGAAGGTTGCAGAATACAGCTTGTACAGTAGCTGCCACTTAAAAATACACATGGGTGATAGGTTTTAGTTGACAGACACCAAAAACGTTTGTTCTTGTTTTTTTAGATTAGTCCTTTAATTGCTAGAGGAAAATAAGTTCAATTCAAAACACGGCACAAACTTTAGCTGAATGATACCTGAACAGTAGTTACAATTGCAGATTTGTTTGCACACAATCAGTCCAATTCGACACATCATTTAACACATAAACGCACCTGAGTGGTCGCTGTAGTTTGTATCTTCTTTGTGTCCTTGTCCTTCCCATCATCTGACCTCTCAGTGTCCGAGGTGGTGCTGGCTGAGTCCCCAGCCTTAAGCCCAGCAGCCTCTCCCTCGGCCCCGGATGGGCCCTCCCCCTCTGGGAAATCTGCTCTTGATGCTGCCTGGATCAGAGCTTGGCTCTCAGCCTGAGCTATAGAGCTGATGTCAGCAAGAGGGCTCTGGATTTTGAAGGGCCCGTCCTCTGGAAGATCTCCAGAAGTGTGGCTCTGGCTCTGCGTTAAGTCTGAGCCACAGGTGGTCATGTGGGCCAGCAGGCTGAGGTCATCACTGGCGCTGGTGGTGGGCTGGTCCGGACTCGGCAGCACAAGGTCTGTGGCTGCCAGAGCTGGAAGAAGCTTCTCGTCAACCTGGGAGAGATAATGGGTAAAAGGAAAGAACATTTAGACATTAGGAAGGTTTTCTTTAGGGCAAATCAAATATTGTTTATTTATTGTTTTTTATTATTATTGAGAGAGATGTGCATCTATGGACAACCGCACTTCAAAAGTAAGTAACAATAATCTCTACATCACATCCCACCTTGCTGAAGAGAAATCCGTTGTTGCTCGGGACGCTGTCCTTCTCGTCAGCCAGTGTGATGAGTGGACCCATGTTCCCATCATCCTCCAGGCTTACTCCCGAAAGCCCCAGACTCGACCCCATCCCGACCCCTGAGCCTGGCGTGTCATCTTTAGGCGCCAGACTCCCATTCAGGTTTTGAACTACAGCGCAGTAAGCACTGTCCAGCAGGGAGTCCACCTCCACTAGAGGTCCGTTCTCTACCACACCTCCTCCACCCACACCTCCACTAAGGCCTTCTGGAGACAAGTCCAGGTCGTCCAGCTTCACTTCTGTGGCCTCCACCTTCTCTGCTTTAATGTCTACCAGCAGGTCGTGGACCTCCACCCGGACCCCGGGCCCGGCAGCCTGCTCTCCGGGCGTCAGGGCCTCTCCGTTGGGTCGCTTCACAGCTCCTTCTGCCAGGAGGATGCGAGAGTCTGCGCCGGCCCCCTCGCTGTACTCAGCCTCGCTCTCAGGTGTCTGCGTCTGGGAGTTGTCATCAATCTCCAGGTTGCCGTTGACAACAGGGGCGGCTGTAGCGGAGAGCCCAGAGATGGTGGACACACAGCCTTTCTTCCCCTTCTTCATGTTCTCCTCCTCCTGCCGCTGGTACTCTTCGTACATCTTGGCTAGGTACTCTTTGTGGGCTTCGTAGGTCACCTGTGGCAGAGGGTGGGGATGTAATTGGTCATGTGATCAGAACACAAGCGCTGACAATTGTTAACATTGAGTTCTCATCAATAACTCCTCCAACAGGTAGCCCTCTGATGTCTCATACATCATCTATAATGGCCCTATTGCTTTTGTACTGCCACAAGAAAATTGGTGAGTGAAAATGGCCAGTCCTGAACAGTGCACAGAGAGATGATCAGTTATTGAAAATGATAGCTGTGATGAATCATAAATCAGCAGGCTACTCCCGCTGGACTTCACAGGTCACTGAGAAATGAATAGTCAATACGTACGAATCAATGAGGCTTTTTTCAGCATTTAAGAAAGCTTAACTGAAAATGTCAATACTAACAAATCAATATCACTAGTAATGGTCCTTCATTTTTGAACCAATAGATTTTAAATAGAGTAAAGTGAATATTGAATGAGGCTCCAACCCAACTTCAGCCAGATTTGAAAAATCAGTTTGTTCATCAGTCAGCATTTTTCAGACAAAGGGGCAAAATGACTGCACATGCAGTAAAAAAAACTAATAGCGTCTTAAAGGAGAAGCCCACCCCCCACACCCAACTTCAAAATCGTATTTACAGTAGAGCATTTGGAAAAAATAGTGACTGACTACATTATTGTGTTAAAATGACTTATCTACTTCTGCTTGTACTGTAACATTGCTTATATAGGATTTACTAATAAAACAAAATACGGGATATAATAAGTTTGGATTACAATGTGAGTTACAGTGTTGCAGCAGTTGGAAATCTGGGGTTAAGAAAAAAATCATAGTAAAGGCCATGAAAAAAAATCACATTTTATACATTGTTTACAATGGGTCCTCCTGAGTAGGAATTTGGTATTTCCTTGTCTTCATTAATGGATTTCTGTTTCTGGATTCTTAATGCAAAGTGAGAACAAAAATACGCTTTTTGATACTTTAAGAGCATTTCATACTCTTACCTTGGAGTGTGCGATGGATAGGGTATCAACCCAGACCCTCCACCCTCCCCATTCGTATTTAATGGCATGGTACAGCAGGATCCTGAAGATGTTGTAAACCATCTCGGTAATTTTCTGCTCTTCCGGGCTCTTGGGGTTGATGTACCCGAGGGAGAACATCCAGTCCTGCCACACAGAGCACTGCAGCAGGCATCTGGAACACAACACAAACACTGGATGTGAGTCGGGCTGCAGATTAAGCTTAATTACACAAATCATTAAACAAAACAAATGACATGCAGGTTGAATAAATGCAAGTAGTCATTTTAGGGACTCTTACCGCCTGTTTTCACGGCTGTTACTGAAGAGTTTTATCATGTCAGAGAGAAAGAGTCTTCTGACTTCCATCAGCTCGCCACTGGGAGAGGAGTTCTTCAGCAGGGTGGCCACTACCTTGAGAATCACTGGGTGGGAGGGGAAACAAATCAAGGAATGGGGAAAAGAAAGAGATAAGAGAAGGTAATAGTATTTTGAATGAGAGAGGAAAATGTGAGGGACAGGAGAGTAGATCAATAACTGTGAGATGGCAGCAGTGTCGGCTTCTGAGTTGTGGCTTTGTTGTTTGTTTACTCGCATTAAAACAACACTGCATTGTTGGCAGACCAAAGCACACAGAGAGACAGGCAGGTGCAGGCTAAACTGAGTTAGTACTTACTGGGATTCTGGATTTTGATAGTGGAGTCGGGCTCAGGGTGGGGTTTGTGCACAACCTGAGTACAGACCTGCTCCGTCAGAATCTGCACACACAGAGGGGGAACAGCCGTCAATTAAACGCCACGTCAATCACCTGAATACCGACAGACTGAAAGGGCATCACTTCATGTATGTTGCTGGTAACACAGCATGTCAATGAGCTGATCACCTACCTCATACAGAGTGTTGTAGGTGGTGACAGAGACGGTGTTGGTGTGCATCATCAGCCTCTCCCCCAGCAGTGTGAACAGACTGTGCGTGTGCATTATCTCCACCTTCCTCCTTCAGGAAACACACACACACCATTCATAAGACAATTTATGACAGTTGAAAGTGACATTGATTGTCACAGGCCTGATGCCGGTTTGATATTGGCAGGTGGCACCATGTGGCCCTGTCAGTTATGATGGGACCAAAGAGGACGAGAAATGAATACCAACAAGAGAAATTAACGAGAGACATTAACAGAGCGGCATCACTGCAGGCGTCACTGGGGCAACGTTAGCATGGATGTAAATTATTAACTTTGAAGATTAACCTTGCCAGTGGGAGGAAATTGTGTTACTAAAAGGGCTTTTAACTAGAAAGGTTTAGACATTAGGGTTGGCTCACTTTGAGGATTCTTTTTTAATTGAATTGGGAGAATAATGCTCAGAGCTTCTGTATATTCACAGATATAATCAGGTCATTAGAAACAGGAAACAAAGGAAAAATTGCACAACATCTAATTATGTATATATAAATATACATTTATCTTTTATTATATTTAGCTCCTATATGATGTTTGAAAGTAGTTTGATGGGTTAAGAATTCTACATTTTTTTGGTTTTGTTATTATTTTTGATCAATGATATTATCAATACCATAAAGAAGTTAATAGCTCTGAAATCATGATGTCATTGTTATCCTTTGTATTAGGCGGATATATAAACTATCGGTATATCATATGAAAATAGATAAATTGTGATTGACTTGAGCACTATTTAACTTCATGATGATATAATATGAAATAGATAAAGTGTAAATTGCTGTCTGGATCAATGTTATATTTCAACGAGCAGTGACATGTAAAGTTAAGAGGCTCCCTGCAGGGTGTTAGGTTGGAGCAGATGTTGAGGAGGTGGGGGGGGGGGGGGCTGAAGGTTCAGGTGCAGCTAGGCAGCCCGCTCCCATGTCGTGCAGCGAGTGGCATCATGGGATGAATAAATCCCCCAGCATTCATTGATGCTCATCAAGGTTCCACCTCCCTTGCAGTGTGCACTGTCAACATGATTATTCCGCCTGGACGTGATGATGAGGACACTATCTTCACGTACACAAACAAACAATAGGCCTTTCGAAAGCTCACTGGAGGCTGCTGTGATTTTTACTGCAGTGAGTTTTCTCACACTCTATCTGAAGTCTCCCAATCTTACATCGCAGTATTTGGGTTTTAGATGTGAGAGAAAACGAGATTAAGGTTGATTTTCGCAGCAACAAACACTACACAAAGAATATATCTGACAGAAAGCAAAGAGACAAAGAGGTACTGACTTGTGACCGAGGTGCTTGAGGAAGTAGCCCAGGACTTTGAGTGCTTGGACTCGGATGCTCTCGCTCTTAGAGGCCAGGAGCTTGCAGATCACCCTGTAGCATGGAAAACAAAGACTGATCAAATGTCAATGAATGACTTCAGTAAACATGTTCAATCCAGGCGTTATTCTGGCAGTGTAGTAAAGACCTGCTGCCTTATACTTAGTAAACATCCTTAAAGTTTGCAGCACGTGCACTGAATGGAACATTTTCTTCAAAGGAGTGTACTCGGAGGACATGAAAGGGAAATAAATGTGAGAACACAACACACATTTTGCTGACTAGCTCTCTGGCAACAGAAGATTTAACCATAGCAACCAACAACACATCCATGAGCAGTTGTGCTTCAGGGGACTTAGCAGCGCAGTTTGACTCCTTCTTTAAGAAGTCCTGCTGCTTGGCTGAAGCTACCCTTTTTGTAATTGAATATAAACAAAAGCTTAGCCATGCAGTAAAGCATTTATGTTATGGCTGCTGGACAAAATGGAGGATTTACTTGCTTATCGGACAAATCACATAAGAGAACCAAAGGTGTTACAAATTGTGTTTTGTGCAATAAAAAAACTGAGAATACAATTGGAACAAACATGGGAGTATATTAACAATAGGACATGTGCATATTTCATGCAACTGCTTTGGGATTTAAAAAAAAGAGAGATTACAATTATATAAAGGAATGTTTTTCCTAATTTTTAAATAAATAAACAAATTTGACTTTAACTTATTTTGTGCCTCTTGTAATTCATATTGAGAATTGTTTCTGGTTGTTATAAATGGTAACAGTAAAGGCCAAAATAAACATGTTAACAAAATTATCACACGAGAATGATATCTTATTTATCAAAGAAAGCTATGTTTAGTGTCAGTAGGATCTGATGGTGCATCATATCTTCATCTGTGTGTCAGTATTCACCTTATTCCATTTCTCTGGTCAAATGCAGGGATCATGGACGCTGGGTGTTCAGACATGAGAGCCACCAACAGCTGCAGCACGTCGTGGATATTCTCATCCTGCAAAGAAAAGAGAGCGAAGTTGAGCAGGTGAAAAAAGAACAAAGAGGAAGCCCGAAGGGTCCGAGGAGTAGAGGGTTAAGAGGACAAAGAGAGAGGTGTAAGGAAGGACAAGGAGGTGGGTGGGGTGTTATTTCAGTGCAAGAATAGACATAATTGTAACAGAAGAGTACATTCTGTTCAGTCCATTGTTGCACCATTTTCGATGCTTTCACAGCGCCGAAGCTGACTCACACTCTGACTTGTTTAATTGGACCATAACTCCAACCCACACATTTTAATGCACAATTTGCCACCAGCTCCACTCAGCCGCTCTCACAGTCTCTCTGTGGCTTCGCACTGAGCAATTACCTCATGCATGGTCAATAGGTAGTTGAGTATGCTCTGCAGCTCGTCCTCCTTCACGCCTCGGTCCTATAAAAAAACCAGACAGGGCATCAATCACAGAAACGTTCATGATCTCTGGTAGTTTTTACAGCTTTATAACATCAGATGGTCCCTGGTTGATGCATTTTGATCGAACTTCAAACACCCACACAACGGCAGGAACAAATCAATAAGAGCACAAAGGATACAGTGTTTCATTCAGGCTACTCATCCATAATGCAATTCCACGCACACACACATTTTAGATGAAGGTCGAGAACCCCATAGTAGATAAAACACAACAGAGAGGACATCATGGAAAGTAGCAACTTCTTGTAACTTAAACTATGCCATGAAGACAATGGTAATCCTTTTCTCTCACTGTACCTTTAGTATGAGTTGTTTGAGGAAGAGGAGCATGAAGGCTCTGAGCGAGATGATCTCCTTTTGGGATGGTCGTGGTCCGTCTAAACAAACACACAAAAACAAAGGAATCATTTCCTGTTAAACAAAATTCAATGTTTATGCACGATAGTGATCGGCTAGACAACCCGCTCAGTCTGAGTGAGCCCTACCGTGCACTCATATAAGTTTTATTATGCTTCCTGGAGAGCTGAGAAAAACATGTTAACATAAGCACACACACATACACACACTCTATGAAAGAACTGTAAATCACTGCCATTAACTCCTGGAGCAATTTGGCAATCTGGATATTTTATAGTTTACTAATCTAAATGATTATAGCAAAGGCATGGCAATTTACAAAACATGTGATTGATAGTCCAAATGATCCGAACCAAACGGGCACTGTAATCCACTGTATCAACTTTAAAGCTCCGGCGCTCCATCAGCTGTTCGCTGTGGTGGCAAACAGAGAAATAATCAAGCTAAAATCACAAAATCATCAGGCACATAACACAAGTAATTCCTCATGTGGGTCTAATGTCATTGCCACTTTCTAAAAGGTCTGTACTCTTTGACAATCATGATCATATATCTCCACGTGCTCATACCTGCCAGACCTCCATGACCTTTTAAAGTGTATCAGGATTTCAGTTCTTAACAGTTTTTCCTTCTGCAATTTGTCTGAACTTAATTTCGACAAAGGCTTCCTTTTACCTTTTAAACGATGGAACGGTAGCCCTTTTGAAAAAGAAAGAATACTGACAACTCAGATGATGGCATTGCATTTTCATTGTTGTAACTGTATTTAATTCATTTAGAGGTGTTTAATGTGTGCGCCAGACACACTATAAGCTTAGGGCTGTGATGAATCGGCTCAAAATGGCTGCCAAATAACTAGCTAATGGAATATGTTGCCAAATAGAAAAATATGTATGGATTCTGATCAAAGCACCCACCCTTTCAAAATAAGGGCATTTCTCCTTTATTGGTCCCAGTGGCTACTGCAGCCAGATAAAGTTGGCTTTCTCCATCTTCTTCAATTACTACTCTACAGTTGTCATAAAAAAAATAATGAGAAGTATGCAATAAAAGAACAAGCTACATGTTCTCCTCAGCTTTATACATTCCCAACACGGGTTTATAAGTTTAAAAGGCAACAATAAACATTTGTAATGTCCTGGCTTATGTGCATTAGCTAACTCACACTCTGCTGTGTCAGGATGATTGGAATTATCCTTACTTTACACAAAGGGAGAGTGCTGCAGTAGTAAAGAGCGTTTATTGAAAACTCAATGAAACTGGGCACATAAAAACCGAAATCCGGCTGCTTTGATAGGAGAGGTAAAGCAAAGAGAAACATTTAAACGGGTGTGGAAGAAAGAAGAATAAAGCTTTTCGACTACTTATATTTTTGTCATGCTCTGCCTCCCTTGAATAATGTGTGTACAGGTTTCAATCTGTTCACCTGCTCTTCACAAAGCCAAAACATGACACTGAAGAAGTCCCCTGCGATTCATCATCATTATCCGTCAGGCTGGTACCCGTCGGTGGAGTATTGACACTCACCATTCATCATGGTTACGCAGCAGCTCTGTGTCAAACGTGGACGCATCAGGTGAGCGTGTGCAAAGGTGACCTCTGTTTTAAGGGTCTTTAAAACAGAGGATTTCAACGCTTATATTCATTCAAACCGCTTTCTCAGGGGCAATTAATTATCGTCTTTTACTCTTCAGAATTCACTTTCTTTCTCCCGGGCTCCTTTTTATCTTAAATCTGACTCAATGGTTTTATCCGGTAATGTGGACAAGGGTTTTGTTCTGCCACTTAGCCACAACCTGTAAGGAGTCAAAGAAGCTTTCTATTTTTATGCTAATACAGTTCTGTGTGAGCGTGTGTTTCTACATGAATCTGTGCTCATTGTTAGATGGGCTCCTTGCAATAAGCACACACTCTACACACACTAAAAGCTTTGAAATCAAAGTTTTGCTTGGAATATAATTTAGCTGAAGAGTTCAAAAGCAATGTGGCTAACTTTTGCAAAAGGCCTTAGGTGTTTTTTTTTAGTCAAGGTAAACATTCCCTCTCTTTATTTTCCCAAAAGCAATTAATTTGAACATCAGAAGGGGCTATTTGTAAAATATGAGGTAAGCTTAGAGAGGAACTATGTATTTCTAAGAAGAGTTTCAAAGACTCAAAGCAGGTGCAGGGTAAAAATACACTAGGACAACAAATGTTGTACTGTGCAACTTGGATTCAACCTCATTACTTCAGACTGAGGCACAGTTAAGTACATTTACCCACCGAGCCCATTGTTGGCTCAAAATATCTGGCCATTACTATGCAAATTAATTCCATCAAGGCATATCACACTCTTACAGTAGAGGCAAGTTCACACCATTGCAAAACATAACTAGCACATCCTCTAGCTTTGAACGGCCATTAGCACATCTGAGGCTAATTGCTCCGGTTATCAGAGCTTCTTCATGGGGCTGAATCCCCGCAGTCAAACAGCAATATCGGAAAACCGAAAGGAAACCAGACAGCCAGTTGATTAGAAATTCCAAAAGCTCCCTTGGATCTGCCAATCAAACCCGTCTGCTGCCATGGCAACATGGGATGCGTTCTCATAGTCCGTGGAGGGTCCCGGGCAAAAGATGAGGTTGATTCAAGACAAAAGGCCGACTCCGACCTTTCTGAAGCTCTGGTGTGAGGCCACAGAGGCTGTGTTAGCATTGTTACGAAGGCAGTGGAAATACAAAATGGGATTATTTGTGGTGTTGTATGGAATACGGTGCATTTTATAATTCCACTTATTTTTTAAATATGGACAAATAGCTTTGTCATCAAACAAATACACTGCATTCACAGGAAGCTCAAAAGGATGTGCACGCATTTCTATTTAAATAATCAAATGAAAATCGTTTTTGGGAACACAGGCTTCTAGGTCTTGTTATTCTTCCTTTTTTCCGCAATAGTGTTATTTGCACATTCAGAAACACTTTCAAAAGGGAGCTGTTCAGTCTTGCTCGTGAGCAACTAGACAGTGGTTGTTAAGAAACGGAAGACATGGTGTATAGAATAAATGACCACTGTCATTATCTCCATACTGAAATGAAGATCAAATACTGTAGCCATCCATATTTTGTGCAATTTAACGAAGCTGTAATGATTTGACCTAACATTACACAAGGTGTTTTTGCACATTTGTAAAGCCATTAGACATCCATTATCCATTCAAGCCTGAAAGACTTTTGACTTTCAGCTTAAAAACGGACACTAATGTGAGAAATGTGAAACCTCTTTAGAACTCATCCTGAACATCATCATCAAACATAATTAAAAGCAATTCCTGTTTTCTACATGTAACTAAGGGCACTGTTGAACTAAATCTCAAAAAGTATAAGTAGAATCTGTTGGAGTGTAAACCCTGATTACTTTGTCACCTCTGCATACCTGCCAAATCACTGCATGCTGTCAGAGTGTCAGGAAGCTACAGTGAGCGTCAGGTACAGCCCCCTCATATTCTGATGTCAGAGAGGTGACTAGGGAGGGGGTTTAGACATCGTTTGGCTGTTTGACAAGCACTTTGGCTGGAGCTCGCGACAACTTAAATTGCACACATGAATGCGAACTTTGTGTGGTCATCCTGTAACAGGCTCAATCTCCCTGTGACTTCACACAGATTAACCAGAGAAGATAGACAAACTGAGGGATGGATAATGTAAAAGCATATTTGATGCGTGTCAGGTATCCCCATTGCCATTATGTGTATGGATAAATGCCTTTATTTACATTTTCTCTAAAGCTGTGAGTCCCTTTTTGTCATAGTGCTGTAAAAATACAGTAACACAGTGTATCAAAAGAGATGTTAACTTTGTTTAGGACATATAAAGACGGAGAAAGGGACAGTAAAGCAGATGATGAAGAAGGAGATGAGGTTCGATACATTAAGTCATTCTTAATATCTCTAGGACTGTTCATTAGTAAATGTAAGAGACTTTATATTATCTTTTTCTCACAGTGAAAATGACTCCTCGTGTGCAGGTGTGAACTCACCAAGGCCTTTGGGGTTGATTCCACTGCACTCCAGCGGGTTGATGGCCCAGTAGTAGTACTTGAGAGTGTGCATGAGCTGCAGGACGGTGCCCACGCGGCGGATGGTGGTGTAGATGGTGGCGGTGCCGATGAACTCAGAGGACAGGTATGTGTAGAGGGATAGCTGGACCTGGATACACAAACATCCGGTTACGAAACATCCATTGTGCTTAAATATTATGTATTTGCCTGCTTGTTGTTGTTACAAAGTACAAACTGCCTACTTAGCCTGGTCACAGATTTTAATCTCAATGTAACTTAGACCAGAGGCCTGTACTACGAAGCTGGTTCAACCTAACCTGGATATGTTGGAGTTAGCCGGTTGGCCCAATCCAAAACATACGCGCTCTCGCTAAGCTGTACTACGACGCTGGTTATCAAGTGGATCGCTCAAGCCAGCCGTGTCCTATCTAGTTAGGTGCGCGTTCACATGAAAGGGGTGGTATTTGGAGCATTCGACCAATCTCAAACACGGACAAGCGTACTGACAGCGCAGCGTCATACTTCCTGAATGAAAAGTGAACTTTAATATTAGTCAAATATGAAGAAGTTAAACTTTAAACATCCATGACTCAAACACTTTATCCAGGATAAAAGCCACATAGCTGCACCTGCAAGGTGAATAGAGCTGGTAAAAAGAAAAAGCGTTTGAATGCGTACATTAACAGGTTTATGAAATCACTGCCCCGTCCAAGACATGAGTGGATCTGACTTTAATATATGATACATTGTGATATGATATGAATGATAATGGGACACATCTGCACTCACAGTGCCGCGGACTGTACTTAATGTTACTCTGATCCGGTTACTTATGTTGTGGCAGATATTTAAGTAAGCTTTCAGAACGCTAATATTATAATAGTCAGATTGCTCTGAAGATGGGAGGGGATATTCTATTAATTTTCACGTTCACACAGTCAGTTGATTTTTGCCGGCCGTCTTTCCTGCAACGGCAGTTTTTCTGTATTTCCTTTATCCTGTAATATGACTTGATAGCTTTAAACTCTGCACACTGAGCTCTGATTGGTCAGCAGGCGGTGCTTTCACTGAGTTGATCTCTTAGCCTGCAACCTAACCTCCTCCCGAGGAGGTTAGCCGCTCAGCATAAGTTACCATGGAGATCTAGCCCGCTAAAAAGAGAACCAGCGTCGTAGGACCGGAAAGCCTGAGTTTTCCCTGAAGTTAGCCGGCTAAGCGAAAATCCAGCTTCGTAGTACAGGCCTCAGGTTGAATAATGGATATGTGTGTGTGTAAATATGTGTAGATTAACACAAAGGTCACAAGCTAATACAAACTGTCTGACAACTACTGGTGAGAAACAAATTATCCGTGTGTGTTTATGGTGCTCAAACAAAAGGAAGTTTTTTGAGAGAAGACAGCCACACAGGGGGTTAAAAAGGAATCATCCCTCCAGCTTGAGCACCAATGTTTTCTGCTCTGTGTTGTTTTTTTATGTTTTCTTTGCCTGGAGCATGAAGTGAAGCATCTGAGGTGCACCGTACGCAGCGCTGACATTTACGGAGGGCGCTTTCCAATTGTCTCTTCCTTCGCTGCCTCCTTGTGTTCCTTTTCTTCCTCTCTTAATATTCCTCGCTCACAAATCTCAGAGCTCATTACAGTGACCACGACGCTAAGGACGAGCCTTAACGAGCTAGATCTGGTTAAGCGGATGAAATTAGTGGAGTGCTTTAGCCTGACCATACTTTATCACAGCTTATCTAAAATGGATTCTTTTCTCATAAGCTCATGTGTTTATCTGCTACGATTTACCACAAGTTCAGCAGCACACAATACTTTGGGCTGCAATAGCTCGTATTAAATATTTCTCCATCTCTGAGAGGATTAGGTTTACCAGAAGTGCTTGAAGGATAAAAAAAGGCTCTCTATGTTCTTCAGATGTGATTCATTTATGTAGTGTTTCCTGTCCTGAATATGACCTAGGCTATTCTTGCCAATGATGAAGGTGATAATAATACAATTACAAAGCCCAGCGAGACATGAATAGAACAGCAGAGGAAACATTAAAGGGAGAAATTATTATTTTGTGGCTGTGTTGCTGCTTACTAAATGTATTATGTCTGTATATATGTATTGTTCTTTCAACATGTCCCTTCTGAATTCTATTCATGTTTACTAGCAGTTCATTGTCATTTCCTTTATTGGCACTTAATTGAAAGTATGAACCCAAAAGGCAATCACATGTTTTTTTCTGTTACGACTCTTTAGACTAAGGCTGAAATGTGTCAGATGTGTTCGACTCTGACTTTCAAACCTGCCTCATTCTCCTGAGCTGTAAATGCTCAGTCGCATTTCTTCTGTCTTAACTCCTGCATGCCCTGGAGAGTGATATTGCTGTACCCAGGAGCCAATCGCATCTCAGGGTCAGAGGGAAAAGGAAAAGGAAGTTCTGAGAATAATCGAGGCAGGAGCTGACTGGCCCTACGGGAATGCCAGGAACACTCACATCTAGTTCAGAGTGAGATGGAAAAAAGGGACTACACATTTCTCTTCTGTCCTGGGGTCCTTTCAAATGTCACTTCTTCTCTTTGTTTCCTACGTGTTCCTGTTCTTCCCTGCGTGATGTGCCAGCTCCTCCCTCCGTGTCCTGTAACCTCCTTTGTCATATTATTGTAAAGGGCAATGGGCACTGAGGTGTCAGTCCCTCTTCATCTCTGTCTTATATTTCATGCTTGCTTCAACTTGCCTTGTACAAATCCTCCAAAGCACTTATTTTTCTATTTCACACCAAAGGTCTGGTTCTATCAACCCATTCATTCTCCTATTCAAGTCACCCTATGTAGTTTGTTGTGCAGCAAGGTCATGAAAACACATACACAGTCAGTAGGTTCACACAAGTAAACAGACCTTGGCAGGGGTGTGTATCCAGATGGCAGCGTTGAAGAGGACATGGTCACAGAGCTGTTTGAGAAGAGGCGCTCCATGAGGTAAACCATCCAGATACTTGGCGAAGGACAAGAACTGTTCAAGGACCGCTCTGGTGATGTGAACCCGTGACGACTGGACAAAAAGAAAGGGAATATAAATTGGGATTTAACCGGACTGAATGGTCACTCAAACACCCGTTTTAACTCTTAAACGGGCCTATTTTTTGTTTTACATGCACAAAAACCTATATAACACACTACAGGAAAGGGAAAACACAAAAAGCATAAGATGGGCCCCTTTAAGTAAAACTGTAGCGTTCATTTAAAACACACCTTAATGATATGTTTAAGGGCAAGATATTACCAAAAGAGCACCAATGCATATTCTTTAAAGTGGACCTATCATGCTATATTTGAATAATATATTGTAGGGCTATACCTATATAAAACATGTCTGTGAAGTTTTTTTTTCAAAATACCAAACAGATCATGCATTTTAGCCATGCCTCATTTCGCTCTATTTGCTCTTTTCCAGCCCTGTTTTTGCAAGGGCTGATTCTGTGAGAAGTCTTCTTCGCTGCTTTTGTGGCAGACTACAGCGCCACTTACAGGCCTGGCATATGTACTACAGCGTCTCCAGCGCTTTCGAGCGGCAATGGCCGTGGCCCAACCCCCCATTCCCCTGATAGGTGGAGAGTTGCCCATATAGGCGGAGCTGCCTGTTTCTGACGTCAGAACAATTTCAAATCTGTATCAGCTCCGTTGCAGCCCCGTTTTTAGAGATTTGGGTATGGAGGAAAAGAGAGAGGGTTGTGTTTTCTGACACTTGGTGAGTTCCCTGACACACCGGGGACACATATTCATGTATAAAAGACGTACAAAAGTGCATTTTGCATGATAGGTCCCCTTTAAACTGTTACAAAAAATAAGTGCATCCATACAGAAAAGTAGATGCACATTCGCCATGGTAACAGTTTGATATTTTAGTGACACAGGAGACATACAGAGTGAATGAGAGTGTCAGCACAGACAGAAAACAGGATTAAAGTGAAAGATCTTAAGTGAGAAAACTTTTTGAAATTAGTTAAAATCTACAAATGACAATCTCATTGAATTATATATTATAACGGTGTTTTTAAATGATTATGTCAGGAGAGGCTGTCAGCGCTAAGGGAATCAAGTGTAACCGCGGTTACAAAGTGCCTGTGGTGTCTAACAGTCAAAGGTGATAAGCATTTAATTTACACCAGCAACCAAGTCTTTCATTTAATTAGCATACTGTGAATTACTTTTATAGCAAGAAGATATAAGACTAAATTATAACAAAATATTATTAAAAAAGAAAGAGTTGTAAACTGCATAAAAAACTCAAGTGAAATGTGTACAACTAGTAGTTAAAGATATCCAGTTCAATACAACAGTCCTATAACAAACCCTCTGTTCATGAATAATACCACATTTTGTATTTAACTGTATGGTTAATTTGGTGCTTTTGGGCTATATTGCATTACAGAAGGCCTTCTCTTATTGGCTCATTTGGCTGTTCCTAAAAGTGTAAAGTGAGCGTTTATTTGCTGTTCCAGAGTAAACAGCAAATAAAAAACAGGATTGTAAAGGGAAATGTATGCATTATGAAAACAATGGAACTACCAGCCTTGAGAAACTTAGTTGAGGACATTGTAATATGAAACGTAAGACAAACTCTTCACTGTTGAGGCCGATTACTGACCTTCTCAAGAAGGTACCCAATCACCAGGAAGCCTTTCCCACCAAGCATTTGCTCCTGCATCGCCACTGAGCTCTTCAACAGCTCCACCAGGAAGGCCAGCAGGGTGGCACTGCAACAAACACAAGGTGCACACACACTTTAGGGAAAAACTGTGTAGAAATCACCCATAGATTTGTAAATGTTCGTATTGGAGTATGAGTTAAAGGTCCCCTATTATACTGTTTTTCATCAATATATTACAGGTCTCAGATGAAAACAAAACATGTCTCTGAAGTGTTTGGCTCCAAACACCAAACAGATCATTGTAGCATCCCATAATCCCCTCTGTTTCAGCCCTGTTTCAAAAGTGCTGATTCTCTGTCTGTTACTTTAGATGAAAATAAGGAGCCACGCCCCACGCCCCTCTGAGAGATATTTGGTTACAAAGAACACAATGGTGCTCTACGTGGAGATTCATGTGATAAGGTGAGCGGGGGTTACCTTGGTTGGTTATTGGCTAATGGTTACACAACCAAAAAATCGTTATGACATCATAAAGTGGCCAAAATCTGATCAGCTCATTTTTGGACACATTTTTATATAAATGGATCAGGACAAAAAGAGAGCAAATATTTGTTCCTGAAACTTTCAGAATCTCTTTACACAGAGGGGACACATGTTTATGTATTAAAACGACATGAATAGGTGACCTTTAAGATGCAAGAAGACCCGCTCCATGTTTGCTTCACCTCTCCCCATACCCACAATCCCCTTCTCCATCATTTATTTTGAATAGGAAGGTGTTTTTTTCCGTTTGTTATTGTTATCCCCCTGATGATAGTTGATAAATGCTCTTGGATGCAGCTAACATGATGTGGAGATGCTGCCTGATATGTAACTGTATTAAGCCTCACATGATGGAGGAGAATCAAGACAATCTCGGAGCGAGAAAAACACTCCAACTTTCTCAAAGCGGCTCAACGCTCCAGGGAAAACAACTAAACTCTTCTTTCTTTCACACGTACATGCCCTGCTCTCTACTTTCAGTTATTTCTAGCCTGCGGCATAATTGCAATTTTGCTCCTTCAGATAGAAGACAATTCTCACACGTAGAAAACTCATCTTTATCTAATTTCTCTCAGTCTCTTTGTTCTCGGTTGTTACTGGGTCCATTCCAGGATCAGCGTCAGTACATTTTGCACATTAATTAAAAAAAACGTGCAGGGAAAAAATTATGTTTTAGCTTATTTACTGTACTAGAAATGATTTGTATTGTCTTTATCACTGCACGGTTTGCAGCCACTGATTTTCGTTTAGTTTTTTTCAGAACACCACTCACCAGACTGTGGTGTCCACGCTGCAGTCATTGAGCTGTTTGTAGTCCAGCTGAGCGAAGAGAGGGAACAGCACCTGGATGCCTCCTATAGAGTGGATGGCACTGTGGATGGAGTGGGTAACAATGGCCTTCACATCCTGTGGGAGGGAAATAGACTGTTAGGGCTCTCAAAGACTATACTGTACTATACTGTATGTGCACAGACACACAGATACAATCACTCACTGCCAATAAAACATAACTCATATCTGATATACAGTTGAACATCTGCAGTAGGTCTCATATACAGCATTACTTCATTACCAAATTTAGTTTTGTTTGCCAAATTATGGGATTCGAACGCAAGAATCAAGAGAATTTGGGATCATGTGTTGTACATGCATCTTATTTGCCACTGTCTTTACCTGCTGTACAGTGTGTAGTATAGGGCCATGGGAGGCTCTGAGATGTTTAATAAGGGAAATTGCAATACCAACCAAAAGTAAGATCATTATTGGAGTTGATCTTAAACCTCAAAACTCAGTAACCCTGAACACGTTTAAAGCTCTGGTGACATCTACTGAATCAAGGTTATCTGTGTGCAAATGTTTAAACTGATCTTTTGATGTTATTCAAAGGGGTTTTAAAATGAATTGCTGAAGCTCTGTGTTGCTGATATTATTGGCATGGTCTCCCCTTGTCAAATAGGTCTTTGAACTCAATAGGATAAACCTGGTTAAATAAAGTGTGAATAGCCCTGATTTAAAGTGGATGTACAGAGCTATCCTTCTTCTTTTCACTTTTCATAAGTCTTCTATTTGAAATGTAATCCATGATGCTATAGTGCAATGAAAACATATGTGACCCGTTCTAAACGTGGATTTGCGTAAAAAAAATAGTTTTCCCCTTCCCTCCGGCTGAAATTATGAATGTAAGGCGTATAGTAATCATAGATAACACGGCAGGGTCCGTTACAGTTTGTTTTCATCTGATTTCAATTAAACAAAGTCTTGGCTTTCAGAATATTGAACTTGTTTCGGCAAATTCAGATAATAAATACAGCTTTGAAGCTTGTAACGGCATAATTACAAGCGGAGAACGGAGTAACTTGACGTCACAGCAGGCATAACAACAGCCGGTGTTTCTCGTGAGTGTTTTCCCCGGGAAACAAACACAATACACACAAATGCAAAATTACACAAACACACACACACTCGTGAGCTTCCCCCAGACCAGTAATCCAAACGAAAATATCTTCCCTCCGTACTATTTTGATCATTTGCTGATAATCAATCAGATCGATGGATTCCAGAGAAGAGGAAACTTTGAAGGCCTTTTTCTCAAAATGATGACTCGGTAACAGTCATTATATAATGTGACAGATTTCGCTTAATATTTGGAGTACAAAAACAATCCTGATATCATTAGAAAGCTAGGAATCTCCTCTTTCCAACAGTGTATACAACTCAAAATGTGTCTTCGGGTCAATGCGACTGATTTCGATGGAGCAGGTCACATATTATGGATTTCAAAAATAACTTTTTACATGTTTTTGTTAATTCAATAATTATTATAAAACTTTGATTTAGCTGCAAATGGCATCTGTTTGAATCAAAGAACCAAGTGGAATGCGCGACCTCTATTATAACTGAAATAACTACAACCAGCCAACAAAAAGACTCAATTGGTGCCTGAATGACTGGTGCATTTCTTTTGCACTAAAGAAGAATCAGCAACCAGCCTTGAAAAAATAAGTATTGGAAAAAGATGTTGCTTGAATACAACTACAAGTAATATCTACAAAAGAGAAAGTTGAATTAAAGGCAGAGACTCTAAGCAAAAATTGTGAGCATTAAAACATTGGTATTTACTGCATTTCTATTTTAACTGATGTTCTTCTGTAGAAAGCATCACATCTATCAAGCAGATTTCTCCTTAATACAATTGAGGCGAGTGCGAGTCAGCCTGTGACAAACTAGGCTGATAATCACACTGAACTGACATTTAATTTCATATCAATCATTCATACTTGAATAGGCTGATGATTGAGAGGTGAATCAGAGCTCTGTAACCAGGCAAGTGATGAGCAGCCACTCAGAGGAGTCCAGCAGACTGACCTGTAGCATGAGAGCGTGCGGTGAGTGGACGAAGATGGAGGCGTTTTCCCTCGGCGACGACTCCAGGCAGAGCTGCGCGTCCGTCGCCTTGGCGTTGTAGGTGAAGGAGATGGAGTTGGCCAGCTTGCCATCGTACAACACCTGCTTGTGGTGCTCGGCCAGGTGGATGTCACTCTCCGACTTGAACTTGAAGGTGCTCTGCAATGATGGAGAGAGGAGAGGTTGTGTGAGAAAAACTTTAAAAACAAGGAGCCAAATGACTTGTCCAGAGACGAGGGAAGTGTGTGTCTGTGTGTACAAGTTAAACACCCAAAATGGAGCCTGCTTAATTGCAAAATGAGCCCTGTGTATACAACACAGCATTAGCTTAATGAACACAGCGCTAACACAGGCACTAATTCAATTAGCTAAGAATAAGAGATGAAAAGGGCCGGATGTGTGGGAGAGAGGCGACATGAGAGTAAACAGACAGACACATGTGCTATTCAATTCCATAACATGTAACAATTGTAGCTTTTTTCCAATGAAATCTAAATGATTCTTTCATGGACTATTCTCCTTGTAATTTTCATACTTGAGAGGATTCTTGTACTGACCAGCAACAGACTGACACATCTGTGGAAACTTCTTGTCTTACTTAAAAGAAAAACATATTTTGTAGGCAGTGTAGGATGCTTTTAGTGTGTTCAGAGTTCTGGGGGTCCATATGTCCTGCAGCTGGCTGATACACACATGGAGCCCCGCCAATGAGATGCTAGCTATTTGCTCTGTAACCCTTAGCAGCAGCTCCAGGAAAGGGCCCCCTTGGAGCAGCTGCGTCCCATGATGCCTTGCTCAGCCTGACTGCACAGGAAAGCCCCGGGCCACTCACAGACCTGCAGGCCCGGCGTGTTCTGAACCTTTCATCTCAGGTCTGCTGTAGAACATGTGCCCTGAGCTGTTTTATCCACCATGCAGCACAACATTTCACACTGAAGCAAAGAGTGTAGCGTACAATGGAGACGTCTAAAGAAAACAGCCCCTCCACAGTGCAACATCCTCATCTTGGTCCAGGAGCTGAATACTGCTTCAAACCCCTAATGTTTTACTGCCTTCCCATTATCACATCAATTGTAAAACAACTTATAACTATAATCTAAATCTGAAGCACACTTTCCACACATATTGTTGCCAACAGAACATTATTTACGAGAGTAACTTCAACATAACAGGGCAGAACAGCAATATGATCTTATTTGAGATCATATTTCTTTTGTGAAATATAAGAGCTGATGTTAAAAATGTATAGTAAACAAACGTGTGAAAATGCTCATTCATTTAAAGTAACCTAGAAGACTGCAGCCAAGTGTAAGGATAATCAATCACAAACACAAATAAATTGCTCTAAGGTTTATTTTTTAAGGTTAGTGGGCACAAAGAAAACACTGAATAGCCTGAATGTGAAATGAATACACCTATTAAAATGCACATTTTCTGCTGTGTAAGCCCATTGATTGTGGTGCATTTATGAAGTGTGTGTACTTGTGTATACTGTATGTAAAGATGTGGCTGCGGAAGTGTGAGCATGTATTTATGATACCGTGCTAAGCGATGGTATCTGAATGTGTAGCCTAGGAGGAGCTTTGCTGACTCTTTGAAGTATTAAGAGATGTACAGAGGCATTCAGCAGGCTCCATAAAAGGCATGCAAGTGAGAAAAGTGCAAATGTAAATCTTTACACAACACGCTTAAAAAAAAGTGTGTCCCTGACTGATTTGGACAAACACGCACAGAGGAATAAAGTAACAACTCAACATTTGTCACACCTGACAGCTGCAGTTACGACCCTGGCCTTCAGTGACAACACCACACCCACACACACATGCTCACACACTTCTACTCTATTTACTGTAGCTCAGCCTTGGACTGCGAAGTGGTGTCTCCAAAGCAAGTTCTCTAAAATATGGCATACCCGTTGTAAAGTGTATTTTTGCAAATGATGGAGGTTAGAGCCACCAGAGATAATTTGGGTATCATTCAAACATTTTCAAGATAGAATGCATTACAGATTTGTAGCTTTGATTATTGGTACTGATACCAAACAGCCATGCAATAACTTAATATATGAAATAAAATTGATTAATGAATAGATAAAACCTATTAAAACTATATTTGATCGCAGTTTTTAGGACAGTTATCCCTATTTTGTGCCGAGGACTCAAGTCATTCATTACCAAACTGAGCCCCATAAAAAAAATCTTTAGGCAACAATCCTTTGAACATTTATTAAAATGCACTAAACAAGAGTATTTTCAATAATGGTATTATAAAAACCTGAGGAATACACACAGGCAATACGCAAATGCAGGTGTCCAGATAAGGTCCATTAATTACGTTATGGCCAGATTGCTGGCAGTACACCGCAATGAGGACATCTGGACTCCTGATGAAGAGTGCAACCAGAAACACACTGAACAACATGAGAGAGAGGACATTAACAGCAAACACACAAAACCCAGAAACGTTCCTTTAACCATCGCAGAAAGCAAGATGTTATAGTGCACCTTCTTCTGTCATTAGGAGGGCATGGTGGTGCTGAGCTGCACACACGTACAGACATTCAGTCCACACAGCGCGTCGGCCAACATGAGCCGCATCAGACGAGAAGACCTTGAACACCCTCACATTGCTGAAGGCTTGTTTAGCAGAGCGAGCAGAGTGTCTGTCTGCTTTTTGCTCCTCATTACTGAACAGTCACACTGACACTGGATGAGACCAAGAGGCTACATACAGCTACACACACACAGACACATACTGTTCAGCGTGCATTGATACAGTTCTCCTCAACGATTGGCAATGCTCCAGTAGCAAATTGTCATATGTACTCCTCAAGTCCTAAGAACAAGGTAGGCTTATATTCGTATTAAGACAGGAAGCTGTGTTACACAATTCCCACTGGTGCTCTACTTTATCTGACCGAGAAACCCGCAAACTCATCGTTACAATAGCAGCTCAGATGCCCGTGGCTTTGAAACAACTGAGCCGTTTAATGGTCTGTTCTGGGCATCTGAGAAGCCCATTCTGCGCCACGCAGAGAGGCAATCATTTCACTGATCAGCCGGAGGAAGCCGTGGGCTGTGACAGAGTGAGGAATCAGTATTCATGGCCGAGAAACAGCAAACCCAAAGAATGCGATCATTAGGAAGAGCAAGAGAGGACTCTAGTCTATAACGTGACTTCTGATGTGATAGAGCATCTGCCACATGTTCTCTGCCTGTTGTCAATGTGTTTCTCCAGCAGTGTCACATAATCATGTGATGGTGAATTAAAGCAAAACTCCTGATTTAATATATACCTTTTCTAAGGAGCTGTTAAAATACCAGCAGATGTTCACACACACATCAGCAGCACCAAATATCCCTGCGCAGCATCTTGGTGCTAAAATGTTGACAGTTTTAGACACCTTCATAAGCAAGCTGTAGGTGGCCTGAGGCGAGCAAGTCTGCTAAAACAAGAAGCTGACAGCTGGCAAGGTGATGCGACATCTTAGCTGTCTCCGAAAGCCACAAGGCAGAGATGGTGATTTATAAAGCCATCAGTGTTCAAGATCCAACTTTGTAAAGCCTGATTTGAATACGACAGGAACTCAAAGTACTTGGTCTTGACTGACTTTGACGGCAAATCCACCCTCGCGTGCTTCCAAACGGCAAATTCCATACATCAATTTGTGATTTCGCAGGAAGTAATGCGCAGGGAATAAAACAAGTATTCAGATCCTTTACTTAGGTAAAACTACTTAAACTACAGTTTGAAATGCTCCACAGTATTATTGCTCTATAAGAGAGACCATAAGATGTGAAATATACATTTTATACATTAACTGACAACAAAACCCTCAACCTAAAGGCAGGGATGGTGATTTATAAAGCAATCAGTTTTCAAGATCCAACTTTGTAAAGCCTGATTTGAATTATTTTTGTACGACAGGAACTCAAAGTTCTCTGTCTTGACTGACCTTGAAGGCAAATCCACCCTCGCGTTCTTCCAAAAATCAATTTGTGATTTTGCAGGAAGTATTGCGCAGGAATGAAAAAAGTATTCAGAAGTACTTTAACTAGTTTTAAAATGCTCCACAGTATGAATGCTCCATAAGAGAGCCCATAAGATGTGAAATCTACGTTTTATCCATTAACTGACAACAAATCCCTCAACCTACCAACCAGAAAGACGTCCGGGCATCAACACGCAGCCTATTGTCTGCGATTGACAGCCTAAGAATGATTGATGGCCTCTCAACTACATCTAGCTGACAATGTGAGCAGGGAAAGACAGCATTTAGTAACATTGACCATGAAATCCTCAAGTTGCCTGGATATTCTTCCTGCCAAATGGTGCATGACATTGATGCACAGTGCAGCGTAGAGGGAACATGCAGTACGGCGGGGGATAAGGCAGGAGGTGGCCGCTGTCTCACCTTGTATCCTGGGCCAAGTTGATGAATGGCAAAGATCTGAGCTGGGTTGAGAGCTTCACTGAATACGTAAATGGCTCCCAGCTGACCACAAAACACCCTGTTAGCGTCCGCTGTCTCTGAAGAGCCCAGGAAACACTTGTCGTAACTCTGGAAAAAAAAAAAAGTGAAACACAAGAAAACATTAGCTATGACATCAAGCATTTCTGACTCTGAGAGGTATCTTGTAAAGAGGGTTTGGATCTCATCATTTATACATTTTTGTTGTAATTTTGCAAGATTTGTTAAAGGTGGGGTAGGTAAGTTTGAGAAACCGGCTCGAGATACACTTTTTGTTATATTCCATGGAATGCTCTTAACATCCCGATAGCAATGAATATCTGAAGTGCTTTGACAAAAATCCATAAAAAAATGTCATCTGTGGAAGCCGTAGTACTGTAAAAAGCACGACCAATCATTTTAGCCGGCCCGGCTAAAATAACTGGATGGCCTACCTGCCTGTCAGCCTTCCATCGGGGCACAAACTTATCTCGTGCCCTCATTGGTCATGTGCGCGTTCGTGTGTGTTGGAGGAGGGGCTCTATAAGGAAGTGGCAGATTTTCTCCGGTTGTGTATTTTCAAATTCTAGCGATCTCGAGCCGGTTTCTCAAACTTACCTACCCTACCTTTAAGTCTTGTACAGTCTATGTTCAGTTCAACTAATTCTTGCTCTTGGACTTGCAAACTACAGGCATGCCAGACATAAATGTTCCCTTGTAGATTGTGTGTTTTAGGAGTCATAACACCGTTGAGAAGAAGCGTTGATCTTCACAATCTAAGACGACTCAAGAGTTAATCAATTATTCATTTTTACTCTGTGGTCATAAGCCTGTGGTATTCTGCAGAGATGAATAACATGGATGGCGAAAAAGCAGATTCACTTTTGATGGCTGCTTGTTTTCCAGCTGCTACTCTTTCATCCATCTGATACCCTTTATCACATTACAATCTTAACTCATCTTCAAAGTGATGAAATATATGTTCTCGTCAACCTTTAGGACAAAACAAACCCTGATAGCATCGAGACACTTGTTCTTTAACTTGTGTACTGTGGATGTATTTGTTTTATGATTCTTGCTGTGAGCTGCGTGAACAGAAACACTCTTTAGCTCAAGGTCAGGCAATGTCTTACAGAGAATAACACCGGCCCTTGCTAATTGCAGCAATGTCAAGAGCCAACCGTGAAGGAGGTGTAATAAAGGCTCTGCTGCCACTGAGAGGTTGGGTATCTGTCCCCTGCTAAATGGAAAAGTTTGGAGTTTGGGGCGAGGTGTGCTGGAACGCAGCCCAAGGGCACCTCTGCACCAGCTGACGCCTGCAGAGGGCAAAACTCAAATGTTTGCCAATATCACATTAGGAGACGAGAGAGGAGCCAGAGTAATACCAGATTTAAGAGGCCATTCCAGATGTCTTTTTGGGGTAAAACTTCTGTTAGCAACATCTGATTTACAGAAAATATGTTTTATCAAAGCTCAATCACATTTTTAATTTAAAGGGGCCCTATTATGCTCATTTTCAGGTTTCATAATTGTATTGTATTTTGTGCCTTTCCTGTGATATGTTTACGTCCTGGTCCAAAAAGGTCTTTATTTTTCCTTCTGTGCTGCAGCATCTCTTTTCACCCTCTGTCTGAAACCAGAGTGTGGCATTTTAGCCTACGTGCTCAAAAACCTGTATAACACAGTACAGGAAAGGGAAATCCCCAAAGAGCATAATAGGGCCCCTTTAATTCTTCCCCAGTTCATATGGCAACAAACTGCCTCTGCTTTAAGCCAACATCTTACATCATTGGTGTTGACGTGCCAGGCCATATCGCCGTAGGAGACCAGTTGACCGTTGACATAGCAACGGATCTCAGAGTTCCTCCAGCGGTTGTAGATGTGAACGATGCTGATCATGTACCACTGGAAATAGAAAAACACATTAGGAGAGAAACCAGATGAAATAAAAACGATACAGTACATTTGGTTTGTTTTCCCTGGGGATGTGAACAGTTTACCTTCAAAACTGTCTTGTTTTTCATCATGTTTTTGATGTCAAAAGTGCTGTATTTTAATTTGTCAATTTAGTTGTGTTTAAATGTTATCCTAATGAATGTCTCCACCATAACAGGTGACTGGTACAGTTTTATATGTGTTGCTTTTGTATCATATTTCATACGTTGCACTGTTGGTGGCCAAATCCAATATATTGACTAGACGGCTTTAATGTGTTGTTTGCACCTTTGCTCTTATAAATCAATAAACACAGACTTTTGGGAACACATTATTGGTATTGCCTGGTACTGTGCAATGACTCCTTTCAGATTGTGTTTAGTACTTGTGTGTTTGTGTCAAGATGTCTGGCTCTGGCAATACTGAGAATGTTTCCTCTAACAGCTTTAGCTCTCTATAAGAGGGTTAGCCAACATTGGAGGTTTATAACATGTTAACCTCATTGATTCGCCAGAACTCTCTTCCAAAGCTTTCCCTTTGCTCTCATTAATGCAGCATTAAAATTGTGCATGTGTTTTTTGATTAGAAATCTTCCCTGGTGACAATAGACAGGGAAGAGAAGGGAAGATCAAAAAGAGAGAAGCTAAGTATGCTGGTAAATGCATTGCTTAGAAGTGGACAATACTACACTTCCTGTTTGTGTTTTTATCATGTTTTGTTGCCTATTAGCGTTTTATTTTTTTTAATTTTTTTAACAAATTGTACGGTGTCCTTGGGTGTCATGAAAGGCGCCTAAAAATAAAATGTATTATTATTATTATTATTATTATTACACTTGCACTCACACAAATGATAACATGCACAGGGCGGTCCAAATGCTGTGAGACATGGGGACTTGTGAATTGATATAATGGAACCACTGGGAACTTTGTTAGGCAGTGCAGCAATTCTACTGGGTCAGCATATACTGCAGAAGGCCATCTCATCAAGGGAATGTGTGTTTATGTGTGCAGAGCGGTAGCAGAATGCTGACAGTGCGGCAGAGTGGCAGTATGCAGGTCTTAATTGACAGACCTTATCTACACTCATCAACACTCCTGGTGAGAGCGCGGCAGATAGAAGAAGAGAGCAGCAGCACACTTTTGATGCCGTCTCATCTAACAAGTGGCACAAGGTTACCAGAGTCTGTGCAGAATAAAACACATTTAGCTGAGTGGTTTGGTTTGTGTGTGTTTGTCTTACCTTGCGAGGCTGGAAATCATATTTCACACAGTGCTGAAAGCCTTTTCCTTTTGACTTCAACGACGTCACGATGAGACAGTTTCCCACAAAGTGAGCAGAGTAACCTATTCCTTTACTGGTGCGAAAACTGCAAAACAAATCAGACACTTAATTCAGTTTGTTATAAATTCAAGCCCAAGAGTTTAAAAAAATGACTTTCAGTTAAAAAAATAAGGGCTCTAAATCAAAGTGATGTTGGCTCTTCTTAATGAATGGTCGAACGGTTTCATTACATTGGAGTGAAAATGAATGACACTTTTGAATGGATGGTACAAAAAAAATAAAGCAAACACTTGTCAAATATATTACATATTGACTTTGTTGTCTGGTTTGATTTGTCAGACCAGTTGTTTTGTAAATAATATTCAGCAAGCCATCACTAGCAGAAGGTGAACTACATCAAAAGGAAGTTAACCATATTTTCACAGATAAAACTGTTACAAAAGAAAATCCTGCCAAAAAAAAACAAAAGTAGCGCACCTTTCACACTCATAGAACACATATTTAAGCAAATACAAGTCATAAAAAGGCAGATTTTGAAGAGTTTCCTTTCCAGCAGCACCAGGGGTCCCAGATCACAGGTTTGCGGAGAAACACAACTAATCCTCTTCCCTCTATTTCCCCCCCATATTGCTTCTCTCCCCGCACTGGTAAACTCTGTGTATGTAAAGCAGTCTGGCAGCTAAGCTTCTTCACAAAAACAACAAGGCACATTTGACTTCTAAAAAAAAAAGGGCCCAGAAGGATCACACACATAGCGGAGCCAGAGAGCAGATATAAATCCCTCTTGAGAGAATCCCTGGTGCACGATAGAGAGCATGTAGTGTGTTATCGCGGCCTTCATGCAGCCGTGGAGACGCCATACTGTAAGACAGGCTTGCTGGAGGAGCAGCTGCATCTGGGGGAGGATGATAAGACCTGGGCTCTCGTTCCACACTTCCCATGACAACTTGACAAACGGTTACTAGGGCAACATGATTACATCCTGACACTCTCCATGATCAGAGCTCATCCCTGCAATGGTATCGGCGGGGAAAATATACGGATGTATGTCATACATGCTGTAGACTAGCAGCTTCTCGCTTGTTAAGCAAAACCCTTTCTGTTCATAATGAATTAAAGTTTGACCGTGAGAAGGGAGGGGGGGGGGGGAGTAAAGGGAGGACGGTGCTTTGCGTCACAGAGTGCAGAGGTGGGGGGAAAAAGCCAAGAAGCAGAATAAAGGAGTTTAATTAAATAAAAGGCCAAAGATAAATAAGCCTCATAGTGGTTACAGCGCTTACTTCGAGGTCCAGAGCTGCACGACTAACAGAGGCATCCTCCAAGCAGTGCACTTATAATGGAGTGCCTTGACATTTAAAGTTATACTGTAATTCATTATCTGTTTTTCTATTAACTTCCTGTCCGTCTTATTCACTCTAATGAGTTAAATGTTTATCATAAGTCAGTAAGGGAGCTAGTTCAACAAATAATAGTTCAAAATCATTGTTAATGTGATTATTAAATATTTAGCACTATCTCGCAGTTGTGCATTTTTGCTGTTCCTATTACAAATCATGAAACCAATCAGTGACAATATAACGGGGCGGACTGGGACAAAAAAAATCAGCCCGGGCATCTCGACCGGCCCACTTCGGTACCAGTAGTAAATTGTCAACGGAGGGGGGGGATGCCAGTCCGCCACTGCCTGGACAGCACTTACGTATTAAATCACCTGTTCTGTAAAGTGCTGAAAGCTAAAGTTGGAGATTATTCGGCCAGAGCAAAAGTCTGAAGTCCATTAAGTGCTTTTTCATACTGTGTTTAAGTACAGTGCACTCACCCTCAACCTGCGTCACTCATGCTTACTTCACTTAGTTTCTTCTTACTTTAACCAGAATGCCTTTTGACATTCAGTAGACAACCGGGCCGAACTTGCTTTCATCAGCAGCGTGCTTCTCTTAGCTTGGATCAATAGTGATGGCAGAAGCAAAGAAGGCAGCTTGTACGGTCAACAAGAGGTACAATTCTTACACAACCAGGAAAAATACTTTAAGCTGTGCGGCATTGAGGGCTGCTGTCGGTAGAAAAGCTGGTATTACTGTAGCTTTTTCTGCTCTGCGTAAGCGCTGGAAATGGAGAGTTTAAAGAGAAAAAAAACCTTATTCTGTGATCCTGAAGGACAGACACAAAAACCTGATGTTTACCCATTGATGTCTTTGATTCCTCTGTAACAGCGCTGGCAAAAATATCAACGTGAGGTCAGCAAAACAGGCAAAGAATAAAAAATCGATGGTAGATGGAGAATCTCAGACAGCTGCGAAGCACTGAAGAGAGTCTTTTTTTCCCTTAATGCTTTTATTCCAAGTACAGATGAAGGATTTTTACGGGGAAATAGACCAAATGAATGGTGCTATACTTACCAATAGAGGTACGGTTTGTCTTTATCCACGTTGATGTTGTTGAGTGGATCCTGCCTGAACCAAGTGTTGATCGTGAATCCGTTCTGGTAAGGCCATTTGGCTATTGGCGGCAAAGCTATGGCCTGGACACACACACACACACACACACACACACACACATCAGATCAGATCTTGCCAATGCTTAGAGCAATCAATACACCACTCAGTCAGTCATCACCTCTTGCACTGCTGGAGAAAAGTGCCAATTAAGATGTGCTGACTAACTGCCACGAAAATTGCCATGAAGGTGTCTTCAGCAACAAGGGTGCACAAAGATACATTTGCCTAATTGCTTTATAATACCGCTCCAGTGTGTGTGTGTGTGTGTGTGTGTGTGTGTGTGTGTGTGTGTGCGTGCGTGCGTGCGTGCGTGCGTGCGTGTGTGTGTGTGTAACGAAGATTAGTGATGCAGCCTTCGTCAATTATACCCCAAAGCTAAGGAACAAAATATCGATACATCAGGGAAGCTTTCTCGGTGGAAGACTTTAAAAGAAAGCTCAAAACATATCTGTTCACTTTAGCATTTTAGGAAGCTAACACTTGCTCTCTGCTGCACTTTCTTTGTCACCTGATTTTGTGTTGTTGTTATTATTATTATCATCCCATTTTTGCCATTATTTCGATTTGTTATCACAATGTGAATTTGCACTATCCTCCTTTTATTGTCATGAATTGTAATCTATATATTTCTTTGTCTGTTCTATTCTCTTTTTATGTTTATTTGTATGTATTTGACTGGTAACTGTATTCTATGTGGTGTACATTTTCTGTGACTATCTATGTCAATTGTCTACTGTAAAGCACCTTGGAGTGCAATTCTTGAAAGAAAGGTGCTTTAGAAATAAAGCTTATTATTTTATTATATTATTATTATTATATTGGTCAGACTCACCGCTGCACTGCGTCCTGGAAAGTTGAAGAAGGTATCAGGACCGTGTCTCTGAGGCATCTGGTTCAACACTGACAAGAGCTTGATAGCATGTCTTGGCTGGAAGAGAGGAAGAAGAGAGGAGAGGAAAGGAAATGAGAGGAGAGGAGAAGCGAGGAGAGGAGAGGAGAGGAGGAGAGAAAAATAGGAAGAGAAACGGAGAGGGTCATTATTATTTATAATCTGCAGACCATCAGAGGCACAGCGGGAGCCTCTTTTTAAAGAAAACAACAGAAAACATGGAGTGACATCACATCTCTACCACAACCCCAGTGGATCAATAACTCTTCAATCACCTCCGCCCTCCTCCGACAACACCTCATCAATACCATGGCAACCCTCAATCGATCTGTCTCGAGAGGGGGGCGCTGGGGGAGGAGGAAAAGACTGGGAAAATGGAGCGAGGTGTACGGGCTGATTGTAGTTATCAGAAAGAGAAGGTGGAGAGAGAGGGCTGGAGGGATGGATGAGGGTCTCGCCATGGATCACTGATCAGTGAACAGTGAGGTTGTCCCGGAGCCTCAGTACAGGGGAGATTAACGAGAAGGGACCACGGCGTATTGACTTGTGCACACCAGCAACTTCTAGGGTGTACACCTCGCTAACCCTACAAATGAGCAGGGTAGCATTAGCCTCTCAGAACCATCCCGTGTGTCTGTTTCAAAACGTCAACTAAACCCAGCGGCTGACGGCAGGGCCAATCAGCAAGCAGCTGGGAGCGGTAAAGATGGCGACAATAAGTGGCACTGTGAGTGGAATTTAAACTAAGAACTCCCGATGCTCGACTCTTGAACAAATCACTTAATGATGTAGCTCTAAATGTACAATAAACACGAACCAGGAACTACAAGACCTTTTTTATCTCCAAAGAATTCGGATAATTCTTCAATTAAAAGCGGAATATAAATATTGAATAATGTTTGGGTCCTTTTTATACATATGGGGGTATTTTAAGTGTAATTTCAGAGAAACAACAAGAGAAAATAAAAAGCTTTATTAAATATTGCCCGTGCATTGTGAGTTAAAGGGTGTGCGGATAATACATAGGCATTAAATAATCAGGAGAGAGTGAATATGTGTCTGCTGATAACATGTCAACCTTCCCAAAGGGGTTCACCTGGAGGGAACAATACAGATTTCATCTTCACAGCTGATTAAGTCGCCATTGTTTTTTCATCATGGCTCTATCAATCTCACAAAAATTAACTAACTCAAACCTTTGTTGCATTAATTAAGCTGATTACGAGAATACAAAAAATGCTACACGTGATCTTAATTGCCCTTGTCTTGTCATACACTCGAAAATCACTCCAAACACACAAACAGACACACACACACAGATACACAACCATCCCCTATTATTCGAGTGCATTAGAATAACCATCCATTCAGTCACATCCAGACTAATGGCATACAAACAAGCTCATGCTGCATAATTGGGTATAAAATAAATGTAGCTTCCCGGACTTTTAATTGTAGACCGCTGGCAAACCAGAAAATGTAATTGTTTATTTCTTTTGCAGCATTCTCTTGATTTAAAAACAGTTAAAGCCTAAATAGTCAAATAACATAATTATAAGAAAATTGGAAAGAAATGTCCAGAATGAATCTTAAGTGAAATGTTGCTTTGACTTTGACTTTAAAATATGGTGTTGTGTTATTATATAGCTTGTGAATCCGATTATGAATACCAGCACTTGTTTAGTTAACTGACCAGGAACATCAAAAACTTTCAAGAGTTTTATAAATGATTCTGATGCCATTAGAGCCACGTCGGGGGTTTGCAGCTTCCTCTCACATTGGAGTGGAAAGACTTCAAATATATTGTATAGCATTAGACATTTCTATTTAAATGTATGTACAGTATATATATGCGTGTATACATCCCAACATATAATAATGATGTTGTATTGGTGTTTATTTTGCCAGTACCTGCATACAAAAATATTCCTGATGCCATACTGATAGAAAAAAAAACTGTGATACACACTAAAAACTTTTTCAGTTGTCCACCCACTTACCCAGATGCCATTGTCTCCCCTCAGCATGCTGAAGAGCAGCTTCAGCTCCTTCACTGTGATGCTGTAACTGGCCATGACTCCCAGCATGTCCACCAGGAGGTCTGAGAAACACACAGAGGCACAAAGTTAGCGCAAGAGCAGAAAAACAACACTAGTGTGTTTGCTAGTCAGCCCTCTTATAGAATAAAGAAAGCATGTTAATGAGACTCTGTTTGTATACGGTGAGTGATAAGCCTTAATCAGCACAGTCAAAACTTCAAATGAGTTTACAGTACTCAAACAACCTTGAGTTACGAGCAGAGTTGCAGTGCACAGCATTACTTGATACCTTGAATGTGTACACCACGATGTAAATCCTTGTTGTGTTGGTATATATTGATCTTAATACATCAGGTACAGTAATACAAGGCCGAACACTGAGAAACTGTGACAAGTTCTCTCGGCTACTTGCTGCAAACAAGGAACCATGTAATACTTAAAGGGGACCTATCATGCAAAATGCACTTTTGTACGTCTTTTATACATGAATATGTGTCCCCGGTGTTCCAGGGAACTCACCAAGTGTCAGAAAACACAACCCTCTCTATTTTCCTCCATACCCAAATCTCTAAAAAAGGGGCTGCAACGGATCTGATCAAAACTGATCCAGATTTGAACACTGTCCTGACGTCAGGACAGTGGCGCTACGGCTATTGGGCCAACTCCACCAATCAGGAGGAGACAGCCACGGCCATTGCCGTTCGAAAGCGCTGCAGACGCTGTAGTACATATGCCAGGCCTGTAGATGGTGCTGTTCTCACAGAATCTGCCCTTGCAAAAACAGAGCTAGAAATTGTCAAATTGAGCGAAATGAGGCATGGCTAAAATGCATGATCTGTTTGGTATTTTGAAAAAAAAAAAGTATAAATATGCCTTATATAGGTATGGTCCTACACTATATTATTCACATATAGCATGATAGGTCCACTTTAAAGGATGAGTTAGCAAATCTGGAGAAAGATTATTGATAAGTGACAGGCTCGCAGTGTGTACAAGAGGCTTGTTAACAAATGCTGAATCATAACAACTGCAGGGAATAAACTCCGAGATACATATAGAGTAGTTTTAAATAAATGAATCTTATGGAAAACAACATCTTAAACCGACTAGGACACCATGTTGTATGTTCTATTTTCTTCTTTTAAATGTTTAAAAGGAAACTGTCTGACATGTTGGGAAATATGCTTATTTGCAGAGAGTACGGAAATAGGATCAATACCTTTCTTTAGTTTTTACGCCATATATGGAGGTACACCACCAGACCATTGACTAAGCTTAGTAAAAGTAGTGGAATCAGAGGCAAACATATACCTCTATCATCTTAAAAATATACCTACTGTACACTGTGCACTTAAAATCTAAAATATTTCTTGTCTGGCTATTGACTGTTTCCCTGCTTCTAGTATTTATGAAAGCTAACCTCCTGCTAGCTCAAGCTTCATATTAAGTAATACAACTCTTGCCAATAAAGCAAATTAGTGTATTGCCCAAGATGTATTTGGTCATAAAATTGAGAAAACATGGTTTCAAGAATATTTCTCCTGAATATTTAAGCAGATAATAAAATAAAATAAAATAAATGCAATTGTGTTTAAAGATAATAGTTTAGTCAGAATGACCTTCCTGCTTCATTGCCTTTCACTCCACACACATCAGCAGCAGATCAGCGTGGATATGGCAGAGGTTCTCAGAGTGAGGCAATCTGCTTACAAAGGCTCTACTTTCCCATTAAGCCTGCTAGATATGAATAGACTTCCCATAATATTTCATTACCCAGAGCCCAGCGATTGGGAATAAAGCAGAAGGCTCGCTGGCTGACGTGTTATGAGAGGGAACGCAATACACAATGTCCTAGAATTCAAAACCCCTTAGGTGTGTTTTTGGTACGATCAATCCATGTAGGTCATTTTAAACAGTCTGTGAAAAGTGTTGAACTCACGGTTGAGAATGGGGATATTTGAGAATTGTCATTAAATTGAGTTAAGTGGCTCTGCTGTGAGGAGCAGTAATAAGTCATAGAAGTTATAAAGCACATTATCCTGCGGTGGTAGGTAGGACAAAGAGGACACTAAGGGGGTAGGGAAGGAGATGAAACGCACTCCCAGGCATCATTAAGGGTTGGCCAAGGTCAATATGATCATGTAAAGAGACGGCAGTGAATGTGCTGTTTAGCAATCAAGCCCTCTGTAAAGAGCACACACATAAACATACTGAGGTCATTACTTCTGCACCACCAGCGGGTTGTTATGGATGACTGACTGCGGGGAAAACACACACACACACACACACAAGTTCTGTTATGAAGACATTTTCAGAAATGTGTTTTTTTGGTTCTAAACTTTAGGAAAGACTGTTTCTTGTTTACAAGGATACAAGTACAATTCTTATTCAACAGTACAGTTCTGCAGAAAGACAGAGATAATTATTTTTCGTCCAGAAGCAGCTTCATCTTCAGCTTCATCCTATGTTTTCGACGTGGCTCTCACTCTTGTTTCTCTTTGGGTATTAGAGTTTGTTTCCACCTACATGTAGACACACAACCCACGGCGGAATGCAGAATATAATGCTTTTTGTGAGATTAAGAAAGGCACTTCACTACCCGTATGAAGTCATACCTACCTAGGCCAATCATTTTTAGGGGTTAAGGATAAGTGGGAAAAGCTGAATTAAACAAAAACTTTACAAATGTTTGTCATTGTACTCGCATAACAAAACCATGCTTTGCAAGCTATCTTGCAAAACAGTGATCAAGTTGTATTTCTAATTAAAAGCAAATTCGGCATTAAATAATATTTAAAGAGTATTTAACTAACATTGAACTGATGGTAAAAAACAAACAATCATAATCGTTTATCCCTTTAAAGGTGGGGTAGGTAAGTTTGAGAAACCGGCTCGAGATACACTTTTTGTTATATTCCATGGAATGCTCTTAACATCCCGATAGCAATGAATATCTTAAGTGCTTTGACAAAAAATCCATAAAAAATTTCATCTGTGGAAGCCGTAGTACTGTAAAAAGCACGACCAATCATTTTAGCCGGCCCGGCTAAAATAACTGGATGGCCTACCTGCCTGTCAGCCTTCCATCTGTGCACAAACTTATCTCGTGCCCTCATTGGTCATGTGCGCGTTCGTGTGTGTTGGAGGAGGGGCTCTATAAGGAAGTGGCAGATTATCTCCGGTTATGTATTTTCAAATTCTAGCGATCTCGAGCCGGTTTCTCAAACTTACCTACCCCACCTTTAAGTTGGGTCCAAAATAAGGACTTGTTTTAGTATAATATGTATCAAAATGGGAATTATTATAATGTCTTGTTTTGTTGTGTACACATTTACCATATCAGTGTATTGACACTAGGAAAACATAGTGATATTGTCATATTATTGTAACATTTAGTGTCTTTATGTATGTGCGCCGTTGCTTCACCTGCGATCATGTCGTCCACGGAGCTCATCTTGAGCAGCACCTGCTGGATGAGGCCCACCTCGGTGCTGGTCTGCAGGTTGCGCACGCTCTTGCGGAGGATGGCGGTGAACATGCTCCAGATCTCCGCCTGGCACGTCACCTCGCAGTGGGACAGCAGCTCCACCATGCAGCCGATGCTCTCCGCCTCCTGGATGATGAAGTTCATCTCCAGGTCAAACTCCCCGCCCACCAGCTGGAGGAGGGTGAGGAGAGAGGGAGGAGGGGGGGAGCAGGAAGAGGACAGGTAGGGGGGAGGAGGGACATGGTTTGGGGAGAAAGGAGGACAGTGGAAGTGCAAAGGAAGGGAATTGAGGGGGTGGGGAAGGAGAGAGGAGAAAGAAAAGAGAGGATGATTTAGTGAACTATTTAACCTTTTTTTCTGTGGGAGAGGTGAGCCTGGCGTCTGATGGATGCTGATTGTTGTTCGGAAAGCATTTCTCCTGCCGGGGGGGCCGCACATACTGCAGCAAACACATGTCCTTCATCTGTCCACAGTCCACACACACTACATCTCCTTCTCTGCTGTCTCTCTCATATGTGAGGAGCACAGCACTCTGCTCTGTGTTCTCCACTCTACTATCCCTCTGAAAGATACAGCAGGCATAAAAATGGTCCCCTCGACTGCATCAGCCACACACATATCCATATGAACACACACTGATTTATACACATGTCCCTCTCCCTCCTCTCAGATAGCATTAGTCAGAGGACATCCTACTTCAAATCAAAGTGCAAATGTCCTGTCTCTTAATGGCTGGTGCACTACAATTACTTGTGAGAGTAGACCATATCACACACAAAACCCACACACACACACACACACACACACACACACACACACACCACACACACACACACACACACACACACACACACACACACACACACACACACACACACACACACACACACACACACACACACACACACACACACACACACACACACACACACCACACACACACACACACACACACACACACACACACACACACATCACACACACACACACACACCCACACACACACACACACACACACACACACACACACACACACACACACACACACACACACACACACACACACAGGCAAACCCCCACGCAGTTCATTCTCTGCATACTACACTTTCCAGGAAATGGTAGCCATGGCAACCAACACGCCATGAGACCACCATTGAGGTTATTAAATCAGATGGAACAGAAACGTGCAATAGGTTAGGAGAAGAAAGCAGACAAAAGATTACGAGTAGAAATAAAGTTACCGACCAGACTGTGACTGTGGTCTTTGCACTCGAGAGAGAATGAGACTAATGGAAAATAAAAGTACAGAGAGGGGGTTTAACATTGGGATGAAAATAAAGTAACAGCCCCCCCGCTATCTGACGATAAGAAGAACATTTGCAGTGTTGGTGACAGCTAATGACAGAGTCAGGGTAAAATGAAATCTGAATTAAAGGGTTAATTCTCTATATTTGTCTCTGTGTGGTTAATCATCCTTCAAACAAACAGATACACATCTAACTAGCGCTGGGAATCCAATATTATTGTCTGAGCACTCTCATTACTTCAATAGAAATAGACTGATTTTCATTACTTCCTATCTTAACGTCTAAATGGTTTCTGCATCCTGTGGGATGAAGTCAAATGAGAGGCTGTGTCAATGTGTAACATGGCTGTAATATAATTGTAATATGGATGTCAAATTGATGCAATAATGTTGTTGCATGGGTATAAAACAAAGGTGAAATATGGGTTTAATATTGATGTATTATGAGTGTAATAATGCTGTAATAATGGTGTAATGTGTGTGTCATATGCATGTACTAATAGTGTCATAATGCTGTAATATGGGTGCAACATAGATTGGTTTAATATTATATATAATGTATACCCTAAACGTGCAATGTATCTCATGAGCTACAGAGTGTAAGCTTTAAAAAATAACAGACGTATTATAAATACAATTCTTGATATGTGTCAGTTTAGCCTAGATATATTAGAAAATAGCAATTAATTAATTTTCCATATTGTGCTTGCCACTTTAAGGTTAATGAGATGATGAGATGGTTTTTTCGGATTTATGGCATAAGAGCGGGACACATTGCTGGCTTGCACATCAACAACGGAGCCATCTCCATGACAACTGAGCAAGCTCAATCCGCTAACAAAGACTGCTAGAAGTGGCTGAGAGCTTCGGAACGAGCTGGTAATTATCGTCAGCTGAGTATCATTCATTCACTGACTTTGGGAATCTTTGCAAACATGTGCTAGAGTAGGTTTTACCTGACTATTATCATAAATAACTATACGTACACAAATGATGTGACATGTATCCCAAGCTGCTGTTAGTCAAATGAATACATGAAATGTAATGTCAACAAATTGGAGGATGAGCGACATCAGCTGTTTATCTAGCTTAACATACTGAACAGCAGTCAATGGAACTGCACAATAATTCCCACTTTCTTTTGCTGATTTTTTTTAAACGTATATTGCTTTAAAGAAACTGATGATTTTAAGATCTTTTTGTATTAAAAATGGCCCCAAACTTCACGCATATTGGAGCACTTTGGAAGGAAAAAGAGAAGATTTAGGGCAAAGGGTATAAAATGATTGGCATAAAATGGACCATTAACTGCAGCAATCGTTAGCAATACAAACATTCATTACATGTTGGCCTATCGACAGACATGATGCTGATGCCCCAGAGAGAACCTGAAGATTAAGGTTTTAGTCAAATCTCCGTATCCTTCTACCTGCTCCACAACCCTTACCTGTCTTTGTACGGACTAACTGCCTCTCATTTCTCATGCTAAGTCTGTCCCTTCCCTCCTTCTCTCTCTCTCTCTCTCTCTCAGTGAATTGATCCAGTGCCTCTGCGAAGGCACTAGCACAGATTAGACAGGACCTCTGAACAAGGCAAGGAAAAAAAGGGGGAAGAATTCATTCATCCCACATCGAATTTTCCCCTCTCCTCCCAGGTTCCCAATTACAGAGCACGCTGGGGACTACTGCGTCCTACAACATCTATATAACTTGCCACTCTGAAGGTGCTCGATATACCACGCAGCGGAAGCTTAGGGGGAGACAACAAGGGAAGTCTTTGTAAAAACTCGCTTCGCAGATACGCAGCGTCTTCAACGCGGAAACACACACATCCCCAGGACATACCTACATATGTACAGCACATGCATAATCACTCTTTTTTTCCGGCTTCCCACAACGTGTATCAGAGAGCAAGATGAGAAAGGGTGATGCAAACGAAGGCAACGTACTGAGTCTCGTGCCCAACAGCACAGAGAAAGGGAAGGACGAAAGCAGAAAACACAAGGGGAAAAAAGCACCAGATAATTATTATCTCTTCAACCAGAAGCAACATCTGGAAAAGCGACCAAAGCCTGGGTGACGCTGCCAAGACAGAGAGAGATGGACAAAGGCAAGGGAGAAAGGTATATGAAAAAAACGCTCACATCAATGACATGTTCTCCGTTTCATGTGGCTTCCATAAAGATGAGAGGCGCTCATGCATTTCCGCGCCTATTACTCGCCTGAGTAGGGTATTTAATTGATGCATAAATAAACATGCTGACTTGATGGCAATAAGGTTGATGATGAGCAGCTTGAGCTCACTTGAGTGCACTCAAACGCCATCATCATCATCATCATGGCTACTATGCACGCGGACAAAAGATTACTAATGAGATTTATGAGGTAACACGCTCATTTTGCATAAACGCTCGTAACCTCCGGTCTCCTCGCTCACCCGACCCCGTGTGTCCACATTGTAAAAAACCTAGTGGCAAAGTCCCTACAGAAGGACGAGTGATCACATGAATGAGCACGCACAAGAGGCCTTAACTACCCCGACACGTACCCTGGTGGTTAAAGGACGACCACACACATAAAGCGGGACCCTCATTATGCCACTCGCCCCCAGGATAAAGGGGCTTGGCAGTGCCAGCCTCTCTCTCCTCTGAGGCAATGACCTCACTGTCTTCTTGGCAACTGGTCGAAGACGTTTGTTTTGGCAGCGTTACGACAATGATTGCTCCCTAAGTACCGCTCATGTCTGTATGTTCCGTTCACAACGAAAAAAAGAGCGAGTGAGTCGAAGAACCTGTCGCTAAGCAGTTGCTAAGGAAGTGACAACCTCTTTCCCACGATCGATGTTCCCACAGGGTTTTATGAACACTTGACAGGTACAGCTCACACTCAAAGCAGCATTTTGCTTCTGCTGATATAAATGTATGTCTGCATGTTGTATTCCTACTGTATCAGCTAAATGTAATGTAATGTATTTAGAATATTCTGTTCTGGAAATAAACCCATCCATGACTGCATAATATTGAATAAAATATCCTTGTGATGAGACTAAAGAAAAGACTATTTCTTGCTTTGTGGCATTGCGCCATCATTGACCCTAAAACACTTTCAGTAACGGTTTGGAAAGTAAGAAGGTTTTTCACTGTATTTATCAATGATGACTAATCACTTGGAGGTTTTTGTATTAAATACCCTATTTCAAGGATTAGTTCTTTGATTGCACACTTTCCTCCTCACAGTGCTGCTCATTTAGACCCTGATTGGCATCACTCTGGCTGTGTGGGGGAGGTGCGAGGGTCAGGAGGGTGGGGGTCAGTGCCAGGACCCTCTTTGCACCACAAAGAGGTTATATGAGCAGGCACCTCTGCCAGCCAAAAGCAGCTCTTATAAGAGGTCAGTTAAACAAATAGTCCCTCTGTCCAACCCCTCTGACCAGCCGCACTGCTCAGAAACAGTCCTCTGTCACTCAAGGCGGAAAAAAAGGCCTTTTTATAAACTTGCCTTGCCTTGCCTTTTTGAATGATTGCAAATTAATTATGGCTAGTTTCTCATTTGGCTTACTGGCTCACTATCACACTCTCAAGGCTAACTTGTGCACTCAAATTAATAGTGTTTTTAGAGATTCATTTGAAATGATTTGATACATTCATCAACTATAGCCACTTTGATGTTTGGTTTTGCAATTCTACTTTCATGTCAAAGCACTTGCTTTTTCGAGATTATGTATAAAACCACAAGAGCTGTGCTTTATTATTAGTTCTCAATGACCCTCTGTTCAACTATGTTCTTTGATTCTATTGCCTTTCATTCATACTGTTTGTTTAACCTCATTACTTTAAGGCTTTAAACACCACTTTCTCACTTGTATT